AAATCAAGTCCGTTTACACCCACTAAAAAAGCATTTCCCTATTCCCTGCCAAGTGCAAAAGACAGAGATAGAATATAGAGCGACGTTCAGTGTAACTCAGTCTATAGACGATTATAGATTCTATCGATGTGCGTAGCGAGCGGCACAAAGATAAATAATATTGAACCGTATAAAACTCAGTTTATATTTTATACGCATTATGGTAATAGTTTTTATATTATGTGTGAGTCACTCTCTATAATTTCGACCGCGGAGTATAATACCTTTATCAAAGTTACCTGCACAGTATAGAAAACAGTAAATTCACTCCCCCTCTTTTGTGGACCACAACCCCACTGCTCTAAAAGTCCAGTAAATGGACGCGTGATCTATACGCAATAGCAAGCCCAGCCCCTAGTCCACCAGCAAGCCCAGCTTAACTTTCAGCTTTTGAGGTTCCCTACATGCGCGTGGTCTCTGCGCAGTCACTTAAGGCGACATAAAAAAATTAAACTGGGGTCTATTTTTTATAAATAGGTTATAGATAGACAGTCAATTTACTGTTTATACTATACTGTGCTATCTGCAACAGTTGGATACAGGAGGCAGCGTCTCAGTGGCCGAGAGTGTAGCGGAGGTTCAGAGAAAGAGGTATATGCTATCTCCATCTAGCAGTACGTGATTGTATGTTGCTAGAGAGAGATAGCATATTCACTTCTATACCCCTCTCTCTCTATACCTCCGCTACACTGTCGGCCACTGGGACGCTGACTCCAGTAGTATATGCTCTAAGGGTAATCATTACTCAAAATTTAAACAACTGTCAAATCAAATATGTTTTAAATAAGAAAAAAGTTTCACTGAGTTGAAAGTTTAGTTGTGTTTTGACATTTTTCATTAATTTTCAAAATTAACACTAGGCAACAGCTTGTTATTGATTGATAGTAAAATTGAATAGTAAAATAGTTATAACTGTAATTCTAATAATTACAAGCACCGGCGTGCTATTTTTCTTATCATAGGAAAAGAAAGCTGCCAATTTGGCTCTCTATCAACCTCGTGATTTCAAATTTCATGTCCCATGCCCATGCCATTGCCATGTAATTCTGTAAATAGTTTTGACAGATTGGATAATGGATATTAGTAAATATTTACCATATTGGAGATAAGTGATAAGTAATCAGTTTTCAATTTTCATTATCGTTGTTGGGGGTCGAGAATACAATTAGTAGTCCTCATTTTTGTATCACATTGTATCTTGAGTGAGAGGCAACAGACCACAATTTAAAAATGTTTTTAAATAAGTGTATAGATAAAACTCTAGCTACGCTTAATCGCAGGTGCCTTTCAAAGACTCCCATAAATTTTGAAAGTCTGAGGTAAGGTAAAACTTTATTTGAGTGATATTTCCGTAATAAAAAGAATTGTTTAGTTGCAAATTGTTAGTGGTTGGAGGGGGCACAGGAGGATGTTCGGTAGCAGCCAAATTTTCAAGACATTTGAAAAAAAATAATTTGATTGTACTAGATCCAAGTAAAAACCATTATTACCAGCCTCTGTTCACTTTAATAGGTGCAGGTGCAGAAAAACTGGAAAATGCTAGAAGAGATATGAAAGATGTTTTACCCCAGGAATGCACTTGGATTGAAGACGAGGCAATCGAATACGAACCTAAAAAAAATACTGTTCGAACATCAAAAGGGCATGTCATTGAATATGATTATCTACTCGTTGCAGTTGGTTTAGATCTTCGTTTTGATAAGGTTAATATTTACCATATTTAAAGAAAGTGCAAACATCTGGTGTAATTAAGATTCCAGGTTTATTAGCAGCTCTAAGCAAACCAGGCGGTGTTTGTTCAAATTACTCACCAAAGTATGTTAATCGAACCTACCAAGCATTACAAAAACTTCAGTCGGGAAATGCCATTTTTACTTTTCCAAATTCACCTGTTAAATGTCCTGGTGCACCACAGAAAATATGTTATCTAACCGATCATTATTTAAGAAAAGTAAGTATATAACACCGTACATAAATTATGTAATTTGAGAATTTTAAAAACAAAATCTAAATTATTTTCATTGCTTGTGCAGAGAGGCAAAAGGAATAATGTTTCAATATCGTACAATACCTCTCTAGCTGTAATATTTGGTGTCAAGAAGTATGCTGATGCATTATGGAAAATATGCAAGGAAAGAAATATACAAGTCAACTTAAGAACAAATCTGATTAAGGTAAACCCTGATAGACCTGAAGCCACATTTGAAAACTTGGACAAACCAGAGGAAAAATTTACTACTGAGGTAACCACAATTGTGTTATTTACATAATATGTATGGATATATTATATTCTTATTGTGGCATGAAAACTGTCATCGAAATATTAATTAGTTATGCTAAAGCCATGGGCTCCCTTTATCAATTTCGGTTTAATCAAAAGTAGCTACAGTATTTAAATTTAAATGAAACAGCCTGAGTGGCATCGCGCGGGTTAGAAGGCAACTTTATTTAGCGAGGATAGAAATTCATATGAATGAAAATAATACTAAATTATGTTTTATATATAATTTTTTTTTTTTAAATAAAATCCCAAACAATGGACCTCTTTAGGCGCCAACTACTCATTTTAACACATGCTGCTGAACCACTCAACTGGTAATGAAGAAATGCCCCATTCCCGACAGTCATTCATTTACCTAGCGTCAACATGTTTCGCATACGATTTGGGATAGATCGGAAATTTTCGAAGTGAACTTTCGATTATACAGGGTGAGTCAGTTTTTTGTAGTAGGATTTTAACAGTTGATAGAGAATCATTTTTTAATAAGAAAAGTTCCTATGAACGTAGGTCTTAGAACGCTTCATTTGTGAGATATAGGGTGTTGGGAACAAACTTTTTTTAAGAATTTTTCTTAATATCTCTAAAAGACCAACATATATTGAACTGAAATTTGGTATTAATAACACATTAGTTATGGTGAATAAAACAAAGATCTGTTATCCATTTCACACACCAGTGACGTGCCTGAGGTGGGTTACTGCCCCCTTTAAAAAAACAATTCGTACGGCCGTGAATTTTTCTGGAAAATAACATCATTTCTAAATTTTTTAATCAATTTCTGAACAAAACAGCTCTCTCTATTTTTTATAAAATGAACAGTTTTGGGTTAAATTCATTTGCCATGAAACTGTTCCAACGATATTGGTAATACATTTCTATTAAGAAAAATATGATGTACCCTGAAAATCAACAAAAACGATTAAATGTCGTAACGTTGACATAAGAACGCAAACATTGTGTAACATGTTTGTCAATTAGTTCTTTTTTTAAGTTATATGTTTGTTTTTTCATGCCAAATTTCAGTTTAATATCTGTTGGTCTTTTAGAGATATTAAGAAAAATTCTTAAAAATGTTTGTTTTCTACACCCTATATCTCACAAACGAAGCGTTTTAAGACCTATGTTTATGGGAACTTTTCTTATTAAAAAATGATTCTCTATCAACTGTGATTATGCATTCAATCGTTTTTGTTGATTTTCAGTGCACATCATATTTTTCTTATTAATTCACAAATGTATTAGGTGCCAATATCGATGGAACAGTTTCATGCTAAATGAATTTAACCAAAAACCGTTACTTTTATAAAAAATTGAGATATCTGTTTTGTTCAGAATTGATTAAAAAATTTAGAAATTATGTTATTTTCCAGAAAAATTCACGGGCGTACGAATTATTTTTTTAAAGGGGACAGTTACCCACCTCAGGCACGTCACTGGTGGGTGAAATGGATAACAGATATCTTTATTTTATTCACCATAACTAATGTGTTATTAATGCCAAATTTCAGTTCAATATATGTTGGTCTTTTAGAGATATTAAGAAAAATTCTTAAAAAAAGTTTGTTTTCAACACCCTATATCTCACAAACGAAGTGTTCTAAGACCTACGTTTATAGGAACTTTTCTTATTAAAAAATAAATCTCTATCAACTGTTAAAATCCTACCACAAAAAACTGACTCACCCTGTATATCATTCGAATGATCATTCGATTATAAAATTAATTTGAACGGTAACCTCTCGATTATTTAATTCATTCGATCATTCCCATCACTACAAATAACCAGTTCAATAATTATTAGATTAGATTAAGTTAGGTTAGGTTAGGTGTAGTTTAGTTATTTATTTTATATGGGGTGTCAAGTAAAGGTTGTGACATACTTCGAAAGTAGCTGCCTTGAATCAAAGACTGATTTAGATCAAATTACCTTAAAATGTTACGTGTCTTTAAAACAGTTATTTTTTTCAAATTAATTTTTCAATAGTGTGAAATGTCCAAAGAAATCGTTGGTGTAAACCTTTCAAATTTTTAGGTAGTTGTGATTGCCCCATTATTCGTCAGATAATTAAAAATTTCTATGACAATCATTTTTTTTTTTAGCTTTTGATTATATTTTATCTAAAATTGTATTTAAAACAAAAAATCCCTTTAAATATTTTTTATCAAACAAATATTATTGGAGTTATTTTCTCATTTATTCAACTGTGTGTTAAGTAAGCTTCTTTTATTTAAAAAAATAATAGTAACTCGAAAATAACTTGTTTTGGAAGTGATTGATATATTTTTTCAATCAAATGAACTAATTGGATTTCTAAAACACTTAGTGTCAAAATTCCGGGATTTTCAATGATAGTACCTCCGGATATTAGTTGATATATGTATATGTATACCAATTCAGCAAATCTTGCCGTTAATTAAAACACTAGCTCAAATTTCATGAAAACTACATCATGCGTCTTCAAAGGTTTTTTTAAATTTCGACACCTTATGTCTTGGAATCCAATGACACCTAGTGTTCACTTTTTGTTCTAAAATGACTCAAGAAACATACCTCTGAAGGTAATTATGAACTTAAAATCATCCTGTATTGATAATATATACAGATGTCCAGATTTATAAGTGTACAAGCTGGTAACATAGTAAGTAAACCACAAATCAATTGCAAGTAATTTATATTACTCAAATAAACCTTAAAAATGTGCATATTTGGAAACTATAACCATTAGAATACAGGACAAGAGAGTAGAAACTTCCACAAAATAGTATTAACAATTTTTACTATGACTTATTATAGTATGTATCATTGTTATATAGTTTTGTTGTATCTTCGTTTTAATCATATAGAGATAGTTGTTCCATTTTGTTTTATAAATTATATTGTTTTCAGTAGCACTTTACTGATACATTTTTTTTTATGAATTTAATGCTTATAAGTTTTCATGACAAATAAATTCTTAATGAAAATTGTGAAATAAAAAATTAAATTAAACAAGGTATGTCAATGCATCTACAGAATTAAGTGTCATAATGATGGTGGTTTGGTTCTACAGGGTGATTTTTCATGGTCATATTAGAGATTTTTTTATGCAATAACATAACTTAATCTAGCACCTTTATTAATTTAACAGCTCTCCCTAGGTTGCCCTTATTTATTTTGAAATATTTTCATAATGAAATTTCTCAGAGTGAGCATACGAATCTCCTAAAAGGCTATAAAATTTCCATACTTTCTTATCAATAGGACCAATTTTCATCAACCACCCCTGATTGTTTTATATTTTTTGTCCATAATGTTATGGCATGCAGAACTGAAATTATTATGAAAAAATATTTTATGGTCATTCATCTTTTACTTACTATGAAAATTGTTCACTTATAAAACAAACTTGATACATCTAAAACAATAACTTGCTTTGTTAGTATGGGTCAAATCTTGCAACTGAATTTTAAAACAGTTATCCCCACGTTACGTTTAGTTTGGATAACAATGCATGGTGGTACTAAAAGCTTGTTTTTTTAATTTTTTTTATACATGAACTTATTTCCTCTTTATTATAGTTTTCGATGTTGCATGTAACACCACCAATGGCAACACCAGAGACCTTAAGCAAGAATAAAGACATAACTAATGAAACAGGTTTTGTGGAAGTTGACAAAAATACAATGCAACATGTACGGTTCCCCAACATTTTTACAATAGGTGATTGTAGCTCTTCGCCGAATTCCAAAACTGCTGCAGCTGCAGGTAAAATTCAGTAACCATTAACACACTCTCATTTTATTATTAAAAATTTCACAATTATATCACTTTTTATAAGTGTAGATTCTAGGCAATGTTTGCATAATTATTGTTTTTCACTACAATAGTGTGTCCACACATTTTAAGATTCTGTAAAATAGAGTACTGCGTGTAATAGAAATGTATATTCTGTTATTCGGGAGTAATATTTTATGTGATTACAGCTGCACAGAGCGAAGTGGTCTATAAGAATATGCTCTCTGTAATGAAGAACAAACCAATTCACGAAATGTACGACGGGTATGCATCTTGCCCACTAGTAACGGGATATAATAAGTGCATCCTAGCCGAATTCGATTATGACTTAAATCCACTGGAAACATTTCCGTTCAGCCAAGACAAGGAGCTCTATTCAATGTATGTCTTGAAGAAAAACGTTATACCATCTATTTACTGGCATCTGATGATGAACGGGCATTGGAACGGTCCGGCAACATTCAGAAAACTCATGCACCTGGGGTTTACTGATAAAAAATCAAACTTGCATGTTTAATTCTGAATAAAACTCACTCACAAATTTCGAACAAAAGAATAAGAAAAATAAATTTCATTAAAGTCTGTATATTTTAGTCTATTTTTATTTAATTCGGTTTAGAAACCGTTTTGAATATTTTTTCTTATTTTAAGGAAACTTTGCCTTATTGCTTTTGTAAAATTATTTGAGAACAGGGAATATTAAGATATTTAAAATTTTAAATATTCCTAAATTATTGATTATGTTTTTGTAATTATATCATATATCGATGCTCATTTTTTTAGTCCACTATGGAGATCTCGGTTATGATAAGATATAAACGTTGGCCAAATTTGGATAAAATGCAAAATATAATGACGAACAAACAGAGAATTTACCTTTTTTTCGTTTTGCTGTTATCCATAAAACAAAATATTAAAATATTAATTTTCGTTTTTGAATACAGTGCATTTTTCCTTATTACGACAATGAGTCATTGTAGTTTATTTTTTGTTTTCATCGTTTTATCCAGTTTCACGAGGAGTGCTATGAAAACAAAACATTCAATTATTCCTAAAGTCCCTAGATCGACCATTATTTCAAACAAAATTTTTATAGTTTAGTTAAATTTGAATATCATACATAGTTGATAAACTAAAAACTCAATTGTCACACGTAAAAGTGATTTAATAATTTGAAGAAAATCTGGATTTAATTCATGTGAAAATTGCATTTTTCCCAACTTTGACTGTCTATGTTTAACTATACTGTCAAAATTTTATTTAGTAATAGTCAGATGTTTTGTTTCCAAAGCACTATAAAGTTGATGATTTGGTGTTCCAACAAAAATAAGTAAACCACATCCTACGACACACTGTCAATCAGAAAATTGCGCTTAATTAAAAAATAGTTAAAATTCAATATAGTGTCCATAACAAAAGCAAAGGTTCATTGTCGTTCCTCCATCGTAATATGCACCATGACCAATGCGACAAATATTTAAATTCTCAAAAAAAAAAAGTGTTCTAATATCTGATTTTCAAGGATCGATATCTTTCCAATTTTGATTAAAAACAATAAATATAAATTTTGTTCGATAACTTCAAAAGGAAAAAAGGGAGAATTTTCCTCATTCTCATGGTGCAACTCATAAAATAGACACCCACTGTAAAAGAAAACTATTGAAATAATTTCACTTGGTGAGGAGGTTTTTATTACATGATTTATCTTTTGTTATTTCTGTTGGAAGAAAAAAAAAAAATTTTCAATCAATACCAATTATTTTGTATTACCTAAACATTATGGTGGCCCAAAACGAATTTTTTTTCGTGTCTTGTGAAAATATGTTAGTTTATCTTGTTTTAAGAGCCCCCTCAAAAAATCAGCTCAAAAAAAATTTTTTTAGAGGTCAAGATTTCTAAAAATTTCCAAAATCGTCAAAAATTTATATTTTTTTTTAATTTTTTTTTCTCGTTATTTTATCATTTTCTAGATTGAAAGAAATCTCTATTCTGAAAATATCAAATTTTAATTTGTAAAGGTAACTCGTAATTATTTTAACTCTCAAAGTAGTGTACCTAAAATGTTTTCAAGCGTCCTCTAAAAATAAATATCGACAAACTAATAATTTTTTTTATTGAATTTAATGAACAAAAGAATAAAAATAAATCACGAGACACTTAAAAAATTTCTCGAGACAAAATTTACTACCGCACATTTTTTTAAATTAAGTGAATTTTGAGAGGGCTCTTAAAACATGATAAACTATATATTTTCACAAAAGACACGAAAAAAATATTCGTTTTTTTTTTGGGCCACCCTACTAAACATAATACAGAAAAGAAACAAAACATATACTCTATAAGTTATATCTTGGCAAGAACGCCAGTATTTTTTCATATAATAGTTACAAATGTGTTATATTTTAATGTTAAAGGAATTGTTATCTGCTTTTTATTATGAAATATATTATATTTTTATCATTTATTACTTTAATCCTCCATCCTATATAATATACCAAGTGTTTAAAATAATTTTTTTTAATTAACTTTAATTAAAAAAAAATCGGTTTTTTTGAGGTACCTTTTCACTTTATAAATTTTCAAAAATTATGGATGTTATTACATCTCCTGTATCTGTAATATGCAAATACATAAGCTTTCAACCTATCTAGAACTGTCTACATTATACAACTCGAATATTTGAAACTGGTCCTAAAATTGTCATAACAAAAGGATGTTTAGCAATTTAAAAATGATTAAAATGTTCCGATAATCATTTATAAACTGATGAGATAAATATATCTATCAGATTATTTTATTTACCAATCAGGATTACATTGGTTACTTTGCAATAAGATAAGATTTACATTAAGTGTCGCTAAACTGGAATTTTCAAGACTTTGTTGCAAAAAAATGGTTTGTGGTGGTGACAACAAGAAAGTAGACGAAGATCACAAACTATACACAAAGAAGTTCTTCCAAACGAAGAAATTACTGCTCCTCGGAACCGGAGAGTCTGGAAAGACGACGATTATTAAGCAAATGAAGATACTCCATATAAATGGATTCTCAGAAGTGTGAGTTATTTCAAAATAATTAGTTTTAAATTCTCATATAGAGGAAGTGGCGTAATTTTTGTGCATTTTAGAGAACGGAAGGAAAAAATTCCTTTCATTAGGCAAAATATTCATGAATCTATTTATGACATTGTAAGCAACATGAGCAAAATTAACCCTCCAGTGGAGATACATAGCGTGGAATCTAAAACATCTGTGGAATATATATTAAATTTAGGACCAAATGAACCATCGGAATACACAGATGTAAGTAGCAAGAACAGTATTTCATACGGATTAACCAACTATATTTATTTCAGGAATACTTTGATCATGTTAAAATTGCCTGGGCTGATAAAGGGGTACAAGATACTTACGAGAGATCTAATGAATATCAACTTATTGATAGTGCAGCTCAGTACGTATTCATGTAACTGTCATCGAATTTTTTTTTCTGAATTTGCAAATTATAAAACAAAATAAAAAATTGTAACAAATTTTCTTTCGTACACATTAAAAATATGTTGTAAAATTAATTTTGCTAGATGAATTGGTAAAATTCAGAACAGTTAAAATTATTTTTCTAATACTAATTGCAAGAATAAATTACTATTTCGTTTTGCAGCTTTTTAAATCGTTTAGATGAAATAAGGCAGCCAGATTACATTCCTACTACACTGGATATACTCTTCTGCAGAGTGATGACGGTGTCAATATCAAAAATTGAATTTGAAGTAAAATACGGCGGGGGTGTTGCAGAATTCTGGATGTACGATGTAGGAGGACAACGAGGACAGAGGAAAAAATGGATTCAAGTTTTTGATGGAATTCAGGCTATATTATTCATCATATCGGCCAGTGACTTTGATCAGACATTACGTGAAGATGAAAATAAGAACAGACTTGAGGAGGCATTCAGTCTTTTTGAAGACGTTTATCGTAGCAGGTAAGAAACCTGGCACACATGGCTTTATTTTTTATTAATTATCAATCATATCAAAACTTTATCTAGGCATTTGAGTATGTAATTAATTGTATATAATTGTTATAGTTACTTAACGTGAAAATTAATACCCACTTCAGATAAAACTGAAACTTGAATAAGATCCAATCTCTTTTACTATTAGTTGTAATAGTTTCAATAATTTTCATAGATTTGTGCGAGATGCAGGATTGATTTTATTTCTGAATAAGCAAGATTTGTTAAAGAAGAAAATTGACCAAGGCAGAAAACTAGAAAAATATTTTCCAGAATACTCTAATTATCAAACAAAGGAAGGTGATCCGAACAGTGAATATGACAGAGCAAAGTTTTTTATGAAGGATAAGGTTGAGGTAATTTTATTTGCCCATTATAGACCGTGAGCTAGCGCACATGGGTGTGGCATCATCGAAAAATATCTGGCATTTTGAGGTCTGAAAAAAGTAAGTTAGTTATTGAAAATAAGGGTGGTTTTAAGGGCTGACCCATGTTCGAAAATTTGAAAAATTAATTTCCTTTTGCATAAAACAATTAATTTTTTACTCATCTTAAAGTGTCAGGCAGTTGATGCAAAAATAGACATTATTAAGTACCTAACAATTTTCAAATGCCAGACGGTTTTAAATAACCGAAAGAGTGGTTCATAGGGGTGAACTTGCAAGAAGAAAAAAAAATTCATCATTTATTTTTTGTCTGGCAGTCGGAACAATGAAAATTTTTGTTATGAAAATGGTAAAAATAAATTGCCAGACGGTTTCCAATGTTCGAAGTCGAGTTTCTGTGGAAAATGACATATTTCAGTGATCACTATTTGTCTGGTATCTCGGGTACTTAAAATTAATACCCATATTTCTTGTCACAAAAAATTTGCCAGACAAATTGGAAAATGGAAAAATTGTGCCAGACAAAAGAAAATTTGTAAAAAATATATTAAAGTTTAAATGATTTTTGTCTGGCATTTTGAATTTCAATTAGAAATACGTGTATAAACACAATATACAAATGCCAGACAAATTGAGATTGAAAAAATTTAATGAAAACTTGGTTTTCTTTTTTTTTAATTTAAACGATTTATTTTTGTCTGGCATTTTGCATTACTATTGAAAATACATATTTCAGGGTTCATAGTTCAAAAGTAATAAGGAATTCCCTGACTTTTCCAAGTTTTCCCTGACTTGTAGTACATTTTTACATACTAATTGGTGTTTATGCATTAAACTTTTTCTCAACTGGACTCCATAATCTTTTTATACCCAAAGAAATTCTTATAAAGGTTTCAAAATCACAAATAGTTTTCTCTTTCAAGAACCCAGGGCCGGCTTTCACAAAATTTCCAGTTGCAAACATCAAATTCCCTGACTTTCATGAATATTTTTAAAATTCCCTGACTTCCTGGTATTCCTGGCCGCTACGAACCCTAAATTTATACTTAAGGTTAAAACGCCAGACAAGTTGGGTTGTTTGAAAATTAAAAAAAAATTAAATTAAATTAAATTAATGAAAACTTAAATGTATTTTTTTTGTTTGGTAATTCGTTTTTTAATAAACTTACAAACTCAAATTAAAAACGTCAAACAAGTTGGGCTGTTCGAAAAATGTATAAATAAATAAAGTTGTAAAAAAATACAATTTCTCTTTTTTTTCAACTTTTTCCCTTTATAAGCTGTAGTTACTTGGGAAATATACTCAAGATACTATTTCCGACGTAAAATTTCCTACCGAATATAATGCTGTCAATGGAAGTGATTTACCTAGCCAAGAAAAGCTGGAAAATAGGAAATCTCCATAAATTTAAAAAATTCACATTTTAAATCATGTGAATTAAGAAATAAAATCGCAGAAAAATGTTATTCAAAGCATGAACTTCAAATAAATAAAAAGTGCTTATTACAAGATGTTAATATTTTTACAACTTTTTAATTTAATTTAATTTTTTTTAAATTTTCGAACAACCCAACTTGTCTGGCGTTTTAACCTGAAGTATAAATATGTATTTTCAATAGAAATGCAAAATGCCAGACAAAAATAATAAGTTTTCGTTCATTTTTTTGTAACTTTTTAATTCATTTATACATTTTTGAACAGCTCAAATTGTCTGGCATTTGTATGTTGTATTTATACTCACATTTCTAATTGATATGCAAAATGCGCCAGACAAAAATAAATTATTGAAATTTTTTATCAATTTTTTCACGCCTTTTTTATTTATTTCGGACAATTTGTCTGGCACTGAAAATGAATAACATTGGCCTTCTTTTTTTGTACATTAAGATCACTGAAAAATGTTAAAAATTTTCACATAATTTTCCGCAGAGATACTCGAACATTGGTACCGTCTGGCAATTTATTTTTATCATTTTCATAACAAAAATTTTCATTGTTTCGACTGCCAGACAAAAAGTAAACGATGATATTTTTTCTTGCAAGTTCACCCCTATTCACCCTTTCGGCTATTTAAAACCGTCTGGCATTTGAAAATTGTTAGCTACTTATTAATGCCTATTTTTGCATCAATTGCCAGACATTTAAGATGAGTGAAAACTAATTATTTTATGTAAAAGGAAATTAATTTTCCAAATTTTCGAACATGGGTCGATTTTCATTAACTAACTTACCATTTTCAGACTTCAAACCCATGTGTGCTAGCTCACAGTATATTACTCTTGTAACATTTGATTATCAAAAACTATATAACAAAAAATTATTTCTGTAATATTAGCCAAATTTGTTAACTCGCTGATTAAATATTTTGAGTCAAAATTTATTTAGAAATAATGTAAATCACAATCAAAAGTATTATTCATTATATTATTTAAGGCGCATTAACAGCAAGGATGTCCTTCTAAATTTTTTTTGTAAATAGTCTAGATGGACTTATTGAACCAATTATAATCCAGCAGGAGTGTCCATGACCTGTATCAGCATCACTTAGAACCCCAGTCTCTCAAATAATATCAGGAAGGTAAATAATAGTCGGGTTATGGGTCCAAAATTGTGAAAATAAGAATATCAACTATAATCACCAGTGTTGTAGATTTAGATACAGAAACTTAAATAGCCTATATTAAAAATAATATATTCAGTATTATGAATTGATGTAATTGGAGATACCGAGGTTAAAGTTTTGCCGAAAAATCACCTACAAAAAAAAATGCAGTAAATCATGGATTAATGCCTGGATCATAATCGGTTAACAATTTGTCCAAAAAATTTTTAGAAAGTCCTGGTTCTAGACGAGCTACACTGTATATAACAATTACATTTCAGAAAATTGCCAGCACACCTTTAACTATTGAACATATTGGTTTTGTACCTGGAAAAAATATCCATGAAAAGTTGCCACCAAGAACTATATACACACATTTCACAGTAGCGACCGATACAAATAATATTAAGAAAATATTTGAAAGCGTGCGTGATACCATACTAAGACATACAATAGATGTTACATTTGGTACATTTTAATTTTTTTACTTATTTCAATAATTAACTTCTTGATTATAATGTATGATGCTGTAATTATTTAATATTTAATAAAATAAATCATCCCATTTTATCAGTCAATGTTTTTAATCCCAATTTGCCTTAATTAGAATTATTGCCTTATCTCTTTGAACAATATTTACAATCAAGACTAGGAATGAAGATACACCAGGACTTTTACATTCAAAAAGTTAAAAAAAAACTGAAAAATAAATTTAGTCGTTGGAATCTATGGTACCAGAAATTAGGGACATGAAGAGAGCAAGATAGATATTCAAACGAATGTATAGTTCTATTATAAAACAATAGTCTCGTATACATTTATTACAATAAAAAAAAAGAATGAAAATAAATATACATATATTTCATGAAATTTTAAAATATAAACTCTTACTTTAATAATGACCATTTCAGCTGTTCTTTTGCAGATTGAAATACCTATAAATAAATAAATAAATGATCATTTAATTAGTAGTAAAAAATATATATTATAAAACAGCTTATTCTAAAATAATACTCATATCAGATTGGAATTACATGGAATTAAATATACAACTACATAGGAAATGAACAATATCGTTTAAACAAAATGTTTTACCAAAACATTGAATGTATAGCATTAGTTACCTGGGCTACGGTTTGTTCTCCAATTGGAATGTCATCATTTCTTAAAGCTACTCGTGACACAACAGAACTTGAATCAGCATCGATAATGATTCTGAAATAGAGGTAATTATTTTATATAATACGATATACTGAACTGGATACTCTACCCTCCATCACAAATTTCATCCATTGCTAGCATTACTATATCAAGAGATTCTAAAACTGCTCTCTTTTCAACATTTTTTCTTAAAATCTGGCTTACAGAATCATAAAGACAATTTAGAACACTCATTAGAATAAGCTGGAAATTTAAGGTATATTTAGGTTATTAAATTTTCCAATAAATAGATTTCAACTTACCTCATTTTCATGTGAACTTCCCATAATATAAAAAAATAAATCTACATTGCTTCTATAGACACAGGTAAGACCATCCAACATGATAATTTCGGCATTAGCACGGTGGGTCTTATTAAATAAATTCTTTTCAAAGGTTCTTTGCTCTTTTGCTGTTGGAAACGTGTTTTTATCGTAGTATTTAGCTAATATTCTATTTCCGTCATTATCTAGGATAGCTATACCTTTCACCGTGTACAAAGTAGGTTCCTAAAATGTATGTATAGGTTAGAAAATGTTTGGCAAATTTAAGTCTCATTCTCATTAATGTTTAATTTTGGGACTTACTAATAACGATCCTTCCATTTTACATATGATTGGTGTCACCTGAACCAATTTAATGGAAATTAATTATATTTTACAGGTTTTCTTGTTTTCTTGTACGTGGCCAATGACAGCACATAAGCACAATTGACAGCAGACAGCAGTATCATTTATTTATACTCGACGGCCAAAATTATAGATTGTGATTCATCGCTAGCTCTTCGACTAGTAAGGGGGATGAAGCGTGCCGGGAACGAAAATCCATTCACGTGTCTGCGTAAAAGGCAACAAGATATAGAAAATATTGAAAAAACATAATAAAACATAACATCTAATATTTTTTACGGTTTGCTATAACGGGCACTTTGATCAATTTTAATTATTACAGCATTTTAAAACGTCCCAGTTGTGTTTTTTTTTTAATTTATAAATCTATTATAGCCATGGAATTAGACCCCTCGTCTACGCTTATGCTATGACGTTTCTCAGGTCGGGCAAATCAAGTCCGTTTACACCCACTAAAAAAGCATTTCCCTATTCCCTACCAAGTGCAAAAGACAGAGATAAAATATAGATCGACGTTCAGTGTAACTCAGTCTATACACGATTATAGATTCTACCGATGTGCATGGCGAGCGGCACAAAGATAAATAATATTGAACCGTATAGAAATCATTTTATATTTTATACGCATTATGGTAATAGTGTTTTTATATTATGTATTAGTCACTCTTTATAATTTCGGCCGCCGAGTATAGACTAGTTGACTAGTTGGTCAACAGTTGGTCGTCGGTCGTGTCGTGTCACAAAAGAAGTATGTGGTCACAAAACACCAACAGGTAGTCTGGGGTCGTGTTCATGTTCTGTTATTTTCAGTTATTCATACCGTGTTCTATTCAATTACTTGTATTCTAAAGGAATAATAGAACACGGCTATGTCATTTCATCACAAGGTCGAGACTGATCTGAATTGATCAAAAGGAAAGAAGTTAAATATTTTCAATTGTTTGGAAATCGCGCTATTTTTTTATCGCGAATTGTGAGTAATGAAAGTTTAGTAAATGTAGTATTATTTGATTGATTCTACCATTAAGTAATGTTATGTAGATTACATAACATTACTCGACTTATAAATTTATAAATGAATTAAGAAAAATTTTAAATTTACTGTTGATAAAGAAGGAATTGAAATTTATTCGAATATCATTATTGGCAATTGTCATTTCGAGTCTGCGACTTCTATGTTCCATGTTCTCAGTCTTCCATTTCTAATTTCAATTTCTGTTTTCTGTTACCTTCCTTCAGTTCCTTCTGCACTTCCCCCACCAATTGTTGGTTTGCTGAAAAAGGTTTGGTAAAATTCTTGCACAAGGTAATTATAATTTATGTTAGTCATCTCGAATTATTCTACAGAAAAGTCATTTTATAAACGTTTATTGGAATACTTTATAGTGTAAATGGTAAATATATTTACAAAAATATTTAGATTTTAATGCTTTTGAAGTATTTTAACCCCACTACATTCAAATATGCCGGATAGATATCTAAATTTTATCAGACATTTGGTTCAGCTTTATTCACTTTATCTGTATAATATAATTAGGTATATGGATATTGGTAGACAAATATTATGTAGAAAAAATACGTATGTGGTTGTGTGGTTGTTGGTATGTGTCTTGTCATTTTGTTTTGTTGTAAACATGATAAATTTCAAGGTTTTGAAAAACGATAAACCTAGTTCCAACAATTAAAAAGTTATATTCAAATTCATATGTAATTTGTTTCTCTAATTCCAGATGCCAGAAATGACTGAAGTTGAAAAGCCTGTCGTGGCTGAGGCCAAACCTGAACAAAGTGAATCGTCCACAGATAGTGATTCAGATGAGGAAATTCCAGAGTTGGAAGATGCGGGCACAGCTAATGCAGGTTCTGCAGCTTTTCCAGGTGCAGCTGCTGCAGGTTTACCGATTGATATGGTCTCGAAAGCTAAACAGTCAAGGGGGGAAAAGAAGGCTAGAAAAATTATGTCCAAGTTAGGTTTAAAACCAGTAAGTAACATAAATAAAATTAGTATTTGGGTATTTATTCAGTTCAATGTCTAAAAAAAAATATTAATTGTAAATGTTTTTTTTTCAATGGTATTTTTTATTAACAAAACTTTCTCTAAACATGATGAGTATCACCAAGGTTTCGCAAATTTAATCTGAAAGTATTTATTTGATTAAATTCTTGGCAGACTGATGAAATTAAAACATGTGCGGTTATGGCCCCTGCACCTTTCACTGCTGATTCCAAAATTTGTTTCCAGGTCCAAGGTGTCAGTAGGGTGACAATACGCAAATCCAAGAATATTCTGTTCGTCATAAACAAACCGGATGTGTACAAGAACCCAGTAAGTGACACGTACATTGTATTCGGCGAAGCCAAAATCGAAGATCTGTCTACACAAGCCCAAGTCGCGGCCGCTGAGAAATTCAAGGAAGTCAACCCAGCAGGGGACAGTGCGGCTGGCAATACAACTACATCCGTAGCACCAATCGCAGAAGAATCTGAGGATGAAGAAGTTGATGAAACTGGAGTGGAAGACAAGGACGTCGAGCTTGTCATGTCTCAAGCGAACGTAAGCAGGGGTAAGGCCGTAAAGGCCCTTAAAAATAACCAGAATGATATAGTGAATGCTATCATGGAGCTCACAATGTGAGTTTGTATTTTATCTCTCTTGGTTTCTCTTGTTCGTTCATATTCTTTTCGTATTTCATTTTATTACTTGGACAGCACTATATAAGACTCCAGTGTACATAATTTACTTATTAATAAACATTTAGTCATTAATTGTTAGTTTCCATTCCTACACATTTGTTGTTTTTTATTGGGGTGTTTTCCAACTTTTTAAACTTTTGAAAACGAGTGAAAAAATATGGGACCCGCATCAATCCTCAAAAAAAAAAAAAAATTAAAAAGGCATTGTATCACTAAGGGGGAACATCCAAGTAGACAGTGGAAAAAATAAGTGAATTTTAGGAATTATTATCTCAAAAACTGGTCGATTTTATCCAGGTTTGTTTTATTTGAAAATGTACATGTTCAGGTACGCTGACAAATTTCTTTATACCAACTGGGAGTTCTGCTGTCATGGCCAGCGTAAAAAATGTCACTTTCTCACAAAGTCTGCAGTTCCCAAGATTACATGAGTCAGTTGACGTGCAGAGAAAATTTCAAAAAGATTCTCAAACTGTAATGCTCTTCGCAACGTAGGATTTAAAAAAAAATTTCCATAAAATGGCAGCCAATAATTGCACGTTACATTTTTGCAACCTTAATTTCTGGCCTTTCTAGCTTGATAAAAAATAATAACAGGGTTCTTAGCGGCCGGGAATACCGGGAAAAGTCGGGGAATTCGTTATTCTTCATAAAAAACAGGGAATAGTCAGGGAATTTTAAAAATATTCATGAGTCGGGGAATTTGACGTTTGCAACTGGAAATTTTGTGAAAGCCGGCCCTGGGTTCTTGAAAGAGAAAACTATTTGTGGTTTTGAAATCTTTATAAGAGGTTTTAAGGGTATAAAAAAGATTGAGTCCAGTCGAGAAAAAATTTAATGCATAAACGCCAATTAGTATGTAAAAATGAACTACAAGTGACCTGGATTTTTTTTATAAGTCGGGGAAAACCTGGAAAAGTCAGGGAATTCTTTATTACTTTTGAACTATGAACCCTGATTAAGTAAAAAAAAAATTCATTCCGAAGTAGAAAACCTGTTCGAAAATTTTAGAAGCAATCGGTCGTGACATTTTCTGAATATTTTGAAGATAATCTCACGTTTGAAGTTTGGCAAAGAATTGACACACTTAGGAACTTTGTCGTTCCACAGCTTCTCAGTATATCGCCCATAACTTTTAGTTCTTGGAATATCAAGATGACATTTTCACGGTATTCTTCATATTTCAAACATGGAGAATTTTTTTTTGGAAAAATCGAATTTTACCATTAATCTGCGATTTCTAGACCAGAGAGTAGACCCTCTGCAGCATCTGCAGCCATCCGTGACTGTCTTGAAGGAAAATAAAATACTCGGATATTCCCCTGAAAATTTCGCCAAATGTAATTTTTAGAATGTTTTGGTCTATTGCAGTGACAGCATAAAGACATAAACAGGCATATTAAAAAAGCTAAGTATCTCTTATAGTGAAGGAATCTCCAGGCGAGTTTAATCGCTAAAAATTTATAGGACTCAAATTCTCCAGACGAATTAATTGTAATTGCATTGTAATTAAATTGGATCAGGCTGCTCAAACCGTATATATTCGCAACCATGCGCATTAGTGATTCGGTTGTTGCAATTGGTATAAGGAATTTTTGCGGGCCGAGCTTACAGTGATTGTGGCAATTATTTTTATGGAAGGAGGTATTGGTAATAATGCCAAGATTGTTGCATCTCTTTCAGTTTCTATTTAGTATGGCTATCGATATATTGTATTTTATTTAAAATAAAATCGTAAAAATATCTAGAAAATTGACAAAGAACTGGAAAAAATTTTAACAAGGAGCGATAGCGGCGACGAGTTTGAGATTGAGGAGTGTAGTGATGGATGCTTTATAATAAAATATTAGTAACTAAACTATTACAATTATTTTCAAACCTTTAAACATATTTTAATTTAATTTAACACAACATAAGGTAAAAATATAAGTAGTCTAACTGCTCCAGACAAGTATATTCGCACGCGGTAAAGGTCAGGGAATTCATTATTCAGTCGAAAAAAAGTTTAATGCATAAACAACATTTAATATGTAAAAATAAACTACAAGTGGTTTGGATTTTTTTTATGCAAGGGAAAACCTGGAAAAATCAGGGAATTCTTTATTACTTTTGAACTATGAACTCTGTTATTTTTGTATTTAGCAAAAGCTAAAAAGCACCGTTTTTGTTGTTTATAATTTAGTATGGCACCATAAGATAAAAAAAAAGGAAGAACTGATGTTGAAACAAAAATCATAATTCAAAATGAAATTCTTTAGAGTTGTTATAATAATGAAATACAAAATTTGTAAAAAATTTAAAATATATATAGTGATTCAGAACTTACCTAAAAAAAATTCAGATGTACAGGGGACTCTTACAAACACAATTTTGTAAAGAAAAAATCAAAAAGGGCAGTACGAAAATGATTTAAAAATACACTTCTGCGCGGCACTGAAAACTGATCCACTGTAAAACCTGACCTTGCACAATGCGACCAGCATGGTGGCAAGGTGTGATAAAAACGGACAAGAACTTTCGCAAGGAAAGAAATAAATAGAATTTTATATCAGCAAATTCAACTGCTTTTGCCGTTATTGCTATTATTAATTAATAAAATTAATTTGTGGTTTTAAATAAAAAAATTATTTGACATACCTAATGTTACAACTGTTCAAAATTTTATCCACCGACGTGAAAACACATTTGGGTCTGTCTTACTCATTTTCTACAAACTAACACAAATGTTGTCTTGCTTCACCATAAATTAAAACGATATCCATCTCTCCGAGTTGCTATACACACAAGCTATTTTGACACTAACTACTAAAAACTATTGTAAACACCACAGATAACAGGTAAACACTATCGCAGCGACGATTGTAAAATCGGATTTCAGTATTCGGAGTCGTTGAGGCCACGTGGGTCTCCATGCGTATTACGAATGACGCTAGAGACTACAGTTGTTAAGCTATGTAATGGTTTCGAGTGGCAGTTGCGACCCCTAAATTTTTAAATGAGAAGTTTGATCTTATGATACCTCATTTGAAANGATTTCAGTATTCGGAGTCATTGAGGCCACGTGGGTCTCCATGCGTATTACGAATGACGCTAGAGACTACAGTTGTTAAGCTATGTAATGGTTTCGAGTGGCAGTTGCGACCCCTAAATTTTTAAATGAGAAGTTTGATCTTATGATACCTCATTTGAAAGGTATTTTCATTGCCTATTCAAAAATGCTATGGTTTTAATATTTATTCTGCTTAACGAAATTTGTTACAACAAAAATATAAAAACAGTGTTTTGTTCTGCCACTCGTAGGGGGTTGAATTTAGGGATGAAATTTTTACATTGCAGGATGTCGTTTCAGAATCCAAAATCGACGTGTCTCGGGATTTTTTATAATATGCACAATAATTGAGATACTGAATTTATTCGCCATTTGGCTGTTCCGCACAGTATATATTAGGCATATGTATTATATATTGATACACTTAATCTAAATATAAGTATAATTTAATATATTCTGAACGAAATATATAATGATAAACAGAACATACAAAAATTTGTAATTATACCACCAACCCATCACCAAGTCCATACGAATTTGTTTACTTTCAAGTAATGAAATGTGCATGGCATCTCACGAAAAATATTTACTTATATCCGAGCCCGTCATGGGATAAGTATTTCTTGGTAAGTACCAGTTTGGTGAACTTTTGTTACGCTCCAGCAAAGGATCGCTGTACCACCAACCATAACACATCGAATTTACACCTGGGTATAAGTACATCTCGTAAGGCCCTATGAAAATTAAAGTTGTGAACTTCTAAATACACTGCCCCTCTATCAGACAAGTCTTTAACCTCTTCATGCTTCTGCCCGCGTGTGATTCGGGATTGCATTTTGCACACACCCAAGTCACGTTCGGGCATAAAGTAATTAGATTCGGGATTCATTATAAAAGCATTTTTTTATACATGCAGCTTTCAACAATGACAGATGTCTCTCGCTATCAAAATACTTCTGTGCGAACTGTTTTCTGCAAATTACATTTTTTTTTGCAAAAACATATTTATTATACTTGCCCAAAATAAATTGTTAATTTTTTTATTTTTGAAGAAGTTCTATGCCACTGGAAATACAAATTAGATAGGATGTGATAATCTACTCCTATGGATAATAGTGTTCCATTTTTGTCATAAGTTATATCAAAATATATTTTTTTAATATTTAATCTTATCAAAATTTAAAAAGCGACTATGAAAAATTTGTCAAAAATATATTGCTATGAATGAGAACATTCCACTTTGGCTAAAGGTGAAAGGGGTTAATATACTTGTAGAGGGATTGAGTTACCACTACATGATGAAAATAACACATGAAACAATTACCTACAGGTTTGAAAACATATTTTTTTCTCATACGTGTCAATCTATCCCAAGATCTATAAGCATAGCCATCGGTAAATCCAATGTAACAATCTAATTCCTTAATTCTCTCACAAAAGTTGCCTTTTGAATCATCTGCAAACATTTACAGGTAAATGAAAAATTGGACAGGTAAATGTTTCACCTGAGTGTATGTCCTTGGGTGGCTCTGTGGGTTCCTGATAATCTGGCCGCATCATATCTTTTATAGGGTCACTGACACCGTAGGCTGTAAGTCCAAAAAATTCCATTTCACAATTTAAAAAGCATGTATGACAACTAAAAATAATTAAGTACACAGCCAGTTTGATGTCAAAGATGTAATTAAAAAAATAAATGTTTCAATTACTTACCTTTATAACACAATATAAATTCAAATGTATAAATAAAAAAAGAAACTGTGATAAAACTTTATTAGTGGACAAAAACAGAGAATATAGTAATGTCAGTAACATTCAGTGTTGCATTTTTAAAATATTGAAATGATGTAAATATTATACTCGTAATTTGAATAACATGAATTTTTAATAAATAAAAAAATTAGTAACGGCTCATGAAAATTAAAGTTTTCAGTGTAATATGAAAAAATTTTTCCAGTGTCATGTGTAACGTTTTGGAAATCTCCGGTTCTGACTTATTTTAATTTATTTCACAAATTTCGTCAAAATTGTTTTGTAACGAAAGTTCTTTATGTGGGCCTAGAAATCAATTAAAAAACGGTATAGGTACCACACCGCATTATGATCACATTAATATCCATGAACTGTCACTGAAGAAAGTGGTATTTTTACAAAGTGCACTTCGCTTATGTGATTACTACACTTTTAGCATGTATTTAGGAGAGTTAAAAGTATGTGATAACTGGTATTGTAAAGGCGAGAACATTCAATGTGCTTGATAATATTCGCTAGTGAAAAAAATATTGTGCGTAAATGTCTTCTTTGGAAACAAAAGAAAACCTTTTTTTGATTTTTTCTTAATTCTTTGTATTTGTTTTTTAAATATTGCATTTGTGAATATTGTAAATATGGGGCAGTTAGGAACATTTTCGAGAAAATTGACGAAAATTTTCATCATTTTCAAAAAGTATGAAATATCTGGCATTTTTTTTTATTTTATGACAATTATGCAGTGGTAGCTGGTGCGAGGCAGAGGGCTCTGGGGTGCCGCCCCCCTAGAAATTTTCATAGTAATAAAAATTTAATTTAAAATTTAGTTTACAATGTTATCTCGATAATTAAATAGATTAGCCTTATGAAACACATTAAACAAGAAATGTCCAATCAATTTAACTCGACTTGCAAAATTCGTTTGCAAAACACTGAATACTTGAGCTCGCTTCTACATCTATAAAGTGTTTACAGCGGTGGTCATGGTTACCATCGCGCAGCAGTGAAAGACAAAGTGACAGTAGCAGACATTTACTATACAGTTTTGGGGTCCTGTTCAGTCCAATCGTAACCAAATAATAGCTATTTATCCCTTTTTTTCTTTGATTTTGTTTCAATATTTTGTACCTAAATTTTTCCACCCTCCCTGGTCAAGAGCCGCCACTACAATTATGTCACAGAATATAAATCTGCAGGTCCTTAATACTTATTTTCATTTGTGCTTAATAATTCTCCAAAAAATAAATTGCCGAGTATTTTACAACACTAGTGACGACGTCGATTCATTCTTTATTTTTTTGAATAATAAAATTATCACATACTTTTAAGTTTTTAAATATAAAGTAAACACATGAAGACAAAACTGAACTAGATTTAAGAGATCTTGAAAATAACTTTAAAAGTAGTTGTGATGTTACCTGATGAAAGGCTAGTTTCACTAATTTTGTGAAATTTATATGATTAACTGATTAAAATAACATATATACAAAATGAAATGCCTTGTGAAGAATAAGGAAACTATGTTACTGATAAATGTATGCCTGTTTAATATTAATTCAAATTCAGAACAAGAGCAAAAATTACGAGTTGACGTGGATATGGATGTCATCTTAGACGTTGAGATGTAACAAAATCATGAAAATGTCTTTCTACTCATAACATTCAAACATATGAACGGAATGAGACAAACTAAGTAGTCATTTAAAGCCAAAAAAGGGTTGTAGTAGTCTATGGACTATAGGTGTTACCATCCTTTTCAAATAAAGCCTGCCACGGTTTTCATCCATAGATAGCCCCATACTTTTTAGTCTTTTAGACAGGCTTTAGATGACAGGTTTAGGCTGTCAGTTTTAAATCCTAACAGACCCGTACTTTCAGTACTCCTCTTATGATGCAAATTTTAATTAATTATTTATTGCTTTTATTATCTTTCACTATTTGTTATTTTTTTCCAACCTCGCTCATTCTGAGAAAGCTACAAAAAAATTTTTAAGTGCAGCTGTTCTTTGGAAAAACAAACACTAAAAGAACACAGAACCAAAGAATCTTCTTCAATATCAAAAATCCAGGTATGCAAAAGATATCTAACCCCACAGACAAGATACCTAACTGCTGATATTGCATCCATGTATTTTGTTTACTTAACCTTAATTGTACTAAAATTAATACTTCATTAAATACTTCACTAGTCATGCGAAGGTGTTTTTTAAAATCGATAAAATAATTTTACCTCATTTCCTGTAGTAACGGGAAATGATGATTAAATGTTTATTTTTTTATACTCCCACTTACTTTTTAGAGTAAGATAACTTGATAAACAAAATATTGCCTGTGTCTTTGTACTGACCCATAATAAATTAAATAAAAATTACATTAAATGTATCTCGTAGATATATATCAGTTGTGCTATTCGTACAAGTAATGTAAAACTTTCAACTTGACAAAACTCCACAGGCCACACAAAGACACACAAGTTTTCAACAATTTTGTATTATTAACAAATTGTTTACATCTTACACTCTTAAACTTTACTTCATGTTAGTGGATAATGAAAGTAATGGTCCCTTAAGGTTGAAAAGAGACAGCATAAGCCTGTCACTCAAAGCCTCTCTAAAAGACAAAATGTGCAAGCCACTAATAAGAACAAACTTTGTAACTTTAAACCCATCAACCACTTTAGTGGGTTATATCTCGGTAGAAAATCAGAAATCAAATTTTATTTCAGAAAGAGTTACTTTAATTACCAGAATACAAATTCCATTTAACTGGGCCTCCTTATTCAAAAGAAGTACTGCTTTGCTAACAATTTAAAATCCCTTTTTTTCAAAATCATTTGCTCTGCTCCAAAATTACATTGGTCATGTAAAGTAATGAATTTAGTTTAGACATTGGCTGCAGTCTACTACTTGACACTCTACTAATGACAGTCTACTACTTTGCTAAACAAGTCGTTATGAGTTTACGAGATGAACTCGTCGCAAGTTCCCAAATATCGAAACATATCCACGCCTGCTTGTAATTCTTGCGGTAGTGATATACAACTAATTATTTTTTTTTTGTTTTTTGTTCTGTTAGAATAAGAACTCCACATAAACCTGTCAGTAATCACGATTGCTTAAAATTACACTTATAAATATAATTCCTTAAAAAAATTTGTCTACAACCATTATCTAACTTAACTACAGTAATTCGTTATGAGGACGTAACCAAAGTGACTAAAACCCTTGATACACACTGTATAATAAATTACAATATCTATATATACAAAAAGAAAAGACACCAAAACCATACCATAATTAATTAATTATGCTTATTTACAGTTAAAAATTGATGCACTATATACCTAAAATTTAAAATACCCTGCTGACTGCATATATTTCATTTTTTCATTATTAAATTCTACAGAGTATTGCAACAAAAAAAGTGTAAATGTATAAAGTGTGCCCCATGATTGTTCCCAAAGAGAGAAAACTTTTTTATTAGATTTACAAAATAAAAGTGATTTTAAAACTTTCTGTTTATTCTTAAACTCTTATAAATATTGTTTCCTTAATTTTATAAGCAGGACGTTCAATTTTTGGAAAAATTTAAAAATTATAGTGAGCGAAGTACCGCAAATTATTTAAATATCAAATATGACTAAGAAGTGTCAAATGTTTTGTGAAAAAAATATATATACAGGTGTCCCAGAAATACATACACACTACAAAGTTTTCAAAAAAGACTGGATAAAAGTTATTGCTTTTGACGAGTTAAATGTATGGTTAAAATTTTGACACCCTATATAATTACCTTATTTCATACCAGCAGATAAGTTTTTTGCGATTCTAGTAGTTACTTCAGTATTTTCGACTTATTTGCACTTTTCAATTCAGTGCACAGCCGCAATATTTATATCCTTTATTATTTGAGCTAATGGTAAGCAATGAAGAAATATTCAGTGTGTACTGTTTGCAAAATTGCAAATAAGTCTAAAACTTTTGTTAAAGAGGTCATAAAATTTTACTCCATGTTCCTGTTCTATTACGGAACTATTCAGAATTTTAACGTTATATTACCAAGTACAATTTCAGGGGCTCATTTCCAATTTTTTTCTAAATTTCTTTCAAAAGATTTACTTAAAATATTTAATATGTATTACACCAATACTTATTTTCAATCAGTGGTGGCGCGTGAACATTAATTGAATGTGTTCTGCTTCGGGTTGTTACATTTGTTGAATTGAATTCCGGGATATTAAGTGCCCGGAGTCTCTAAATGGCGAAAAATTTTAAAATTTTCAAGGTCACGTGTTTTCCTGGCACTTCTAAATTTCAAGGAACAATCCATTTATACAAAAATACAGATTTTCACAAGAACGATTTTTGAAATATCTATTCACGAATTACCTACTGACGGTATAAATAAATTGGAATAAACTAAATATATTTTATTAAATTATTGAATATTGTTTATAAACAAAAAAATCGTTTGTTACATTTACCAACGATTCAACGAATTTTAATTTTCCTCGCCATGTTATGATTTTTTCTTTATCTTTTTTTATATATATGTACATTATATTATATTCCGAGAGTTATACGTGCAAATCCGAAATCCAGGACCATACAGCAATTCCTGGTACAATCACAGAAAATCCCGGTCATACCCATGTGGCTAGATGTTCTTTTAATATGTCGTCAAGATCTGCACTAAAATTTACGAGTCCACGAAACACATCAGGGTTGTCCGAATTTTCTGTCTCGTCGTGTCCGCGAAGTGCTATTTCGAGAGTTCCGCAAAATTTTATGCAATCTACGATTTTAGATAATACATAACGATTTTTCGTTACCTGTTCATTGTGTTTCCGTATATTATCCCAATATGCAGAATCTAACTGACTTCTTATGTTTATTTTACCTAATGACTTAAATTGCTTAAATCTTTCACACTGTATATCCCTGCTTTAACCCCACCGAAAAGTAAGCACGGAACACAAAACAGTGTATTTTTTAAATCACACCCACACACCCACTCTGCTTTTGTGTATACATTATTGTTAAATTGTCTTTTATAACTTTTACTTCGGCTTGTTCCACTAACTTCAATATTTAATTGTGGTGTTGGTCCACCTAATTCTTTTATTTTTAGTTTATCCTCATAACGCAGAGAACCAAACAAAGTTTTTTTTTAAAACGAAACGCTATTCATTTTAATAAATATAATATCCGTAGACGCCTAAATGAAAATATTCACACGTACCGCTCGCAGAAATAAACCACCACATACCACGTATGAAATATTACTGCATTTACTGCAGCAGTGGCTGTCGTTGTTGCAGCCACATAACTCCATATATTCGTGTACTGGGTCGCATGCCTGATTAGCCAATCAAAACAAAGGACACATCTAATCGTTCGCTGTGCACACCATTTTGTATATGAGGTCATAATAAATAATAATATAAGCTCCTAGATTTATTTTAGCGTGAGTACATTTGGATACTTTAAATATTTTGTTGATATTTAATATGATTAAATACATAAAATTTTATGTGTTCTGCAGCTTCGCAGCTCTTATGGTAAAACCGCCACTGTTTTCAATTATCTAACGCATAAAAGAGAGAGGAAATAAATAAAGAGGTATAGTCTTTCCGAAGTCAATTGAACATATAAAAAAAAACGCTTGGCAATAAAATTTAATGCTACCATAGGCATCCCTAAAAAAGTTTTCTGCTAAAGGTAAAAAATTATAATAATTTGTATATAATGTGTAGAAAATTTGTATTATATGTTCATTTGGCCAACAACATATTTTAATTATTTTCGTCCTCAAACAATTTTATTCTATTGATGGTAAATTTCGTTTTGTTCCGTTTCAAAAGGTCCCCAAAATGCCATGTTGTAATAATATTATTTCTCCCTTTCACAATTGTAATATCAATGATTAATAGGTGCCTATAATAAATTAAAATTACCTGAATCACACCAAATTCCGCATTACTGCACTGCACTGCTGGGCAATTTGTCAATCACTTGTCAACAGCTGAGATTCATTGCCCAGTGGACCGATGCAGCTGTTTGTATTTCGTTTGCGTGCTCACATTCTTCAACTGGGCGTATACATTTCTACCACCACCACGTTTAGTTTGACCAGACCTGTATATGGGTATGGCTAAATAAATATGGGAACAAGTGTATAAAATATTTCAATGTCGAGTTGCTGCGTCAGCGACCAGTACATACTGTCAACCTCTTTGTTCTTCAATTGACATCGGAAAGACTGTAAATTGTTGGTTGATGGATTTTCTATACAGGGTGATTCAGTCATAATATCATTAATTTTAAGGTAAGATAGGGAAAAATGAGTAGAATACGAATATATGATTAAAAAAATTTTAAGATGCATATTTAGGCTCAAAAAAAATTTTCAAATCATAAAGCTTAATAAAGTTGAGATCCATTGCATTTTGATTTTGAAAGCAATTGCAATTGCGATAAGACGACTAGGAAATCAGCTGTTTCGCTACAACTTCTGATCACTGTGTATTTCGCCGGCCTGCGCGGCACATCCTTATTACAAATTAGAGAGCTAAGGGGTATTTTGCTTATTTTTTAAAAGGTCCACATTTTTTTTTTTCAATTTTCTGTCTTTCTGCCTTCCGAATATGTGGTTAAAATGAATGACATTATAACTGAATTGGCCTATAGAGGTAAAGACATATATACAAAGAAAGCATCAATGATTCCGATACACAAAAAAAAATCAGCTTAAGATTAATCAAAATGAGATATTTGCATTGGTATTTCTTTGCAATTAAATCCAGTGTATTACAAATTTACTATTCAGCAACTAGCTGCTCTTGGCCGTTACTGGTACTGCCATCTTAATGGCAGAATAAGACACTAGAGAATTATTTGGCTATTTAATGAAAATGTTTGGATTTACTCTCTCTGACTATACATCATATCATCAGTATGTCATCATTCCCCTACATTAATATTGATGAATTTTGATAAATTTCAATAAAGTATTATTAACACAAAAAAAGTTGTCATTTATAAACTTTTTTTTAAAAACATAATATAATGTTTGATATAGGAATTCATCAACATTTTCAATATTTAAAAATATTGAGTGCTTCACTCTTGGATATTTTTAAATGTTTTTAAAAGTTTGACACATTTTATAACGAATGCCATTTTCTCGTAAAATTTACAAATAAAGTTTTCCCTCTTATTAGATTAAATTATATTATATCCATTATAGCAATTTGTCACAGGAAAAAAATCATAAGACTTTAGAATCTAAAAATATCTGTCTTTGTAACACACTGCATCTATAGAAGGAATGGTGATATTTTACACTAAAATTATTACACCTCTTCCAAAAATGCAATGGCATGTTAATAGCATTTTCAACTTATTTGTACTTTTACACTTTAATAATAAAAGATAAACATATTTTCAGGCTGCACCAGGTGCAACAAAAATCGAGGAAGCTTGAGCATAATATGTGCGAGATTGTAACTCAAACCTGAAGTCAATCATACTGTTAATAATTTTTACAATATTATTAGACAATACCTACTACAAATTAATAATAAAATAAAACTGCATATCGCTGCAGAATATACACAATTTTTTTTAAATAATGAAATATTTAAGGTACTTAATTACATAAAATAATTATAAATAAAAAAATAGAAACAATTACCTTATAAAAAAACCTTAAAAAATTAATTAATAATTAAAATGATGAAATATATCAGCTGCAGGAAATATAATTAATGTTTAATTTTATCACAATTTTTTTTAAAAAATTCTTCAAAACAAAATGTTCCTTAAAAATCGTATAAAATAAATAAAATTTAGTAGATAAAAAGTACTTGCACAAATTAATAATAAAATCATGTCAATGAGATACTTACATTAACATAAAAAAATCCTTAACTATAATCATTCTCAAACCTGTCGTCATGTTCCCAACCTTTACCTGCCTTCGTATTCTTTCTACTGTCCCCCCTGCCCCCCTGAGTTTTCTGCCGACCACCCCAACCTCCCGATTGGTCTCGCTCTCTCCAGTTAGAGTTAGACTCATCATTCGATCTGTTCTTGTTAAATCTGGCACCTGAACCTAATATAGGTCGTCCGTGTTTGCCGCCATGTGAATTAGTGTCCCTGTTTGCGGTGGAACTGTGACTAGAATCTGATGCAAACCCGCTGCTACCGAAAGATGTACTGTTCAAATCGGGTTGAGTGTTGCTGGATGGGGATACTTGATTGTTGGCAGTGTCTAAGGGAGTAGATAATTGCAGAACGTTGACGCTACTTTGAAAACTGTCTAATGTAGCACTGGTGTGTGTTGTTTGTACACTTAGAGTTCCATGCACCCCCTAAAACATAGCAGCGTTGGTAAAAAATTATTCCTATAATGAATGACAATTACAAATATAAAGTTGTGAGTTATTCATGATTGAGAAATAATTTTATTTTGTCATACATACATGTCAGTTAATCGTATTCATGAAGCAAACAAAGACGAATGAGAAATAATATTACTCAGTTCATTTTAGATGATCAATATTTTTATAAAGATAATTTTTTATTAATTATGAAGCATATTTAAAAAGTAAGATACTGAGATTCTGATGCTCCGTGGTTTGTGTTGGCAACAGAACGCACATTCATTTGTCTTGGTCAGTTGAGAACTGTTGTTATAATGGTGTGTTGAAATGAGTGCGCTATTCCGAATCCTGCCAGCTGCGAGATGAGGTGCGTAATCTGGCTTCTTCTTGCAAAGGGAAGTCGCCGTTTCAGATTTTTAACTAAATCAAAACTGTTTATGAGGATCACGTGACAAACACAGTGTTTTCACAAATTTCCAAATCTCTTCTGTATGAAATCATTACTGAAACAATTTTATCAAAAATTGTGTGCGAGGTGGGTACCAAAACCGCACATGGATCAACAGAAAGCCAACAGAATCGCATCTTCACAGGAATTTCCTGAGCATTTCGATCTGGAAGGTGAACAATTTCCTTGACTGTATACAGCCAACACCACAAAACAACTCTTGGAATCATTCGCTTGGAACATCATCACAGGCTTGACCTGGCATCTTCTGATTTTCATATTTTCTCTTCTCTGAAGGTGTTTATCGATGGAAAAAGTTTTTCTATTGACAATGAGGTCCACAGTGCCATAAAACAATGGGCTTGAGAGGCCGAAGGAGATTTTTTTTGAAGAGGATATCAGAAAGGTCATGCCTCAGCTCACAAAGTGCATTGAGGTTGAAGGAGACTACGTCTAAAAATAGTATTTGATGTATCTTTCTGAATGTATAAATTTTTCATATACTGCCGTTACGATTTTTAAAAAATTGGGTGCTCTTAATTTGTGGATACGCCTCGTATACAAAACAGAAACACAAAAATAGAAAATAAACAATATTTATTAAAGGTTATTTAATTTTATTAAATAATTCAATATTTTTCAATTATCAATGTTGGATAGAATAAATTGATCGGATATACTTAAGTAAATGCAGGTTTTGTTTATAAGCTTAGATATTTTAATTGTTCTAAAAATCTGTCTAACTTACTTAAATACTACGTATATTAAACAGAACCTCAAACTAAAATTAATCAAATCTTCCCTCGGCAACAAGGTGTACCACAAGGCTCCACTTTCTCCACTATTATTCTATATATTCTTCAATATGCTGGTGACACTGCTTTGATAGTCCATAATTGCAGCCTAAATCTAACTATATAAAAGCTTTGGCAGCTCCCCAGTTTGGTACAAAACTGGTACAATAAATGGTATATTAAAATCAATCTAATCAAAACTCAATTCATCGTTTTTAATCACAAGATCGGATCAATCTACTATCAATTAAAAAAAATGTATTACCAGAGAGTAACATTTGTGAAGCACATAATCGAGCAATTTCCAAGAATACAACTATTGAAGACATCCTACATTCGTTTTATATAAATGTAAGAAAAAAGGCAATTCAAAATATAAGAGTAGCATCCACAATATAAAAATTCCATAACCATTTTGAAAAACCAGAAATGTGATTGAACGACCTTACATAAAATATATACCCCATATCCACCATTTTGGAAACCATGAAAATGACCAACAATGGTAAACAAAATTAACGTTTATAGACAGTTTTTCTATGTTCACATATGTATATTATGCATCTTTTGGGAACCACATGTGCATGCCTTTTTAGGTTATTTTATTGTACATTCTAATTTAACAATACTAGTCACAACTTTGTATTATATTTTATAGTTATATTGGTACATTTCCTAACTTTCCATAAATTCACCAAGAAATAGGACTGCTTGTTATCTAGTGGTGACTATTAATATTCATTCAATAATAATTTTAGTTACATTCTATAATTTTGAGACTTTTTATTCAATTTTGAATTAATTATTTTATTAATATCACCATCTCGTTTTCGATTAAAAAATGATTTAATTATCATCCGAAATTGGTTGAAATTTGATAACAAAAAGGAAATAATGGTTTGTAGGAAAAGGAAATAATGTTCTGTAATCTGTATTTCCCTTATTTAAAGAGCATTAAATTAGATGAATTTGATGAAAAACTATTGTTTATAATGTTCAGAATGAAACGATTTTTGTATGATTAAGTGTTACCGAAGATGATAATTTCTCATAATTTTTGTGAAAATGTAACCTGCTAATTTCTGTACGCTGCACAATATTATTTTATTACAAAATAAATTTTCAATTACAAAACAAGATTTTTATTGAAAATATGGTGATCAAAACCATTTAAAAAAAAAATTAAAGAAAAAACTTAGGAAAGAGGTATAAGATACACAAGTACTTCCATACCAAATTTCATTTAAATATGAGACAAAATGACGTAGAATTATTTGGAAAAAATTAAAACTTTTTCCAACTTTAACACCCTTTATTTTTATCCCAAAAGACTATGGCAGTTTCATGTACATGGAATATTGAGAGACATATAAAGTTATGTACGTCTCACAAAAGTTATAAGTTTATTGTTGTTTGTTATTATATTTTTTATTCCAAGTTGGTAGCCTTAAATTTGACCAATAAATTGACCAATTTGTTGTGGCAAAAGCGTGCCACAAATACAGGTTGTTACAAATATACAATACAAGTTTTTATTGAATCATCAGTTTGATAAGTTAAAAGACCGTGACAAGACACATACTGTTACTGTGACAAGCAATGTATAAAATATTTGTTTCTCATAAAATGTTCTTACTGGTATTGCATTTATTTAAAAATAAAAAATACAAGAACTATCCTTTATTTTGAAAATAATCTCGATATTCTTATCACTCAGTTTGCTGCATACCTGAAAAAAGCATTGTAAATTTGAAAAGAGTAGGTACTGAAAATATTTTCATATCAATATGACGAAGGGTAAGTAAAAAATGTAAAAAAATAATTTATATTCGTCTGGTTGTTTCATAGGTATTATTCTAGTACCTACCTATTAGAATATTGCCCAGAGCTGGGCAAAATACTTTCAAAATGTATTTAAAATACAAATTACAAAATACTAGTTCGAAAGTATTTTAAATATATACTTAGTATTTAAAATAGTATTTTAAGTATGTTGAATATTAAATAGTATATTGAAAATATTAATTAAAAGTATTTAAAATATTTTTGCGACTTAAAAAAATATATTGTATGTGCAAGGCAAGCTCAATTTCAAGATCAAGAATTAAAAAAAACTAGACATAAGTCTGGAAACAATGATTTTCATTTGGATTACGGAGATGCAGAATATTTAATTATAATTTTTTATTAGTTTTTTTTTAGAATAGCCCACTAATGCTAAAAGAAATGATTTTAAATTTTGATAATTGACTACTGAGTTGACTAGTGATGATGCGCTAAATCCAGGCGTGCAGGTGCGTAATTTTTTTTAACACGTTTTGTACCAGTCTCCAGTCGCAACAGACACAGTATTTGTTTTTGGTAAGTATTTTGGGCATTTTAAATACTTTGGGTAATTTAATTACTCAAGAGTATTTAAATTATTTTTACAAGATTTTAAATACTTTTTTAAAATACAAAATACAAATTACTTTATTAAAGTATTTGAAATGTAAAATATTTTTGGGGTTATAACAAAAGTATTTTAATTACAAAATACTATTTTGTATTTAAAATACTATTTGGTAATTTTTTGTCAAAATACTCCCAGCTCTGAATTGCCTATGGTTTGAATTAATTTTTTAAATAATGTGTTTTTGGACAGTGAATATTTCTTTCAAAAATATAACCAGAATCTGGAGAAATAATACTAATATAAAACTGCAAATATATTAAGCAATGTTCTGTAATATAGAGAATGTCCAACAAATGCATCATACTATTAATACTAAATAACACTTATTACATATTTATGTTCCCGAATAAAGAACCAATTTTTGTTTTCAGTTATCACTATTATTAATGGATAATGCTACTCCTTTCTAGCAATTAATATTTCTGAAAGTTAAAGTAAAACTACAAAGGCTTTTTCCGAGGTCGATCGCCACCTTACTCAAAAACCCTATTTTCGTGACTTGATATTTTTGTTCTCCAGTTTTTTGTTCCGGTAAGTAAAGAGTGACCGCAAAAAATCTGTGATTTTCGCCCGTTTTTTCAAAATTCGCAGAGAATTAAAAATAAATACATAAAAATGTTTTTGGTTGCAAATTAGTTATCATAAAAAACTGAACTGAACATAGCTTTTAGTATTTTGAAAATTTAAAAAATCACCCCTACTTGGGGGTTGAAAAAATGCCAAAATTGAAGAATTTGAATATTACCAATTGATATAAAAACTATTAGCATGTGAATTAACTTAAAATATTTTTTTTTGGAATTTTTACAATTATTTCTGATATTATCTATTTTTGGGGATGATTCCACCCCCTGAGCGTGCTTAAGGGTGGGTTTTCTAATTCCACATGCTTATTTCAGTCATGAGAATAAATCTTTCTTTGTATCAAGAATCATTCGATAGAAAAATTCACATGCTAATAGTTTTTATATTTATTGGTAATATTCAATTCTTCATTTTGGGAGTCTTTCCAACTCCTAAATAGGGGTGATTTTTGAAAATTTTCAAAAAACTAAAAGCTATGCTCATCTTAATATTTTAAGAGTAATTTGAGACCAAAAACATATTTTTATCTATTTTCTTTAGTTCTCTGCGAATTGTGAAAAAACGGGCGATATTTGTGGTCACTCTTTATTCTCTAATAAATAACGTGTTTACTTGAGTAATTCTTTAAATCAAAATTAATTCGATTAAAACCAGTCCAGGCGAGACATTGCGAGTGTTACCCTATATGGAACCACAAGAGTGTGAACGTACCTCTAGCCTCACATTCTTGACTTTCGCCGAGAGAATCCTTTGACTTGGAAACTAAATACCGACATGCTGTCAACAGCTATCAAGACGAGGTGAGTGTCCTCTCTGCATTCTTATGCCTGCTTCGTTTCAAGTTAGCTGAGCGAGTGTGTAAAGCCGGCATAAGACTTTTAGCAGTTCCTTATTGTATTATTTTTTAAATTATTATGAATTAAAAACCTCTAACTACAAATAATATTAAAATAAAATTAGTATAATCTAATTTACCTGAAAAGTGACCATAGCTGCTTCTCCCAGTTGGTCATGGTAAAATGTATATACTTCAGCCGGAAGAATTGCAAATTTACTATTGGCTATATCTAAGGCAAGCAGTAACCATAACTTACATTCCCTTGTTAACTGTTTTTCAGAAGCCAACAACAATCGAACTTTGTTTAAAATTTCAATAATTTTGTCCGGAGATTCATTTTTGATCGAGGCACCATTCAAATAAAGCTGAAATATGAAAAATTCACAAATTGTACATTATATAACTAATAATAAATAATAATATTTTTCAGTATCATCTGCTGCGGTAAAGTACTGTTGTTTGATTACCTGCGCAGTAAAAAGTTTGAGATCAAGAGATTGTGTAGACTCCAACAACATTTCCAGATAGGTCATGAATGGGGTCGCCATAAAAGTTAATTGTTGACCATTTGCTAATCTAGCTTTATGGTAGAACTCTCCCAACATTTGAACACTATTACGGAACGCAACGGGATTAGTTTTCTGTAAAAGTTTACAGCCTAAAATGTTAAATTAAGAATGTAGAATCAAAGTAGTTTTAAAGTTAGATTCATTACTTTCAGATAATTAATTATAAATATTCGAATTAAAATAATACAATTACCTTCAAAATTATTCTGCAATTTTCGTAAAAACATCAAGCGTATATTTTGGTCATGAATTTCTTGGCTAATAAAGGATCTTGCTGATATCATATAAACAAGTTTGGAACCCAAGTCAGCATCACTTAAACAGGCCTGATGAATTGCATCAAAGCAGCGCCTAAAACATTTCCATTTAAACAATAAATTTACTTCTATGACAAAGAAACATACTCTACGTCTTCACTAGTTTGGCAACTCTCTTTCCACGATTCAAGTATATGTTTTTTCTTCTGGTTAAATTTAATGCCATCATCATTTAAATTTAATTGTTTAACAATACTTATGAGATCAGTAAATTCGTTTGATTTGTCTGCAAATTGGGCATCATCTATTAAAGCTAAGTTTGGGGAAAGTGGGTTAATTGATGTAGGGCTGCTTCCAGGTCGAGGGGGTACAACTGTAACATTCTGACTTTTACTCAAATTTAACCATCCTCTACCCCTTCCGACACCGCTACTTGACATTTTTCTAAAAGCAATATATTATATTAATGTTATCTATTGATGTTCATTCACTTTTGTTATACTACAGTAAAAAAAATAACGTATTCCTTCGTACCTTTGAGTGTTAGTATAAATAAATATAAAGAGAGGACTTCTTAACCTCACTTTCTGCTGCACCACACAATGAACTCCAGCAAGCTTCAAACTTGACACTCAAGGGGGCATTCTCTTATCATAGGCGGAACAAGTTATTTTCTCAAAGGTAATTAGTATTTAATATGATTGAAAATATTCCGTTAGTTGATGTGGGTACTGGACCACTGGGTAGTGGTAAATGTTCAGATATATTATAAGACTGTTTTTTAAGTCATAATATTAAAAGCGAGTGAAAGGCGGTATAATTATTTATTATAACATAAAATGTCCAAATGGTCACAAAAATCTTCTTACTCCCATATTTTCGTCGGTGCTTGCACATTTTTTTATTTATAATTTTCGAAAATGTGTTTCTTAAACAATGTTCTTAATCAATTGTTCATTAAAGATGTTATGAAAGCTACATAAAGTATACAGTGTCATGCGTAGTGTTCTGTGAAAAAATAACAGATTTTCTCATTATTTGTTTTACTTAAATGCAGTTAATTCCTGATATAAACACGATACTTATGCATTTTATGATACTCTGATTCTAATGTAATGTAATATAAATGTTGACCTACATTTGTAGATGTCATAAATTTTATTGTGTTTTGCCAACAACTTTCATCTTCACCGCAAAGTTTTCAAAATATTTTCGCAAATAATCAGTTAAAATTCCATGAACGATTGTAAATTCTAATAATTGAATATGTACCTTACCTATTTTTAAATCTTTCATCAATATCTTGGAATTGAAAAAAATAATAAAATTGGGGATTATAAAAAGATATAAAAAATAATAAAAAGATGCTTGGTTTTATAAACTCTTAGTTATGATAATGATATAATTCGCTAAAGAAGAATGCCTAAAACACGATTTTCATTAAATTTACTTAGTTCCATTTACATATACGTTTACTCGGAAAGGATGGAGAAAACTAATTTTTTTTCAAGAAAATAATAATAATTCCATATTCATGATTTACCATCCTAATGCAATTTTTCAATTATTCTTATATGTTTTAGGTACTTAATTATCAGAATGTTTTTTGATAACTTCAGTTAAAAGCTTTAGTTTTCAGTTTAAAAAGTTTTGTCAGTCAACAACAAGTAATAATATACTACGCGTATATCAAATAGAGACAGCATGGGCAATAAAGTAACATTCTTTTCCTTAAAATAAAGTATATTTTAAGGGTAATTAAGTTTATGGGTATTTCGTAATAAAAACATTGCTACATTTTTTACACTCATATACTATAATTAAGCATTCGAGAATTTGCAATATATGGAGCTTATCTTATTTACAATATCTATAAAATGTGGGATACTTATATTAAGACAATTTCATCAAATTCCACACTTTCCTGTTAGAATATCAAAAGATTTTTACTCGTTAGGCACCAGTCATGAAAATATTTTTAGTGGTAAGTAAAACACATTTTTTAAATTAATCTTAACTACTGTGAAATGAAAAACAGATGAAATCATTCATATATTTTAGGAAACCTCTAAGAATTTAAGCAATTTGCTTTGATTTGTTAAGCACTATTGAGAAATAAAAATTAGGTATTATTGAAATAAACAATTTTCGGTCAGTTTCAGGTCGTTATAATTTCAACGGTATCACTATATCAAGTAAATGGATGTGGCACCAACAATGTTGAATGCCTTACGGACACAACTTATCAATTTTGCTTCATTGTCGATTCACAGGTTACTTATGTAGATGGTGTAATGACTTGTGCAACTGGTACTACCTGCAACGAAAATGGAACTTATGTGTAAGCAATTCTGTGCCAAATTACCGGTATTCTCAATATTAAATTGCAGTATAATATGTAGGGTAGCTGTACCATACTTATAGCCACCTTAAGACATCATTAGACTTTACGACGAAAATCTAATCTTACTTAAAAGTCTTTGCATTGCACAAGTTTTCTCGGAAGGCGTGAACATTAATCTTATGTGCTGTTTGTAAAAGAAGTATTGCTACTGTAGAAAACAACAAACAAATAATTATGAAAAACTGCGATTTTTCCCTGAGTCACTTTGATACCAATTATTATGGTTAGGCTCATGTTTAGCTACTCAAAAGTCTAAGTAAATATAACACTTTTCTATTGTTAAATAGGTGCATATGTAAGTATTAAAGGGCAACTAGATATTGCAACGAACACTTTATTAAATTTCAACACGATATACGATTTAAGCTTGTGTAAAGTATAAGTATAAAACTTAATTTCTTCAACAAAAAATAGTCCGCATGAATTTACAGTTTTTGAGCCCAATATAAGTTTAATAATATTATTTTCATTGTTTTAGATTCCATCTATTTTTTACCACCTCCATATAATCCGATTTTCTCCATTGCGCGTGCTATTTTCAATATTCTCAACCTTGGCTGGATATAAATTTCCATCGTATTGCACAATAACTTAAGAACCCACATTCGCTCTTCATCAAGAGTTTTTGATATTCCACCAGTGTTTTCAATTCTAGGCTAAATTTTGTTTTAGCCATTACTTTCTTCACTTCCGATTTCATTTGATGTTGGGTTTATTCATTTTCCTTTTCTCTCTTATTTGTTTCCTTTCACTTTTCTCTTCTTCTTTTCTTAATGACTTATCAGCTTCAGCTTGTGCCAACTGAATCCATTTGTCCAAACTGAGGGTAGTTTATATATTTTTAGTTTTCTGGATGAATGGATGGGATTAGGATATTGAAGAATATCATGTAGAATGTATTCGATGCTTGTCTTTAGTTTAATAACTGTATTTTGATAAATTGGTTTGTTGGCATTACATCGAACAAACTGGTCATCGCATCCCAATAATTCTTTTTTCATCACCCATGTTTTCTTTATTTATTACTTCTGTGGCACTTTTGATCTTCGCCTTAGAATTTATTCCAGATTCAATCACACTACTATTTTCTTTTCGTTTTCTTCGGCTTCATTGATTGCACCTGACGCCTCTGCATTGATAGTATCCCAACACGGAAAAGAAAAAAATTACGTCAGTTTTGTTTAAGTCGATGGTAAAGCCTTCTAAGGATATTTCTTAAACGTTAGGTTCACTTAAAGCATCCTTAATATTTTTCCAAATTAGAATATATACTGAGCAGTTTAAGACTCTAGACAAAAACAAAACTCGTGGCTGTAATCGGTACATATACCCTAGGTACCTATATAACTGAATAAAAATGTTTATTTTTTACAGTTGTATGGATAGTTCCTCAACAGATAGCACTTCAACCACTACTACTAGTGCCACCACCACCACTACTACTGCGACCACCACTGATGCGACCACTACTACTACAACTGCCACAGGTAAGTAACTAAATAAAGGGTGGTTACTGAACTGCGAGATACCAGAGTCGATGTTCGCTCACAGTTTGGGGTAGTTTCCGCGAATTTTCAGGAACCGCTGTTCGGTTTAGATCCTGACAGCTGGCCTTTCTGGATCCGGGAGATACTTGACTGTTGACTTTCCCGTCATGTTGACTCTTATTCTAGATTTATATAAGACAACTCGTCTCGTGTCCTAGCTCGACCATTGTACAGTTCCTGGTTGTTTTCGCGGATAAATTCGAAACTTGAGTGAAATCTTGTGCTGCGGCTTGAGGAGTGGGTAATATTCAATATAGCTGAATTTCTCAAGATCACAATTCTTTATTCGCTTAAAACCAAATAAAAATGTATGTCCTCATTCATTTGCATTAAACTGTGATAATATGTCGTAAAGCACCGTGTATGATCAAACTTGATTCAGAAAAATTAAAAAAATCAGTAATTCAATAAATATTTTGACAATAATAAGAATACGTTTTGGTAATATACTTTTGCTCATTTACGCTAAACTGAAATATTTGTTCTGTACTACCATTTCAGGACCTCCGGAAACCTGTACCGAGGCTGGCAAGTACCCAGCTGATGCGTGCGATCAGTACTGGGAATGTCTAGCTGTTATGTGGTGGTACGAACTAGTATTGCAGTCATGCGGCACAGATTTGTCTTATAACTCCACATCACAGGAATGCGTTGCTAATGGAACCTGCTCCACCACCACTACTACCACCGAAACTACCACTGTTACAACTACTGCTACCCCTGCGACAGGTATGAACATCTATTTTTGATAAAAAATCGGGTCCGAATTGGTAAAAGTAGGTATTTGAAAGAGCACACTGCAAACTGAATTTATAGGTATTCTTTGTGTCTCATTTTTAGACATTTGCTTATTTTTACTCAAATGACTCTATATTTTAAACATTGATAACGCATTTCTTGGGTGGTAAATACCAATTTCTATGGTATTTTTCAATCCACCATAATGGGTCCACCATTTTGAATATAGAATTTCCGAATTAAAACTTTATATTCGTGATTGGCGATTTTGAAAACTACCGAGTGACAAGTTTCAGCCATAATCTTCAAATTTTGAATGCTTTTCCTATTTTTACATCTGCCGTATTGAAACCGTCATCTTTTATTCAGGAATTCGGACTTCAGATTCGTAATCAGCGACTACAAAACCCCGCGGTAATAAAATTTAGACAAAAATAAATGAGTGACTTAAAGTGGTAAGTGGGATACTGGTCTACAGGTGATTTCCAATCCTTTGAGAGATAAGTTATATTATACAGTTCGTTTATGATGAAAGGAACAAATTCATTTAAAATTCAGGTAATTATTTTGTGAAAAAAAAACGCTCGGACACGTCGATTAGCATTTTTAGTTGCGAATTTTTTGACATAAGAAAATTGTATACAGAGAGTGTAAGAAGAACATATGCAGTGACCATTGACTTTTTTAATGGAACATCCTGTATATTATGTCATTTTTGACTTGTACGGTAAATTCTGAACACTTTGTATAACATACCATATTTCTAAAATCAGCGGTTTTCGTAATAATGACGATTGAAAATTGATATTTTGAAATACCTACACACAAGGAATTAAATAAAATCTGTAAATTGAACAACCTTGAAAATTTTTTTAAAAGCATTTTAAAAATGAGAAAAAACGTATCGAAGTACTTATGATGATTGGTTTTGGAGACAGAGTGCGTAGGTACTCAACAAGAAATGTGTAATTTATTTAATGTAATTCATCCTGATCGACTTCCAATCTACTGTCAGCAAAATTGAATCGAAATTTGCTGAGCAGAGATTTACCTAAAGGAAGACCAACAGAAATATCAGAAGATTCTAAACTAGACGTTTTACTAGAAACTGTAAATAATCCTCATGTGGTCGTTAGGTCAATCTCCAGGAATTATAATTTGTCATCGGGATCTGTGTCACAAATATTCCGAAAAAATAAATATCATCCTTATAAGGTTCAATTGATACATGAACTATTAGAAGACGATTTTGACCGAAGAACGCAGTTTTGTGAGCAGATAATTGAGATGAGTAATCAAAATTTAGATTTCACCCGAAAAATTTTTTCTAATGAGGCTAGGTCCTTTTGTTTTAAATGGACACGTAAACAGACAAAACTACAGGTACTAGGTAACTGAAAATTCTCGTTGGACACAAGGCTGTCACACACAGCATCGTCAAAAAAATAAATGTTAGGGCAGGTATTGTCGAAAACCGAATACTAGCACCTTATTTTTTTCTTTTTGGAGAAAATTTAAATGAAGAACGCTACTTAGACTTTCTTCAATTTGAACTCATCCCCGCTTTAGCTGTTGTGTTTCCTAATCCACAAGATCCAGATATTCTTCATAATGATATATCGTTCCAACAAGATGGAGCACTTCCTCATTTTGCAATTACTGTTCGACAATTTCTTGACTTAACTTTCCCTAATAAATGGATTGGACGCAGAGGTCCTATTGGGTGGCCACCTAGGTCACCGGATTTCACACCTTTAGATTTCTTCTTATGGGGTTATTTGAAATCTAAAGTTTATGTGAATAGGCCAAATAAGAAAATAAGACTTATTCCAACAGAGGTAATTGAAAACGTTCAACGGGAAACAATCCTTCGACTACAAAAATGTATTGAAGTAAACGGACAAAACATTGACCATTAATGATAAAGCTGTTGTTATTTAAATAATGTTTTATGATTAAACATTATTTTTTTACATTTCAAACATCATTATTAGGAAAACCACTGATTTTAGAGATATGGTATGTTATACAAAAAGTGTTCAGAATTTGCATAAATATGCAAACATAAATATGTTTCTTTCCAATGCTCAATTTAATATTTTAAAATGTTTTCTCATAGTATTTACAAATTGTTGATTTTTGTTATAAAGCTTTACCTTATCCTCACTATATCACCCTAATTTAGGGGGTATTTTAGCGTCCTACTAAAAAATGACATGGTAAATCGGAATTTGGGCTACGGATTCGAATGCAGCATAAAATAATACACAAAATCTACATACCCATGTCTCTGGTACGGAACTTTTTTGCTTTTCGCGGGGCTGTGTAATCTAAGTCAAGGAGCTGATTTTATAAATTTAGTGTTGCCTAACCAGAAATATCTCACATAGGGTTGCCAGATCTCCGGAGTTTTCGGGTTTTGATGGTACATCTTCGGGCTCCGGGTTAACATGTCATTTCTCCGGGTTTTCTTTGTTGCGAAAAAATCGTTTTTTAGACATCGATTGTCCCCCTGATTTCCCGATTGCATTTGCATAACCTTTATTTTTTAGACATCAATTATACAACGCCACCTCGAGGTCCATATCTGGGTCTGTCACGAAATAGATATTTTGCGTTTTTTTTTTGGACATCAATTATACAAACGGGTCATGTTTCCGGGTCTGCCATGAAATAGATCTGGTAACCCTATGATCTCACACCGGGAATGTAAATAATTCTTCACAAACGATTATAAAATAATCACTTCAGCACATTACACATAAGTTGTTTTGTGTGACGTGCAACCATTTCTTTCAGGTCCTCCCGAAACCTGTACGGAGACTGGCAAGTACCCGGCCGATGCGTGCGATCAGTACTGGGAATGTCTAGCTGTTATGTGGTGGTATGAATTGGTATTGCAGTCATGCGGCACAGATTTGTCTTATAACTCCACATCACAGGAATGCGTTGCTAATGGAACCTGCTCCACCACCACTACTACCACAGAAACTACCACCGTTACAACTACTGCTACCCCTGCGACAGGTATGAACATCTATTTTTTATACAAAGTGGGTTCCGTCTAAGATACACGTTTGACATTTTGGAGCACCTCATATTTTTCAGTTTTTGGTGAAGGTGCCGGTAATATTACAAAGTTACTTATACTTAATTTTAATAACAGCTGACCGTAAAATTATAGACTCAGTGGTTCATTTCTTACAAATCAGGTCCATTTGTCGTTTGGTTTAAACAAAGATTATTTCCTCGTATATAATGTTTTTCGCGATATTTTACACAAACTGACAAAAAAATTGAAAATGCGCGGTCCCTATATAAAAATATTAAAAAACTAATAAGTCAATATGAGAATAATTCCTTACATTTACAAGTATTTAGAAATATTACCCTTTCAATAAGAAAAAAACTATGACAAAACAGCAAAACAGCTATAGTTATAATACGAAACCTATAACAACATACGTAGGTATTAGATCCAATAAATGGACGAATTGTAAAATGAAAATTATTTCAAAGTGACCTGAATAAGCAAACGAAAAGTTTCAAAGCTCTCGAGGAATAATAAATTCGTTTGATAAGAATACTCTCTCGTCTACAGCAAAAATTTTACCAGCATCAAATTATATGCTACAGTACCTACTTCAAAGAAGAACTTGATAATAAAGGCACTGATACAGATAATGGAAACATATAGTTTCGTCCTAATATTTACAAAATCTTATACTTTTAGGTAGAGTACTACCTAATTTTTTTGGAGAACAACTCAAGAAGCTGGCTTATGCAAAACAAACCCGAGTAATTAATTTCTAGAATATACAGGGTGTATCTAAATAACACCGAAAAAATTCAAGGGGCGATTCTCCGATGAAAATTAATAGGGGTCCTTGGTATAAAATTTTTTGAAAAAACCCTTCCCTGAAAAGTTAAGCCCCTCCTAAAATTACAAAAAAAAATTGTTTTTCTTTTTTATCTTCCATGTACATCAAGCTAAAGAAACCAAACTTGGTGAACATTATCTGTCAATAAAACTACACTTTTTGAATTTTTTTCAACCCTGAACTATTTTTGTAAGGGGTTGAAATAATCAACCCCTATGACATTTTTTCTTATAATTTTTTTTTCGATAAAATTTTTTCCTTTTAAAAAATATGTCTAAAAAACCCCATTCATTTACTAACTTTTTGATCTCTTCAAGTTTCTTCGAAAAGTTAAGGATTTATGACAAAAAAAAATAAATGTATTGTAATGTATTTTTAAAAAGATGAGCTGTTTAACGCGAGTGTATTTTGCCGACTCCGTCACCCCATCTTAATTTTGGCCTGCCTCGTCTTCTAACACCTACCGGTTCTGAGACCATGATCCTCCTTGGGGGACATTTGTCGTCCGCCTTATTTATATGTCCTGTCCACCTGTGTCATCAAATTTTTATGTATGTTACTACATCTCTACTCTTATATTTTTCGTAAAATTCAAAGTGTAACGTCGTCGCCACGCCCCGTTGTCACATACTGCACCGAATATTCTGCGTAATACTTTTCTTTCGAAGGTTAGAAGTAGAATTTCATCAGCTTTGCTCAGGGTTCATGTTTCAGATCCATACGTCAGTACCGGTAATGTTTTGTAGAGCGATAGCGCTCGGCTTCTGAAGTGTTTACCAAGCCCAATATAACATTTGTTGGCAATCATTATTCTACGTTTTATTTCCTCGGATACATTGTTTTCTATCACCAAGGATTCCAGGTAAGTAAAGGTTTGCACTACTTCTAAATTGTAGTCATCTATAGTTAGGTTTTGGCTGATGTTCCTGGCTCTATTATCTGGTGTTGATATCATAATCTTAGTCTTCTCCTCTAGTCCAGACGGTATCTGTTTCAAAAAGCCATATTTGGGCGAATCGTATATCCACGGACATTTTTGGCTTTTTGGCTTTCAAATATCACTAGAAATAAAAATTTTCCTATGCGCATAAAAAAAAACGTGAGATTAACTTTTGGCATCACAATATGTTAAAAAAATTCGAAAAATGTCATATTTTTCTTCCTATTTGATTATGTATATTTTCAAGAGTTGATTTTAGGCGAAAATGGAAGAGGAAAAAAATATTTGTAATTAAATTTTTTACAAATCATGAATCATGATTATTATGGTAAAAATCTCAAAAATGGGGTTAAAAACAATACTTTTTAGGGAATTTTTTTGGGGTATTTAAATTGGGTATAGGACCTTTATACTTGGCTCAAGAAAACTTCATGTTATGTAGAACCTTCACACCAAATTTCATCAAAATCGGTTACATAGATTTTGCATAATAATTTTGCAATCCAGATTTTGAATGAAAATTTGAAAATTTTCAAAATTTTACACAGCAAAAACCAAGGCCCTTAGATACTTGAAAATTTAATCACATATAGAAGGGCTCTCGAGCTTTCAAACTTTTTTTGAAAAATTCGAATCCGTCAATTATGAGAGCTCTGGCGCTTGTTTAAACATTGGTCGAATTTTTGTACTTATAAACAATTAGAATAACTTTGTGAATATTCAATCAAATCGAATTTTTTAAACCAGGTTTTAAAAGTTCTTGGAAAGGCGCTTCTTTTAAAAAAAAATAAGAATAATTTACAAATAATTCTTTCCGGTGTTCCCAGATTTCTGCAGTAGTTACTAAAACGATATTTTTTTAAATGGCAACACCGGAAAAAATTATTTAAAAATTTTTCTTAATTAAGTTATTTCCTACAACTTTGCATTTGGAAGTACTAGTCTATTACTTCAAATAAAAAAGTTGGCCTATGTCAGGTTTTAAAAAAGTAACACTGTATATACAGGTTGTAGAGATTCTTTTCCTAACGGTATATACGTGTATCTATTTTTTTCAAGATCGTATTTTTCGAATACGAAATAGTCTCGGAGGAATAAGTAAACATTCATCTGAGGAAATAATATATAGAAAGATTTTTTTTAATATTAATATTTTTTGTGATTAAAGTATAATTCAAATATTATTTAGTGCTTAAAATATAAGCAAATGAGAAATTAACTCATTATATTACTAATTTTCGTCATATTTTGAAAATAATTGTTGTTTAAACAATTTCAGAATATTTAAATAAATTTGTTTTTGATCTTTGATAAACAGTATATAAGTTTATGCACTTACCTTTGATACAATAGAAAAATAAAGTTCATAAGTAAAGGAAGTTTAAAGATAAATAATTATCGGACTGTTGATAGACCAATAATTATTAACGATAGGCATTTGAAAATACGCTAAAATTAAATTAAATTAAAATTAAAAATGATCAAAATCGGACCTCTAGAAGATGATATATTAAAAATTTTTAAGCGCATCGCGGTTTTGAACTCGCCGATTCAATTTCGAGCAGGCCGAAGCGGTCGCGCTCTCTGCTTCCCCCACCACCACCACCCATACGATTTTCTTGAATTTCTCGTTTGCATAAATAACTTTAAACACGTTTTAAAGTAGGTTGCTAATGAAGAAAAGTATTGTAATCTTAGACCTGGTAAGTACTCGGAATACCAAAGGTATTTTTCGAAAAATTAGTCCGGATGTCCCAGTACATTTAGTACATGACGGTTAACTTTGATCGGCTATAACTACGTAACTAATTGATCAATCGATTTGTTTCTTTTTTTAAAAGAAGCGTCTTTCCAAAAACTTTTAAAACCTGGATTAAAAAATTCGATTTGATTGAATATTCATAACGTTATTCTAATTGTTTATAAGTACAAAAATTCGACCAATGTTTAAACAAGCGCCAGAGCTCTCCTAATTGACGGATTCGAATTTTTCAAATAAGTTTGAAAGCTCGAGAGCCCTTCTATATGTGATTAAATTTTCAAGTATCTAAGGGCCTTGGTTTTTGCTGTGCAAAATTTTGAAAAGTTTCTTTCAAAATCTGGATTGCAAAATTATTATGCAAAATCTATCTAACCGATTTTGATGAAATTTGGTGTGAAGATTCTACATAACATGAAGTTTTCTTGAGCCAAGTATAAAGGTCCTATACCCAATTTAAATACCCCAAAAAAAAATCCCTAAAAAGTATTGTTTTTTAACCCCATTTTTTCGATTTTTACCATAATAATCATGATTCATTCGATTTGTAACTAGTCGTGTTTTGTAAGAAAATTAATTACAAACATTTTTTTCCTCTTCCATTTTCGCCTAAAATCAACTCTTGAAAAGATACATAATTAAATAGGAAGAAAAATTTGACATTTTCCGGATTTTTTTAACATATTGTGCCGCCAAAAGTTAAGCCCTCGTTTTTTTATGCGCATAGAAAAATTTTCATTTCAAGTGATATTTGAAAGCCAAAAAGCCAAAAATCTCCGTGGATATACGATTCACCCATATCAAAACAGATAACGCCTAGTCTACTCGTTAATCCTCTTTGCTGAGCTAACCAGTATCTCAAAGATCTATTTAGTTCCTCTCAATGTCCGTGACACCAGATCCGCGTTATTTGCGTATGCCATTAGCTACATGCTCTTATTAAATATTGTTCCTCGGTTGTTCAGTTCTGCGTCTCTGACTATTTATTCTAGTGCCAGATTGAAAAGGAGACACGCCAGCCCTTTGTATCAACCCCTTATTGCTGGTGAACAGTTCTGATGCCTTATTTTCCACTTTTACTTTGCATGTTACTTGGCATTGTTCTACCTACATAGTTTTCTCATGGCCTCTGATAAGTCATGTGATTATATTTAGTAGTAGTATAGTTTGGTTTATTTATATCTAACTGAAATATTTCGTCCTGTGCTATTATTTTTTCAGGACCTCCTGATACCTGTACCGAGACTGGCACGTACACAGCCGATGCATGCAACCAGTACTGGGAATGTGTAGCTGTTATGTGGTGGTACGAGCTGGTGCTACAAACGTGTGGAACAGATCAAGCTTACAATGCAACTTCACAGGCATGCGGGGCTAACAGTACCTGCATTCTTTGAATTAATTAATATCTCTTATTTGTATGTATTTGGTACAAGATATAATTGCTTGTTTAAGATATTTACATATACACAGTATAATCATAACTTAGGGAAAAATTAACTTTTTTAAAAATATACATTTTTCTTTTATGGCTGTTTTGTTTAAGGTATGTTATGGAAATTTTTCTTTTTAAAATATATTTGAAATGAGTCGATCAAAATGCACAAATGCACATTTTTTCATCTTCTCATAATTTGAAATGACAAAAATATTTTCGAATAATTACGATACTTTAAAACAAAATACTTAACTCTGCCAGCTCACCTATACATAAGTATGAATAAGCCATGACTAAACATGAGTACTGAAATGCCACAGATCAGATAGACTGAACAGTAGGCGAGCGACTGGTATTTTAGGTATTCCTAATTTAACCGTAGGTACATGTAGGTACGATAGACAATGGGCTCATTCAGCATTTTTTTTATTTGCTTAACGGAAATATATTCCAATTTTAGGTTCTCTACAAAAAATTAGAATTCTATATCGCTTACAAGTCATCCAAAAGAAATCATAAACTGGCACGCCGAGTATCCGCTAAAATGGCGAGTGTGACGTCACCGCATGGGAAACCGATGCCGCATGCTTTCGTGTGTTGTCAGTCAGTCGGGTAGTCGGAGTCGGGCTTTAGTTGCCTGTTAAGTTTCGATTGAGTACGCTAAGATCCCGAATTTTGTTAGCAATATGGACACAGAACAGAAACAAAAATTACAAATATTGTATTGTTCCCCAGTGTGAGAGCACTAGTGTGAAGACGCCTAAGAAAATAATAATGTCCCCGTAATTCTGTCGTGCGGATCTAAAATCAAATCATAATGCATGTCTGCATACTCTTCATTATTAAAATGAAAAGGCATTTTTATGAGAAACAGAAATGTATACTAGTAAAACCGAAAACCGTCAATTAGACCAGGCAAGTTAGACAATAAATCAGAAAATTTTTTCTGATGAACCGATCGAGTTGCGGTTTTCGGCATTGTCTTCGGAAAAATATCAGGAAAAAAGTCTATCTATTACACTTTGGGGCTGGATCGAAACTGCATTGCGGGTGCATAAACTGCATCTAGGAGTGCATCAATTTTTCCGAATTTTCTAAAAATGGTAAAAATTGATGCACTCCAAGATGCACTTTATGCACCCACAATGCAGTTTCGATCCAGCCCCAAAGTGTAATAGATAGACTTTTTTCCTGATATTTTTCCGAAGACAATGCCGAAAACCGCAACTCGATAGGTTCATCAGAAAAAAATTTCCGTATTCTGGGTGATTTTAGTCTAACTTACCTGGACTAAATCGAAAAAACTTAATTAAAGAACGTCATCAAACGTCAAACCATTGCTACAATACCCTGGCAACTCAAAAACAGAAAAATTCACGGCACACTTTGTAACAAGTAAATAAATTAATTAATTAAGCAAATCTCGAATCTATTCATGAAAATATTTCTGTCTAAGCAAAGCGAGATAGGAAAAAAATTAAATAACAAAAAAGTTGTATTTTTGATAGCTAAATCTGACACATATTTCAAACTTACCGAAAAGCAGTGGCGTACCACATGTTTTTCTATTTTTATCAAGCTGGTATCTTGTTGTGACGCCACTGGAAAAAATAGGACAAATTAAATTATGTGAGAAAATTAATATTATTATTATAAACAAAGTTGCCAAGTTTCAACAAAGTCTAAAAAGGAGTTTTCGTTTTACGAATAAAAAATCAATTTTCATTTTAAACTTGAACACTGTAAATCGAAAACGACGCATCTATACATATATGTTTACATGAACTTTTTTTAAAGGACTTTTAGTACAAGTTGTCAGAGTCCTGCTACAAAAACCGCAAACACCCTGTATATACACTTGTGTTTTCCATTGTTGATTTTTTTTGTGAATATTATACAAATACTTATAAGTAGTATTTATATAAAAATCCATAATAAATATTATATTACATATTAATAAGATATTAGGTAAATAGTAGGTAATAAGAATTTTGTATTTGATTAGGTAAATCTTTGAAACCTGTGACAGAAACGGTTTCGTCCAATTAAACGCAAAATCCTTATTCGTATTTACTATTCTTATTGTACAAAAACATCAAAACTTTCGCTACAAACATACTTTAAAGAAGCTTTCCGCGTTATTGAAACGTAACCTTTACATTTTCACTCCTGTCATTTCAGCACAGATAAAGTCGTAGTTTTTATTTAAAAAATCCATAACCATTAACAAACCATTTTTTTTCCATTTTTGAAATTTAATATGCACAAATGCTAAAACATTCTGTAGATGCAGAAACTTATCCGGAAGTAGCGGCTGATCGTCCCATGCGGTGACGTCATTGCATTCCCACGGCTGATGCAAATATTCGATTTTTAAAAATCATATAGCTTGAAAACCGCTCAACGGATTCAGTTGAAATTTTCAGGATCGCCTAATCATGAGCAATACTGTGTGTATACAAAATAAGAACATATTGGTGAACAAAAATCGCCAGTTTCACTGTTAAGGTAAGTAAAAATTATATACTCTATATGACTATATCAGCTATTGTGTGACGCTAAGGTTTGGTACTTCATCAAATTTTCCAGAATTAGCTTAAGAGCTAGTAAGTGAAAAGTTAATTTAGCTAATAGAAATTCACTTAAATTTACAGGTTTTTATAATATTTTTACTTAAATATATAATTTATCTAATTGTAGATCCAAATCCAAATTAATTTCAACACTAGTTATTATGATTTTTTAGTTTAAAAATATATTAATCCAGTCTCCCCTACAGTTACAATCAAATACACTGAATCTGGACAAGCGCTTTGAAATAAAATATGGCGTATTAAACGTATTTAAGGTATATCTAGGTATTTTCCTTTACTGGAAACATTGAAAAATTCCCATTTAGTGCAAATATTTACAAAGGCAGATTTGCATAGCTAATTTAGGTAGGTATGTCTGTCGATACATAGGCATCTATATATATGGTAAAACCAAATATTGCTTAAAATTTTATGAAACAGTCGATATTTGCTGTCTCGTGGGTTCTTCATACCTACAAATGTTTTATTTTTATAATTGTCTATCAGTTTCATCCCATATATGAAAAGTTCATTAAAATACTTTTAATCTTTATGGAAATTTCTTCAGTCGCCTTCTTCAATTTAAAATATGTTAGGGAAAGCCATTGCAAATTTTGCATTTATAAAATTATAACTTTTTATAGATGACACACTTATTTAATTTTTCCTGAATGTTTACCCACATTTTTTAGTATTCTTATGACCCAGTAAGACTATGTGTCTAGCGGTGTTTGGAACAGATAAATCAACACTTTCCCTAAATTTACTTCAATTACTATTACCGTTACCACTTACGACAAGACTAAACAGTAGTCTGAGAGACATTGGAATATAGAATATGGATACTATTTCCCGAAGCAAAATCTTGAGAACCTCGACATCGACAATGATTGGTGATTGCTGGTGTGCGACTTTATGAAGTGACCGTTTCGAGTGATTGAAAAAATGAATTTCTCAGAAGTCAATATTTTCATTTTGGCAAGTACCTACTTATCATTTTATTATTAATTCCATAGCATGATTTAAAAAGTTTAATAAAATACAAAACTTTGGAAGTGGTAATTATGAATTCTACCAAAATATTGCGATGATACTTTAATTTTTACTTCGATTTAGGCGTATTACAATTTATTTCATTATTGTGTTAAATTCAGTGCAATATTATCTATATTAATTATTATACAGGGTGTCCCAATAATCCGTGTACATGAAGCTACTACAGTCCTGGAATCAAAATAAGCAGATTTAACTAAACTTATGTCGATCCTAAGTTGCTTCGTTTAGAATGTATCATAGTTAATAAAAAAAGTGTTTTTTTTTTTAAATGAAATAGTGCACAGTAATACATATTTAAACCAAGCAATTGGATGTGAAAAATACCCCCTTTCTTGAATTGATTTGCTCATAATTTTGTCGGAGTCATAGTATAGCTTCTATATTTTGTTTTAAAGATAAAGAGTTTGTTAAAGAAATTTTCCTCTTCTAAATTCTCTCATAAGAACTGTTTAATATGATCACCGTTTTTTGCATTTTGCAGAAAATCTAAATATTTGTTGCTATCGAACGTTCATACGAAATTCACACTGAAAATGTGTTTCCACAATTACATGGAGATTTTCATTTTCATCTACTTAAACATGCTGGTTATGAAGATTTATTATCTCACTATTCATCCTAATTTTTTGTAGAAGTTCATATTTCCAGCTTTGTATTGGAGAATTATTTGCGAGAGTTGAGGACGAGTGGCAGGATCAAGTGGCAGGATCAAACGCGGAATACTGGGACAGCCTGTATAAATATTTATTTGGACATAAATTATATATTATTTCATTACTTTAGATATATTTAATATATATAAGCAGTTTCCACTACAACGTATATGGATGCAGTTCAAAGAGAATATCTTGCATAACGGAGACGTCATATAAATTTTGTTTTATTGTTGGAGACATGGTAATGGAAATTGGTAATATTAAATACTGTCCGGAACATACAATTTGTGACGAAACTGAGGGTACCACACCGTAAGTAACTGATGAATATGTACACGTAAACATAGTATCCTACACATTAAATTTAAAGTTTTTTAATTGGTTATAGGTACATATGTACCTGTATATGAAATGAGTGTTTCAAATATGTACCATTATTATAATTGTAATGCTTGGATATCGCATTTAAGTATACCTTAGCAATAGTGTTAAACATATATAACATTTTGTATATTTTATACAGCTTTGTTGATAATAGTTTAGTTGTAGTTTGACATATTTATCAAAATACTTAGAAAACACGTGACTGCTAATCTAAAAGTAATTTCGTCACCATCGAAAACAGTGTTTTATACAATTTGTAATACAGATTGTGTACAGGTTCTTTACATGGTAATTGTTATCAAATAAATAGTATTGTTTTATCGATGTGCATTGTGCCTATATATTTTATAATAATTTGAATTCATAAATTTTATAAAGACAAAATTACGTATATGTTCTGTATGTACCCAAAGCTTTCGCCAAAATATAGAAGTTACTGTAATTTTTATGAAAATTTGTACCTATATGTATTTTTAGATATTCTCTAGCAAAAAATTATTAGATATTTATCTAATTTTCTATATCTTTCACAGATGTTTCCAAAAAGTGTTATATCCTGATTTGACAGATGTTACAGGTATGTAGATAGTTAAAAAGCAGTGAAATTTTTTTATTGATAGTTTAAATAAATTTGCAGTGCCACCAGAATATGAAATAATAAGTTCTACTAATTTTGAATCTATAGAAGATATCTTTAGCACAGGTAAATATAAATTTAAGAATCAATTTAATATCTCCTTTTAAACATAATAATATTTTAGAAGAATATATTAGTGAATCTATAAATGATGAAGAGACATTAAGTTCTACTGTAGATGATGGCAATATTGGTAAATATTTTTACATATAGATTCTTTATTCATATAAGGAGATAAAATCCAAACATAAGTGTCGGTTTCACGCATGTTTTCAGAGCTATCAGAACAAGAAGAAATAGAGTCGAATGTTCCAACGGAAGTAGTATTAGAAGATATCTCCACATCTTTAACCGATTTCTCTAGTGCTAGCGTTACAGGTAAATTAGTTTTCAAATAAATATATACAGTGTGTCCCTGTAAATACGTGTACAACGGAAGATTACAAATTTCTAATGAATTTTCTAAATAACTTTAATATGCGATAATCGATTTTGACTATTTTTGGCGAGTAAGCTTTAACTGTGTGTTTTCTAAACATACACCGGCTAGAAAATTGATATATGCTGAAAATATATCCGTTCATAACTTTTTTCATTTACACAATGTAATATTTTTCATTTGATAGCTAATACTATTTACAATTTTTCAACATGAATATATGTGTACATATACGAGAAACAAGTTCGCAAAAGTGGTAGTGGCAGTGGAAACGCATGAATACATTTTGGAGAGGATCGAAGAAAACCTCAAAATGAGTACCAGATGCCTAGATAGTGAACTACCAGTTCCTAAAAGTACTGAGTTTAAAGGTTATTATACCCTCAATGCAGTGCAAGATCTTCTTCATTTCACGTTTTCTGTTCGACAATATTAACAAGAGCAATATCCAAAACAAAGGATCGGAGCAGGATAAGATGACTCCCAAAAATGGCCATCACACTCACCACGCGATTATTTTTTGTGAGGCGCTTTGAAATCAAAAATGCGTTTTTCTGCAGAGGAGTGATGGGAGTCGTACCTAATACTATTTATAACAAACTCAGTTTCAATACAATCAATTCAATTTCTCGATTTTGCAAAGGTTTGATGGTCGGGTACAAACATACACAAAATCAGTACCATTTTTTATTAAATATTCTAGTGGCAAGATAAGTAAATATTTAAAAATAATGAAGGAATTTACATTTACGGGACGCCCTGTATATGTATACGGGACGCCCTGCATTTGCGGGACGTCCTGTATATATGCTTGTACAGACACTTCCCTATAGTCATAAATTTTAGATTCTATTTTAGACGAACCTGTAACGATTACAGAAAGTCATATAGAGGCATTAAGTTCTAAGGCAGATAACAATAAAATTGGTAAATAGTTTTCTTATTGTTACTTTTGTTAATATAAATGTATAACAAAAAATGAGAACTTCATACCAATTTACAGATTTTTCTATTTCGAAAGAAGTGGAATCAAAACTGACTACCCTGTCAGTAAATGTACTTAAAAAATCCTCTACATACGCAACAGAACCTTCGATTGTTACTAGCACAGGTAAATTATTTTTAAAATAAATATAAATACGATTTATTTGTAATATAGGATTTAATACCTATTTTAGAAGAATACTTGATTATTTCAACAAATCCCTTAGAAACAATCAATTATACTGCAAATTATAATGAAAATGGTAAATATAATAACTACATTATATTTTCATATCGAAATTATTTTTAAAGTTGTGTCAAAAGTATGGCTATAAATATAGCTTTTGCAGAATTTCTGGAAATTTCAAAACAAAAAGAAGAAAGTTTATTATCAAGCGCAACCGAAAATGTGCCGAAGGAAACCATACCCACAAAATATTCAACAAATGTAGGAGTTACAGTAGGTAGGTAAATAATATGTTTTTATATTATACAAAATTCTTCTTGCAAACAACACTAATTACAGAATATCTACATTTTTCGTTTTTTAGAGTCGTTTACACTAGAAACAACTACTTCAAGTATAGAAGAAAACTTGTCAGTCCCTTCAGGTAAAAATTTTACAGTGGAACCACTCCATTTTAAAACATTTTTTGATGAAGAGGACAACGACATTGATGTGTTAACAACCGAAATAAATAAAGGTACAATTATTAAATTCATAGTGTTTTAACATTTTTATTGTTAATCAGTCGGTATATCGGTACTCCTTCCTATATTTTATAATAAATAATTTTATTATCGATATTTAGTTTATATTGATATCTTGAAACTGTAGATAACAATTTATAATCTATATTTTTATAAGCTGTATTGTCCAAAAACCAAAAGAGGGGATTTTGTAGAAAATTTAGTTGTCATTAGGATATCTGCTTCGCCGTGTTAAATCCAAATGTCGTATCTTATTTAAATAAAGCTAGCTGCAGATCATGCGGTTACTTGACAAATATTTTTTAAACTTAAACAAATGCCGTATCGTGTGGGTTTGCAGCACCCACATCAATACATTCGAAAGTGTGTATTCACTTGGCAAATACGCCACACACCAATAAAATATACATGACACCTGCTGCAATGACCAAATCAGTGGGGTCGATTCCGCACTATGGAATTCGTAATTTCTCTACATTCGTAAAAAAATGTATGTTTTCAGCTATGAAAATTGAATTATTTCAAATATTTCAAAATTTTCACCACCAAGAACGGCGATGACAACATTTCTTACAGTAAGGCGATGTTTTGCATTGTATTGGCTATGTCCTGTCCAAATTTGGTTAGTGCAACTCTATCGGTTTCGAAAATAGGTATATTTTCAGACCCGAAAATTGAATAATTCCAAATATTTCTGATTTTAACCACCAAGAACGGCGGTGACAACATTTTCAATAGTAAGGCGATGTTTCGCATTGTCTTGGGTATGTCCTATCCAAATTTGGTTAGCGCAACTCTCTCGGTTTCCAAAATTCAATTNTGGATCAATTCTAAAAAAGTACATTCACTTACCCGAGCAAAGCAACTCACTTGGGACAGATAGACAGTCGACTAAAATAAAATTTCAACTGAACTATCATATAGCCACAAGACTTTTCTTTGTTGTGGTAGCAAACACGTTTCAGCAAAACGTATTTACTTGTGGCAGCATGAATTTTTTTCTATGAGAGCAAAAATTTTACCTACTGTAGGTAAAATATCTTAGCAAAACCCCTCACTTGGTGGATTTCTTTCAGTGTGACCAAATCAGTGGGGTCGATTCCGCATTATGGAATTCGTAATTTCTCTACATTCTTAAAAAAATGTCAAACGGTTGATTGAAAATTCAATACCTATGTAATGTTTTCAGCCATGAAAATTGAATAATATCAAATATTTCAAATTTTCACCACCAAGAACGGCGGTGATAACATTTCTTACAGTAAGGCGTTGTTTTGCATTGTATTGGCTATGTCCTGTCCAAATTTGGTTAGTGCAACTCTATCGGTTCGAAAATTCAAGACCTACGTTTCTTTTGTAGGTATATTTTCAGACCCGGAAATTGAATAATTCCAAATATTTCTGATTTTAACCACCAAGAACGGCGGTGACAACATTTTCAATAGTAAGGCGATGTTTCGCATTGTCTTGGGTATGTCCTATCCAAATTTGGTTAGCGCAACTCTCTCGGTTTCCAAAATTCAATTATGTTTGTTTTCAGTCACAGAAATCGAATAGTTCTAAATATATATTTCGAATTTTCACCCCCAAAAACGGCAGTGACAACATTTTCAACAGTAAGACAATGTTTCGTATTGTATTGGCTATGTCCTGTTGAAATTTGGTCAACAGCTGCAACGACCACATCAGTGGGGTCGATTCGACAGACTAAAATTCGTAATTTCTCTACATTTGCAAAAAAATGTCAAGCGGTTCATCTGGCATCGCTGTATATATGATACAACTTAGCTTCAACGAATTTAGCCAAATCTGCAAAAAATTGATAAATCTGTTGATGAGTGACCGCATCATCTGGAGCCGGCTTTAGATACAGTTTATTCGTTTATTTTATTTCCGCACAAAGCTGGCAATATTAACTATTTATTATATTATTTAACAAATTTTTAGGAATGAATATAGAAAATCCTTTAAGTCCTGAAGCTGGAATTGCAGAAAAATTTTATTTAAAGGAAAAAGAATCTGTAAAATATGCTCAAGGTGGGTATTTATGTTTATTGGTAGATTTATTTGAAAAATATATTTTTTACTTCAAAATGGCGAGGCTAAAATATTTTTCTTAGCATCCGTTACTCCAGGAACAAGGGAACCAAAAAGAACTACTTTCCAAGGTAGTAAATATATTTTATAAAAATATATAGGTACTATTATTCCTTTATAATACCGTTTTTTAGATATTACTACAACTGAGAAATTTACGACAGCGAAACTTGAAATACATACCACTTTCACAACAGGTAAACTTATTTTTCGAATAGTTAACAGTAGTCGGTCGTTTATATTTATTTTTAATGAACAGTATTTTGTAAGATTTATGTTATGTTTATGTTTATGCCAAGCTTTTATAGACTCTTCCATGGGCGTCCGTAGAAAATTAGTTAGGGAGGAACAAAAGTAAATAAAGATCATAAAAACCAGTAAAACATACTTTGAACGTACATAGTATCTTCTGCAACTTTCATGTGTTAGTGGCTATGACATATTTGTTTCTTGATGCCGCTCAATTGAATTTTTGATTTTGGAGAAAAAAACCTTGAAAAATTTAGAGCATGATTATATGATTATATGAGTAAACGGTTTTTTTGTCACAAGTTGATCCAAAATCCAGAATACAATAACAAAAAAAATAAAAATTATATTAAAAATTTACAATATCGACTATTATTATAAATTGTTGATATTTTTATTAATAAATATTTGACTTTTTAGGTACTACTGTTACTACTACGGAAAATCAATCTGTTTCTACGGAAGGTATGTGTCTATTTATTTTATTTATCTCATTATTTTCCACGTAATAAAAACACTGTAATACCTATTAAATGGTTATGATTATTTAACAATAATCTTAAATATACAAACAAATTTAATAAAGTATGTTGTTATTATGAAATATATCTACCGTGTAGGAAAGCGCCGATGGTCTATCACAAGTTACGTGAGAGCGATAAAGTAAGACATAGAAATCCATGCGATAGAGAAGGATGGCTATAATGAAGGCTTCTCTTTGTCACCGCCCGTTTCGCCTTTCCACAAATAAGATCCACTTCTTATTTGTGGAAGGGCGAAATGGGCGTTGACTATGATACGCCTTACTTATAGCCATCCTTCTCTATCGCATGGATTTCTATGTCTTACTTTATCGCTCTCACGTAACTTGTGATAGACCATCGGCGCTTTCCTACCCGGTATATTTCTAGTGATATCTTCAGCTGCTACATCAGAAAGTCCAATAAAAAGAATTACATCTTCCTCAGTAGGAACTAAACATGATTTACCAGTGACATCGACAGAAGGTAAGTGTAATAGATTCCTAAATCTTTTTTAAATAACAAAATACGTAAAGTATGTACTTAATATAAGTAAATATTTTTAAACTAAATTTATAATTTAATACCTATCTATTTATTTAGTTTCTGTTTGTTGTAATGTTTATAATAACTTAGTTATTTGCCCATTTTTATAAATTTTGTAACATTTAATTTTCAAAATTAAATACATTGAAATGAATGTAAATATAATGTGTATATACATACACCTGTGGACAAAAGTCTCTATAACCTAGAATACTAAAAAAGGTTTAAAGTAAGAAACTAATAAAATCCTGTTTTTTTTTAAGACAATCTGTAGTTTAAGTTGGAAATGTTTTATTGTCCATAGCTGCACCTAAATATGTGTATTTTTTCCTTAGTCACTATAAGTGCAGTTACACCTATTGACAAGACAACACCATTATCAGCAATATCAAATCTTCAGGATGACAATATTATCTATGAAATTAAAAAAGCACGTCCAACATTGTATCTGGGAATAATCGGTAAAATTATTGTAGTTTAAAATTTGTATGTAATATAATCTCTCATATTTTTAGGATTACTAACACCTATCACAGAATCTACTACCCAAACTATGTGCCAGACTACTTCTACTATCGGTAATATTACGTTTTATATTTTTTTGACACGAATTATTATTTCAAAGTATTTTTTGTTGCAGCTTCTGTGCCAAATTTCAAGACAGATCTTAGTACTACTACCACCAGTGCAGTACCTTATACAAAGGGTAATATATTTTTACCCACTTATTTCTATAACAGTGTGAAACATTATTTAATTTAGTTACAGCTCTTGTACCGAATTTCAGAACTGATTTCAGTACAACTACTACTACCAGTGATGTACCTCACACAAAGGGTAAAATTCTATTATTTTTTTTTTTTATAAAGTTAAATCAAATTATACTAATTTTTCTAGCGTTCCTACCCATTTGTAAAACTACTGGCAGATATCCTTCTAAAATCTGCAATCAGTACTATGAATGTGTGAGAATAATGTGGTGGCTGCAAGTTAGAATCAGGACATGCCGTTTTGGACAGGCTTTTAATTCTGTAACATTGACTTGTCGTCGTGATAGCACTTGTCGAGGGGTGTACCGATAAACTTACACCTGGGCCTTTTAATTATTAAAAAATTACTTTTTATTTTATATCTTCTTCATTAAAAAATATGCCTTATTGTTATATGTATTTAATAATTATTTAAATAATGACTGAATAAATGGAAAATTGATTTTATGTTGTATTTATTATGTTACAGAGTATGCCTTTATTCTTTTTAAATTTGAAAAATAATGAACACTTTCAACTTTTGTCATAGGGGGGGGTTTAATCTCAGAAATTATTACATCACCAGTTTTTAATAAAATTTTATATTTTGAGTCTCCTGTGTTACATATTTTATTGAAAATAGCATCCACCTGATACTAAATAAGTTGTAACATACTATACAGGGTGTTTCAAAAAGGTGTTGCCAAACTTGAGGGGGTTATACAGGGTGAGTCAGTTTTTTGTGATAGGATTTTAACAGTTGATAGATTAATTTTTTAATAAGAAAAGTTCCTATAAACGTAGGTCTTAGAACGCTTCGTTTGTGATAAATAGGGTGTTGAAAATAAACTTTTTTTAAGAATTTTTCTTAATATCTCTAAAAGACCAACATATATTGAACTGAAATTTGGTATTAATAACACATTAGTTATGGTGAATCATTTCACCCGCCAGTGACGTGCCTGAGGTCAATTCGTACGCCCGTGATTTTTTCTGGAAAATAACATCATTTCTAAATTTTTTAATCAATTCTAAACAAAACAGATCTCTTTCAATTTTTTATAAAATTAACGGTTTTTGGTTAAATTAATTTGGCATGAAACTGTTCCAACGATATTGGTACCTAATACATTTGTGAATTAATAAGAAAAATATGATGTGCACTAAAAATCAACAAAAACGATTGAATGAATAATAACAGTTGATAGAGAATCATTTTTTAATAAGAAAAGTTCCTATAAACATAGGTCTTAAAACGCTTCGTTTGTGAGATATAGGGTGTAGAAAACAAACATTTTTAAGAATTTTTCTTAATATCTCTAAAAGACCAACAGATATTAAACTGAAATTTGGCATGAAAAAACAAACACAGAACTTAAAAAAAGAACTAATTGACACACACGTTACACAATGTTTGCGTTCTTATGTCAACGTTATGACATTTAATCGTTTTTGTTGATTTTCAGGGTACATCATATTTTTCTTATTACAAATGTATTACCAATATCGTTGGAACAGTTTCATGCCAAATGAATTTAACCAAAAACCGTTCATTTTATAAAAAATTGAAAGAGAGCTGTTTTGTTCAGAATTGATTAAAAAATTTAGAAAAAATGTTATTTTTCAGAAAAATCCACGGATGTACACATTATTTTTTTAAGGGGGCAGTAACCCACCTCAGGCATGTCACTGGTGTGTGAAATGGATAACAGATATCTTTGTTTTATTCACCATAACTAATGTGTTATTAATACCAAATTTCAGTTCAAAATTCTTAAAAAAAAAATATTTTCAACACTATATCTCACAAACGAAGCGTTCTAAGACCTACGTTTATAGGAACTTTTCTTATTAAAAAATGATTCTCTATTATCTGTTAAAATCCTACTACAAAAAACTGACTCACGCTGTAGAGGACATCGCGAAAGAAAATTTTTGTATATAAACCCCTAGTAGGAAATGAGCTGTTTTGGCCCTGGAGCAATTTTTTTCCAAAAACGTAATTATTACGTTAACCCCAAAAGGCTTTGAATTTAAGTAATTTTTATTAAGGATAACGCAAAAATAATAAATGTATAATAATTGTTCAAAACGGTTTGTGGTAGGTTGTTCTTTAGTTTGATGCAAAACTTCTTCCTCAATGGCCACCGTCCTTGTAGTTAGTGGATATCGACTTCTACATCTGGTTTAAAGTTGCCTGCTTCTCTTAACTGACGAACGATTGACGAAAATATTGTTTGGCAATGATGTTGGCGATTCGGAAAGCGTTCAGCTTCTCTAGCGTTGCAACTAGCTTCGCCATAAATAACATGCATGTCTGCATACTCTTCGATTGGTCTATTTCAACAACTTAGAAGCAAAATTTCGTCACAAACAAAACAAATGTGAAAGACTCAGTTGAGTTAGATCATTTATTACGTAACGACTCTGTTCATTTGTTTCACTATTTCTCACAGTGTGACATAGATGATATTGCATGGCTAGATTAGATGCGTGTAATAGAGCTTTTATCACACAGTTGTGGATAAAATCAATTTTTACCAACATTGTGTGTAGGACATGCAGTTGGTAAACACTTATCTGAAGAGACAAACGCATTTATTTTATTTCAAATCATTTTTGCGTTATCCTTAATAAAAATTACTTAAATACCAAAGTCTTTCAGTGTCAATGAGATAACATTACATTTCTGGACAAAAATTGCTCCAGGGCCAAAACGCCTCATTTCTGACTATTTATCTATTTAGGGGTTTATACAGGCTGTCTCCTAAAAGACACCGCAAGCCATAACTCCGTCATTTATAGTCCGATTTTAAAAAACAAAAAATTGCATAATATGGCGCTAAATACGCACCGTATTTATTATTATTTTTTTTGGAAAGTGATAGTATACTTTTTTCAAATGGTAATATAGGTATTTTTTTATTTATTATTCTGCAGATTTTTATTCTGAATGCAATGATGTATATAAAGTTTACTTTTGTGAAACATGTATTACAGAAAAAGCATGAAAATAATAGTCAATACCGCATTATCAGCGCCTGGTCGTTTAAATTGACAACAAACATATTTTGACCAATCATGTATGCCTGGAGAACAAAAAATAATATAAGAAAGCAAGTAAATGTCATTTTAGTGTTCGTGTCTCAGTTTTTTACACATTATACTCTTTCTGTATCATTTAACAGTACGTTATTTATTGAAATAAGCTCAACAGTGCAAAATATGAATAATAATAATCAATTGACGGAAATGATTTAGGTATACTTTCGGTGTAATAAAAATCGTGGTGCAGGAGTCCCCCTTACAGAGAACTATTTCCTCACAGAGAAGTTTCAGAACTACGTAGATTTGTAAGACCTGTAAAACGATAGAGAACAATGGCTACAATTTGTTTCTTTAGTTGTTTTGTGTTTGTTGTTCTTCGTTTAATGTGTTTTGTGTTTAATAATTAATGTTATATTTCGTGTTGAACTTTGTAAATTGTTTTTCTTTTAATTGATATTAATTGTATTGTTTCTCTTCTGTTAACTACAAAATTCCGTTTTGAGTTTTATTTGGTTTGCTGTATTATTTTTTGTTTTCCATGGCACAGATGATTAGTTAAAATACATTTGTCATAAATTAGTGGCTGGGCGCCGAATGTGGTATCGACTAATATTTTGTCGTCTCTTCTGTAATAAATGCTTTACAAAAGTCAAGTTCATATACATCGTTGGATTCAGAAAATAAATCTGCACAATAATAAATAACAAAAAAACTATATTGCCATTTGAAAAAAAAATGTTGACTATCGCTATTTTTTGTTTTTTAAATTCAGACTATAAATAACGGAGTTATGACTTGCGGCGTTTTTTAGTAGACAGCCTGTATATAAAAATTTTCTACCGCAAAATCCTCTATATCCCCCTCAAGTTTGGCAACATCTTTTTGAAACACCCTGTATATTAGAGTGGTCAGATAACTGAGCTTTACTGCTTAAATGTTTAATGTAAACATTGCAATTTATACTGCACATAAAGAAAACAAGGCACAAATCGATGATAGAATGACTATCGATTCATGCTGATTCGTACGCACTAGGACAATATCCCTGACCTCATTTTCTTTTTCTTTCATTTCCATACGTAGCGTGTCGTAACCAGGGGGGCTTTGGGGGCTTTAGCAATCATCTGCAACCACTTCTTCGACTCCCCAGGGAACCGAACCCACACTTTGGGAACCATTGGTATACAGAAATATTTCTATAGAAATCACACACAGGTCCCTTTTCAACAAAGAGCTGGTCGCCAATAAAAAACAAGTCAATTTAAAAAGTGTGTATTAACAATTTTTTATGTATAAAGCACATAAACCATAAAAAATAAATAAATTTTATACAACTGCAACAGTTATAAATAAAATATTTCCTATAAGTTGATTTGCAAATAGTACAACTCTTAATACTGTTATAGCTATTTTCTTTTAAAATAAAGTTAAAAATTTTAATAAAACAATAATACGAATAAACGATCACAAACGGGACCATTAAACAGCACCCATCTCATTTAATTTCTTGGCAAGGTTGCTCGCTGAAATATCGGGATAATCTCCACCAAAATGAACAGGATTGGTGTACTCGTGTTGTCCCGGTTTCAGGAGCGGTTTTTCGTCAGTATGAGTTTTGGAGGTGGAATCAGAATTGTGAAATCGAATACTGGTAAAAAAAATTTATATAAGATTGATGTAAAGCAGATGCGGCTTGCGGAATAATAATATGCCGCCCCCTCTTCCCCACAAGTGAATAGATTCTTAACTAATACTTGCAAAATGAGTGAGGGAAAGAGATATTATTTGATTTATTGTTTAGTATAAAGTTTTCATATTTTCATTTATACAGGGTGTTTCAGACAACATGGACCAAAGTTCGGGGGGGGGCAGATTCCTAACCAAAAAACAGTTATTTTTTCATATCAACATGTGTCCCATTTCACTTTTTTCTTTGATTAAATCCAAGGGCTTGCAAGTAAGCCGGTCCTGTAATTCATGTCCAACATAATAATACCTAGGAATGAGTATTCGGTTCTAAATAGTTAGTTGTCCAAATTTCATTTAATTTCCTCAAGTGGAAATCTGGATTTTTGGAAAAAACATATTTTATTTTAAAACTGACACCCTGTAGGTAAGGAACGAAAAAAATAATCTTGTTTTTAGGTTAGGAATCTGCCCCCGAGCGTTGGCCCATGTTTTCAGAAACACCCTGTACAATAAATATTTAATTTTTGGAAGGTTATGATCTGGGCATACTACAAGATGTATTAAAACAAAAACACTTTTGATTGGCTTACCTAACGTTAAAGCCGCCACTATTTTTCTTCCTTAAAATTATGATCACCGTTGCCACTACAAGTATTATTAAAATGGGTAGTAAAATTCCCAGGACAATTACGCTAGTGTTCTTTTTATTTTGTTGTTCTTGTTTCACCGAAACTGAATGAACTTTAAACTTCCTCCCGTCACCTACAGATTCCAGCTAAAAAAGTTATTTGCATATTAAATACAATTTTTTAATATCTACATAGAGTATGTCCAAGAATGGAGTCAGAAAGAGGAAAAACATTTTTTATTTTATAAAAAAAGTCATTCTCGTTAGAAAATTATAGTTTAACAGATACTAGCAATCTTTTACATTTTCTACACATCCTGTTTATAGTTATTACAAAATTCTTAATTAAATATTCAAATTTTAATGTAATTATTCTGTAAAAATACAAAAATGAATTTTAGGATAATTACTTACTTGTTTGCCGGAACATTTCTCTGATTTCGAAATAATTTTTCCATCGCTGCAGAGACATTTATACTGAGATTCGGAAGGCAGACATAAATAGGAACACGAGTGATTTTTGCACACATTTTCAAGTCTCGGTTGAAGAGAATCTTGGGCGATCGTAAAGAAATTGCTTGAGTAACCGTGTAACTTGAAATTCTCACAGTGACGGTCCTCGAACAATTTACACTTGAACAAGTATCCTCCACTGGTGAGATAGAACAAATAGTTCTCAAAAAATTTCAAACCAACTGGTCGAGCTTCGGCTGTGAAGAGTAAAGTTTTCAATTTTCCCTCGTAATTCACCATACTAATTTCTGCCTTATGTTGGTCAATAAAATACAAGTGTTTGCTGTTGAAATCAAACGTAAGGTCAGTTACGTAACCTAAAAATAAAGAAATATCACGTTTTTAAATCTTATATAATTTTACATACACAAGTATTTCACAGACTCGATTACTTCACATTCCCTTTAAATGGATAGTGAAGTAAAAAGCGGATGTGCAATAATCAAGTGACACTCAAAGATAGTGATTAATGAAGCAAAGCCAAATTATTAAGTTGGTTAGAAAAATTTTATATCCACTTCAACCATAAAAACGCTTTTTAGTGTTGGGTACATATTTTTTTTTTCATACCTTTATCGAACTTGACAAGCTCCACCTTTCCACTTCCATCTAAATTACACTTGTATATAATGTAGCTTGGAGAATTAAGTACCCACCAACTCGTTACCGAATAGAACATAACCTTATTCAGCGAGTCTATTGCTATTGCTGACACCTGTCTGTGAATATCAATATCAATCAGCTTTGCACACAACATTTCCTCGAAATTACACACACTAATGGACTTTGCTTCAGAACTGGCATTATAAAAATAGACATTCTGACTCGTCCAATCTACCGAGATCTTCTGCGGTTGCCCAACATGTTCTATGTACTGTCTCACTTGCGTTTCTTGATTGATCCGATGGATGGTACTGGTCATTTCTATGCTAAAGTAAACGCTTTTAGATTTTAGCACAAAGTCCAGGCCAGATATTTCAGGCATTTCATTGGAGTAAATGATGCTTAAACTGTTTGTTTTTTGAGTTAGGCTTCTTATTTGATTGTCCGAAGTAAAGATAAGAGACATGGGCTGACCTTCTGCTTTGCACGATTTTTTATCAGATCTGAAAAAAATATTTTATATAAAATCCATTGCAACATTTTCTCATATACCAATGAACAAAAAAAAAGTAAAGAAAATGTACATCCCATAAAACAGTTGAATTATCAAAAAAATTGTTTTTGGTATTTGTACTTGGAGACACCTCAGAAAATATGAAAAAGGCCCACAAAAGTCTCGAAATTAACCAGGTCTTATAATTAATTTATTAAAAATAAACTCACCTTAGTAGGTACCCGTTGAAACAGTCGCAAATATAACTGCCTTCGTTATTATTACACAACTGACTGCAAACGGGGGGGTCAATCCGACATTCATTCAGATCCTCACAGGTATGGCCATCCCCCATTAATTTGTATCCAGGATTGCATTTACACATAGGCCCTGTTGGTGTGGGGACACACACTTGAGAACAAGGATGTTTTATGCCATCACAAGCCGTCGAACACAAGCCGTCTTCATCAGAATCATCGTAACAGTCATGTTTGCCATCACATACGGAAGAAAGGGCTATGCAGTGACCACTTTTACACCTTAAAAAAAAAATACAAAAAGAAAAATAAATAATATTAATATACTGTGTCTAAAATAAATGTGTCTATTACGGAAATAACATAGAAAACGAAAGATATAGGGTGGCTTAAATTAGTAATAAATTATGTCGTTAGAGAACCATTAAAATAGTATAAATGGATCTTAAATATTTTTTCTTAATATTTGAGGTATTTTCAAAAAATGGGATTTCTCGATTTTCTATTTTATTTTTTTTATGTTATTTTACTATGGAGCGAGGGCGAAAAAGAGAATAAATTAAAGAATTATGATGACTTTTTTGGAAATCTCAGTTTTGGCGTCAGATATTTCATTTTTAATTTGTTTTCATGTACCTCATTTTTTAAACATGGCCCAGCATTTAAATTACTTATTTTTAAAATATTTTTAATTTTATTTTCACTTTTGTGTCACTTTTAGTGATTTAATTATGCATACATTTCAATATTTCTTTAAATACATTTTTAATGCGGCCCTCAATTTTAAAAACGGAAAACTTTAAGTTTTTAAACCAAATCGCTTTGTTTGGCCGCTAGATGGCCTCAAAGTTCGTCAAAATTTTTAGAATTTTGTAAATACGTAATTCGAATACGTATTATTCGATTTTGATTATTTTTGAGGTGTAGACTTTTGCTTTCAATCTACACAGTTTGGTGTTATAGTAATAGTAATAGGACTTTATTAGCACTTTGCTATTTATATATACTGTCTCACTTAAAACCTACTAAATAACATCAAAAATTTGTTTTACACACTACATACATATTTGAATACACTCTTAAAGACTATATTTACATATAAGAATTTCTTAATATATTTTTAAAACATGCTATATTTCGAGCATTTTTCACATCCTGACTTAAACTGTTATATTTACTAATACCCTTAAAAAAAATGGAATTTTGTCCAGCTGCTGTATGCACTTTTTGCAGGATAAACTTGTGATTCCCTCTTGTACTATAATTGTGGATATTATCAAAAGTTTCCAATATTTTTTTCAAGTATTGTGGTTCGTTCCCCAATGCAATTTTATGAATAAAAACTAATACATTAAACTCCAAAAACTTGTCTATATACATCCACTTCAAAATACCCAACATATCCTCAACTCTTGTATATCTGTTGCATCCTAAAATTACCCTCATAGCCCAATTATTATACGGAGTGTTTTTTTAAACAAACAACTCCTACAAAATTGATGTATGGTGATAATACCCGTTCATAATTTTTTTGTCTTTCGGGCAATAATGGCAACAATTTTTTAGTTGATAGGTGATACCATTTGGAGGTTTATGAGTCTCTTGTAGAATTTTGATTAAATGAGCGGTTTGGGTACAAAAAATATTTTTTAAATGTATACATAGTGCTAGTAGGCTTTGATTTTGTAAGTTGACTGTAATTTCAGTTTGATCTTTAAATCATTGTACCTGCCAATTCTGTTTTACTAGAAGCGGAATAATAAATATTCACAATGAACATGTGTATGCTCAACAAAATCTACATGCTGTCAAGATGAAACATTGTGCTCCATGACATTTCACTGTAAATGTCCAGCAGTATCTGAACCAAAGATTCTCTCGTAGATGGATTAGTAGAGGAGACAATGTTCCTGTTAACTGGCCTGAACGTTTACCAGACTTAACACCTTGAAATTATTATCTTTGGGGCACTCTGAAAACAACAGTGCATGCTTCCACATCTAACACTGAAGAAGAGTTGTGAAGGCATATCGAAAATGCCATAAATGTTTTAGAAAGTAGCCCTTAAGATCTGCAAAGCATGCCCTTTAACTTTCTTCGCCAAATTAACCTTTGTTGTAGAAACAATGGTGGTCATTTTGAACAGTTTTTATAGTAAGATGTACTAAATTTAATAACCTCAACTTTATTACTTCTATCTCCAGCAATTTTTATTGTATTTGATTGTTCTTACGAATTATTTCAATAAAATTAGGCACATTGTAAATAACTCTAATTCGTATTGTGTGTATCCATATTGAAAAATGAAGTAACGTGACATATCTTACCGTAGTAAATACTCATTAAGAATTGGCAGGTACAATGACTTAAAAATCAAACTGAATTTACAGTCTTTCTACAAAATCAGTGACTACTAGCACTTTATTAAGTATGTATTGTAATATGGGTGGCAAGATAATGTAGACATTTAAAAAATATTTTTTTGTACCCAAACCGCTCATTTAATCAAAATTCTACAAGAGGCCCAAAACCTATTAAATTAAAAATAGTTGTCATTATTGACCGAAAGAGGAAAAAGTTATTAATGGATATTAACACCATACATCAATTTTGTTGGAGTAGTGAGTTTTATAAAACACTCTATATAACATCAAAATTTGTAGATTGAAAGCAAAAGTCCACACCCCAAAAATAATTAAAATCGATTAATACATATTCCGAGTTATTTCGGATATAGGTGAATTAGCCTAAATCTGCCTATTTTGAGTCCATGAATCTGTGGTCTTCCATTGTACACGTTATTCTGGGACACCCTGTATAATTCAGATAGTATTTTCATATAATTTATTGTGGTTATAAGTAAAATTTGTTACAACCTTGAATTCAGTTTTCAAGCTTTCTTTGGCATTAGAAAGTTTAATTTTACAAACCTATTTAAACAATCATACTTGGAATTTATTTTTCACAGAAATCGCTGACGATGGCTAAATGAAATTAATCACAATATCACAAATGACACATTGGCAGAAATACTTAAAATATGTAAAAAAATACTCAAAAAACATGTATTTTAAAAAATGGAGCTATTTTAAAAAATGAAGTTGATGGCGAAAATAAAAATGAAACTGAAAATAATGAAACAAAATCAAAAAAATATATTTTTTTCCAAATATCTGAAAAACTAAAATATATTTAAAATCTGTCTAAGCCATTTCAATGATTTAATGACAACACTTTCTTCTAATTATAATTATTCTGTAGGTATTATTTACAGATTTTGTTTTTATTATTTTGACATTGTTTTATACCCTATACAGGGTGTGTTTTAAATAAGTGCGAAATATTTTAGGGGGTGGTTGCCGAAGTTGTTTTGTGAAAAAAAACTCATATAAATGTAGGTCGAAATATACTTCGTTTCCAAAATACAGTCTTTAAATTTTAATTTTTTATTTATTTTTATTAATTATTTCGGTTTTAAAGATATTGACTCGAAATTTGATGGTTATATTTTATTTAGAAATATTAACAGCAACCTACTAGATAATGTATCGATAGAAATTAAAAATATACAACTTGCAATAAAATATGTTTTATTTTTTTCCTCAAAAACGGTACATCCTACGAAAAAAATTAAAGAGACCAGTTTCGTTCAGTATTAACGGCAGATTTCTAAAATAATATCAAAACTGGAAAAAGTCAGTGGTGTACCATTTTTTTTATTAAGAAAGGTTGTGGCATTCTCGCACGAACACAAGCAGAAATATTCGAATCACCCCAAAAAATGCACGTTTATCCCTCCAAAACATTTTTCAAATTTCGAGTCAATATCTTTAAAACTCTTTGAATTAATTAATAAAAATAAATAAAAAATTAAAATTATACACTGTATTTCGGAAACGAAGCATATTTCGACCTACGTTTATATGAACTTTTTTTCACAAAATAACTTCGACAACCACCCGCTAAAATATTTCGCACTTATTTACAAACACCCTGTATATTTAACCATTTTAGATATCCCCTTGATAGCATCCTTATTTTGAATGCAGTGGACAACTCTATACTTTATACAGTAGCATATAATGACGTTTTCCATTACACTATAGATAATTTTAATACAAATTCAGAAATAAGAAAAATATGTATAGGAATATTCTAGGGAATATCACTTACCGAAAACCATGTTCACACGAAATATGAACGACAGACGATGTAACCCCAACAGCATGAGAACAAAGCTCCGTCTTTTCATCAGTATTATCCCCACAGTCATCTATTCCGTCACATATCCACTGAACAGGGATGCACTTCTTATTTTTGCAGTTAAATTCATCGATGTTGCAGTCTGAGCAGCCTTTTTCGTCTTCGTGATGAGGGCATTCCGACGTTCCATTGCATTTCGCAGAATTTAAGACACAAATAGACGTGTTTGAAGAGCAAGCAAACTCTTCCACGCTGCAGTTTCCAGTAGAGGCTACGTTGCACGTGTATTCATCCGAGTTATCTCCGCAGTCATCCATGTTGTCGCACATAAGTTGCTTGTCGATACATTTGCCGTTTAGGCAGGTGTACATTGTAGGAGGGCAACTAACCGAAGCTAAAAATGAGTAATAGTTTGAATTAGGCGGTTAAAAAAATTTAATATGAAGAACGGAAATTTTCCATTATTGTATATTTGAAATATTTTCAAAAAATTTGCTTTTTTTATAATAAAATTCTCCACATCCGGACCAATGTTTGTCACTCTGTACAAAAAATTTACTTACCACATTGAGCATGTTCATCTGAAAAATCATTACAATCATAATCATGATCACATTCCCATGACTTTGGTATACAAGCTCCTGAATTGCATCTAAAAATTAGAATAACAATGCGTTTATCTTTGAAATTAGAAATTTCAATTAGGAACATTCACAAATAAAAAATTACTTTTTACCTAAACTGATTGATTCCACATTCATTCGTTGAACACTTCACCTCATCAGAGTGATCCTCGCAGTCATAAACGCCGTCACACAAAAATCTTTCTACTATGCACTGGCCATCACCACAACTAAAATGCTGTGGTGGACAAGATTTTTGCTTACTTTTGTCTTTGCAGTTGTGTTCATCGGATTTATCTTTGCAATCATAGTTATAATCGCACACTTTTTCCTGCTTAATACATTCACCATTGCTGCATTCAAATAAATCAGGTGGACATTTCCTGGCTGGTTTACAATCTTTCTCGTCTTCACCGAAACTGCAGTCGTTGTGTCCGTTGCAACGAAGGCTTTTTAAAATGCACGTGTTGGAGTCGTAGCACAAGTATTCGGTATCTTTACAGTGTTCTCTTTTAATGCAAGTATGATTGTTCGACGATAGATCCCAACCGACGGGACAAGCACATACTATTGATTTGTGAGACATAAGGCAGAGGTGACTGCAACCGCCGTTGTTTCTGAGACAAGAGCTGAAGTGTTGTTTCTTTGGCGTTACAGAAACGAGATGTAATTTTTCAATATTACTCGGAATATCTAAAATTTCAGGTATAATTTTTATTGTTAAAAGTTATTAACAATTTTCTTATTTCTTTTACTTACCTAAAGTAATTTTTTTGTTATAATTTGTGCTGGCATTTTTTTCTGCCCAGTACAGTCTTTTCGAATGTTCGTTAACCCAGAAAATATCGTAATGTAAAGTAGTCAAACCAATAGGGTAAGTTGATAGAGATCGAAAACCATGCCTATCGTCCCCTACAATAAATTTTATTATCATTAATTGGTCACAGTGGTGTCCAAAAGGTCGGATGAGCAGCGACATAGTATCGTAACAGCCTGTGGGGCTCATTTTGTTATTCAAGCTCATAGAGTAAACTTTGTACATTTCCAGAAATAATAAAGGTGCCCACAGCAAAATTTTAAAATTGCAAAGCAGAAAACTAATAAATAATAAATAAATACATACATGTTTCTGTAAATAATTGTGTTTCAGAGCATTTAAATGTAGCAGATGATATATCAAAGGTTTTATCTATTTTCACTTTCTCTCCCAGATTATACTTCAGTTTCCACTACTCGATACGCAAACATTTTATATACAGTGGGAGCATTTTCACACGTTTCACATGAAATAAGTTGAAATGTACCTTAGTAATTTTGATAGTTTTAAAAGTTAAGAAGCTTCAATGATATTATTTTATTCCATTTTTTAAAGAGTGACAAACTTTTTAAGATATTTCATAGAATTTGGCATGGTGGGTTTTTTGGTAAGCCAAATTTGTATGTCTATACCAGCGGTATTCAAACTGTGTTCCGCGGAACCCTGGGGTTCCGCACAACCTCTCTGGGGGTTCCGCGACTCATTGTCTGTCAAAAATTTAAGATTTTATTATTGATGATTACAAAATTCCAAAAAATTTATACTCTTAAAAGTTTTTATTTTTATATTGAATTACAAGCGTATATGTAAGTTACTATAAGAACTTTATCTATTTACGAAAGTGCAAGTAAGTCTGCTTACAACTTATAAGCTGGCGCAGCGTTTTTCGCGTTGGTTATGTCGGCTTTTTCTTGACTTTTGGCTAGAGATTTATAAGAAATATCCTGAAATTACTGACCAGGCAATCAATGTATTAATACCTTTTGCAACTACGTACCTCTGCAAAAAATCATTTTCCACGTATGTTGCGACAAAAACAAAGTATTGCAATGTGATTGCAACTTATGACAGTAGCACCTGATTTTAACATATATATATATATTCAGCACTACGGGCCGAGTACGCCCATGGCTTGGTTGCATATATGCCTCCATTCAGTTTTGTTTCTTGCTCTCCTTCTCCAGTCCCTAATGCCCATTTCCTCTAGATCTCTCTCCACCTTTTGAAGCCATCCAGTCCGGGGTCTCCCTCTTTTTCTTCTACCTTCTATACCTCCTGTGAGCACTATCCTTGTCGTTCTCTCATCTGGCAGTCTTACTACATGTCCTAACCATCTCATTCTCTGCGACCTTATTACATTCGTTATGGATGGTTCCCCGTACATTTCCATCAGCTCCTCATTTGATCTCCTTCGCCACATTTCTCCTACCTTCCTCCCTCCATAAATTCTCCTTAGTACTTTCCTCTCAAAAATTTCTAATGTCCCTTTTTCTCTTACATTAAGTTTCCAGGCCTCACATCCATAGATCACCACAGGTCTTATTACAGTCTTATAGATTCTCTTTTTCACATTTCTGGAAATGTTTTTTGACCTAAATACCCTAAGTAAGCCACCCATGCACTTATTTCCCTTTCCTATTCTCTCTTGTATTTCAATTTTTTCTTCACCATTAATAGTCACTGTGACTCCTAGGTAATTAAATTTATTCACTCCCTCAAAATAATATTGTCTCCCTTCCGTTACCATCCTGATTCCTGTGTTTTGCCTAACCTCTGGCGTTTTATCTATCTTCATATATTTTGTTTTGTTTTCATTTATAACCAGCCCTCTGTTCCAAGTTGTTCTTTCTAACTTTTTAATTGTGTTAAGCAGATTCTTCTTCGTTCTTGTCAGGATCACGATGTCATCAGCGTAGGCCATTATCTGACTTGTTTGTCTGTAAATTGTGCCCGTAGTTTGTATTCCGCTTTCTCTGATTGCCGAGTCTAGTACGATGTTAAATAACGTTGTTGACAAGGGATCACCTTGGCGTAAACCTCTCCTAACTCTAAATTTTTTTGACGTTTGACCATTAATCATTACCTTGTAATCCGTATCGTTTAGAGTCATTTGTATGAGTTTTATTAATTTTCTTTTTATTCCCATGCTCTCCATAGAACTGTATATTTTTGATCTTTTTATTTTATTGTACGCTTGTTTAAAATCTATGAATACCATATAAAGAGGCAGATTCTGATCTATACTATTATCTATTATTTGTTTTAAAACAAATACCTGATCCATGGTTGATCTATTTTCTCTGAATCCACATTGATACTGCCCAATTTTTTGTTCCGCCGCTAAATTTAATCTTTTTTTAATTGCTATCGCCATTACCTTATACACCGTATCCATCAAAGCAATGCCTCTATAATTATTGCAGTCCATCCGATCTCCTTTTTGTATGTATGGGGCATATTAACGATTGTTTCCATCTATTAGGCATCACTTCTTTTTCCCATACTTCTTTTATTATGTCATATACTTTTTCTTCCATTTCCTGTTCCCCCGCTTTCAACATTTCTGCCACTATGCCATTTTCACCAGGTGCCTTATGATTTTTTAACGATCTAATAATTTCTCCTATTTCTTCTTTGCTTGGCACCTCTTCGTAATCATTCAGTCCTAGGTAATGTTCTTCATCACTTTCTTCTTCTTCTTCTACGCCAAATACATCTTGAAAATACTCCGCCCATCTCTCCACACTTCCTTGACTTCCTCCCACAAGTTGCCCCTGTTTATCTTTACAAAACAATTGTTTGCTTTGCTGATCTCTTCCTCTTTCGTTCTTTACACCCCTGTAAAACTCCCTTATTCTCTTTTTTTCATATTTGTCCTCCAGGTTCTGCATTTGTTTTTCTATGTATTCCCTTTTCTTTTTTCTACATACCACTTTGGCCTCTTTTTTACATTTGTCATAGTGTTCCCTGTTATTCGTCGTGTTATTTTTTATCAATACCATTCTCGCTTTCTCCCTCTTAAGTATTGCCTCTTTACATTCCTCATTGAACCAGGACTTACTCTTCACATTATTTTCATCGTTCTTCAAAATTTGTGCACCATCCGCCATAATTTTTTCAAATTCTTGCCATTTTTCTTCTACATCACTTCCAGTTATTTCCCTCTTAATCCTCCTTTGGAACTCATTTACAATTTCTTTCTCCTTTAATTTTTCAACAGCATACTTACTATTTACTTTTCCTTTCTTCTGCATTATAGTCGGCTTTCTATATTTTAACGTTGCCTTCACTAGCATGTGATCTGTATCCAAATCTGCCCCTCGATAACTTCTTGCATCTAATACGTAGTTAATATGTTTACTTTCTATCGTTACATGGTCTATTTGGTTTACTGTCTTTCCATTGGGTGAAGTCCATGTACCCTTATGTATATTCTTATGTTGGAAAAATGTTGTTACTATCCATAGGTCCTTCTCTGTTGCAAACTCTATAAGTTTCTTTCCATTTTCATTACTCTGATTATGCTTACTATGGCTCCCTATAATCGGTTTATATATTTCTTCTTTCCCTATCTTTGCATGAAAATCTCCAATTACCATTTTGACATCGTATCTTGGAATTTTATTATAGACTCCTTCAATTCTCTCATAAAATTCTTCTTTTTCTTCTTCTTCTTTTTCTTCTGTTGGACAATGTACATTAATAATACTTATTTTCCTGTATTTACTTCTTATTCTTAATTTGCATAATCTATTTGAAATGGGCAGAAATTCTGCTATTTCCGATTTTAATTTTTTTGTCACCAAAAACCCTGTTCCAAATATTCTATCATCTGCTCTACTGTTAAAGTATATGTAATTTCCTATTTCTTGCGTAAAATTTCCTTTTTGTTTCGTTTCTTGGATAGCCACAATATCTATCGCATAGTTGCTCATAATCTGCGTCAGTCTAATAAGTGCGCCTTCCGTGTAAGTGCCTCGGACATTCCATGTAGCCACATATATTTTCCCATCCTTCTAATTCTTTACATTTTTTTTAACTTCTATATCCCCATTTTGTTTTTCGAATTTCCCATAATTTCCCACCTTTTCTTTTTCCTTCTTGCTCCTTAATTCATAATCCGTTTCCATTGCCATACAAATCCATTCCATTCCATTTCTATACAAATCCTTTCTATCCCAAATATTTTCTTCTAGTTTTTTTGGACATCTGATCGAGCAGGTTCTAATTTCTCTGCGATTTTATTCCATTTCCACTCTACTCCATCTTCCGTAACTTTGTTATATCCTATTTTAACTGATTTACCTTTATTTCTTTCTTCTTTTGCAAATCCCCTTATTTTTTTCGCTCTTTCCAGTTCCTTTTTTGTTAAGTCCTCGTTTATAAATATTCTTTCCTCATGAATCTCTCTAAGCTTATATTTATTCTTCATAACTTTCTCTTTGTCTTCTTCCCCTTTAAGCTCTATTAAACATGTCCTCTCTCCTAATTTACGTGCATTTCTGATATCAATTTCTATTTTCAGATATGATTTGATTAAACTCTCTGTATAGTTCTTTAATGCTTTTTGGTCCTCAGTACGTATTTTAACTCCACTCATAATTACATTGTTTTTCCTTTTATCTTTCTCTATTTTAACATATTATGTAAAAATATTCAAGTACATCCCAGTCTTTGATTATATTTACTCTTTTTTCAATTAGGTACTCAATAAATAGTTACTTTCATTTTTACTTACAATTAGTGGATTATTTATTTTGTTAATCGTAGTATTTATAAATATATTAAATAATCAGTAAAAAATGTGTTCAAAAATCTTTTTTAGGTGTAGGGGTTCCTCAAAAATATCGAAATGTTGGCGGGGTTCCAAAATCGTAAAAGTTTGAAGACTGCTGATCTATACCATAAAAATATTTTATATAACTTCAAACTTAACAAAAATATAAAGTTTAATTTGACTAGAATGGCCACAACTACTCAGCCCATCATAACCGATAATTGCGATAGAAAATTGATATAAATTTTTCTCTCAAACTACATGAAACAAATTTCGACATTTTACAGTAAATCAAAATTTGTATTTTCTCAAAATTCGTACCAACAAAAAAATATGGCAAAGAGTACACATTTTTGAGTTATTATCGCCCTCTATGTTTTTGATAAAAAGCAAAAAGCTCATTTTAAATTGGAGCAAAGTTGCGTAATCACGGCACCAACATTATGCCTCTAAAAGATCAAGGCTAACATGATTAGTTTTTGAAATATTTTAAATTAACCGAAATTTTGGAAATCCGTTTTGGTTTTGTTCCAGCCTTGTTTAAGGTGATATTGAAAAAAGAAGGACACTTTCTCATGGCCACTTTTTGCCCTCTATCGAATGGCATAATCAATTTTCATATGTAACGTTTCGTCTCTCTAGGACCATCATCAACTTCATTTTTTTAAATACAACCCTAGAAATTTTATTACAATTTTTGCAAACCTTCATGATCCCCAATACTGTACTGCCTCAGCCCGAACCACGTTTTGTCTCGAAAAATTCATCTTCAGTGTAATTTTTCCAAATTTATCTAAATTTTTTATTTAGATTTCTTTGTTTATTGAATTATCGTACACTGTAAGTGTCGTTAGACCCTGTGAAATCCATCTAGTTATTTAAACTATTACGACCACGCGTTGCAATAAAACATTTATTATTATTAACTATTACCATCACTTGGTCATACATAACTCAATAAGTTGTTGCGTCAAAGTTAAAACATTACAATTTTAATTTTATTATGACAAATTAATTGTTAAAAATGCATATGAACAACCAAAACGCCAACTGAATATTATTCTTTAAAAAATTTCAGCAAATGTTCAAAAACATTTTCGTTTTGGCAAAGGTTGAAAATGAAGATTAATTTGTTTGAATTTTGAGCACTCGAGAAGCCTAGAAATAACTATGGGCGCGGGAATAATTCTCTAATAATTTTTTCAATATCACCTCAAACAATACTGAAATGAAACAGAAACGGATTTCCAAAATTTCGTTTTTTTTTCAAATATTTCGAAAACTAATCATGTTAGCCTTGATTTTTTAGAGGCATAATGTTCTTACCGTTTTCGAGATCCCTGTAGTGAGAAGCGAATTTGTAACAGCCTGTATATATTAATTTTCATTGAAATATTTAAAATGTCAAGGATTAACTAAAATAAAGTTAAAAAAAAATCTTTGAAGATAATTTTGAAATATGGCCCATCCTTACCAAACAAATCTCTCATAAAATATTAGTTACCATTACCAACAATAAGTATTACAAAAGAAAAAAATTAACGCAGTAAAGTCTTTGCATTGATTTTTGAAAGATTTAAGAAACTTTTAGCAAATCCTTGTTTCTAAATTATCTAATTTTTGCTAGAATAATTAAAATATCTTACAAAACATTTGAAAATCTTACCTTCCACACTGGTGGATTCTATATTTCCTGTACCAGCATCGGCAAAGAATACTCTGTGCACATCGCTGTCATAATGAACACTAACTGGTCCCAAAAGGCCTTGTTCTACAATATGGGTCCTGCCCGAGCCATCCATAGCAAGACGGTCGATATGAGCCGACTGACCACCAACTTTTCTTAATGATACGAACATTACCCTACGGAAACGTGGTGAATATAGACTGATTTTTGCTTTTTTTTTAACGACTTACCCTTCTTCCGGAACAAGAGCAATTGCTTCTGGAATTTCACCATGCATGTCATGGAGCAGAATTTTTCTGGACATTGTATTAAGGTTAACTACTTCCACTATTGCTTTCTTTTCATCGCACATATACAGGTTGTTTGCCATAGGATCTTTTAAAGAAAATAAAATGTTACGTAGATTCATGACAGACCACAATTGCAGAGTGAGACAATCTATTAGCCGAGTACGTAATGAAATAGTTGTGGATTAAAATTTTCACAAAAACTTATTTTGGCTATATCTTTTTAATCACTTGCAAGAAATAATTTATCCTGACTGCACGGTACAAAAGTATATGGGAGCAAATATGTTCAAAACGTATGTATAAGTCTGCAAGTACAATAAACAAATAACAAATATTATTTACATTTGATATTTTTATCACTTCTTATCGTCAATATGTTTTTCACTTGTTCCATGTGAAAAGTTTCTCTTGTATTTTTTTAAAAAATCTAATGAAAATTCAATATTTATATAAGAATATAGAATACTTAATCCTTTCTTCAATTTTGTTAATTTCCAATAATTGTAATACAGATTTCGTTGTTTGTAGGTAGGTACAAAGAAAAATTTTAATCTACTGTAAATAGGTACTAAACCCCCTGGTATAAGATACAGAGGAAATTTTTTTGAGATGGCCAATGAATAAAGAGTTTTTCCATTAAAACTACTAGTTTCTCAAAAAAAAGTTCATAGGATTTTATTTTTGTTTGAAATACAATTTTCAATGATGAATTTGAAAAAACAATGGTGTAGACATTTTTCTATTTCTTACAAGGGAGTATGGAATGGAAAAAATCATGCCAATTATTTTCTCGGACTTTTCATGATTATATTGTATTTAAAATAATACATTTAGAAAAAATTAACTTTTCTTGAGAAATTAGTAGTTCTAGAGTTATATTAGGTTACCATAAATAGAAAAATGGCTTGTTTTTTAATAAAATAAAAGATATTGAAAATACCATGAGGTTCAATTTTCAAAATATTCATAGTCCAGTCATTCTGTACATTTGGAAAAGAAAGTGAACTGGGCAAGCCAAATTTTTTTTTATGTTGTGGTGTGGGGGGTACTTAGAAAAGCTTAACTTGAGATTTGAGACCAAGATTTCCTATGTGCATTTTCCGCCATTTTGGAAAAAGAGGTGAATTTTTGTTTTTGTTATAACTCGGTTCTCCATCAAGATACAGAATTGTTGTTTTACCTATTATTGTTAGTTGTTGAGATATCGAACTAAATAGATAAGAAACAAGAACAAAGACAACTTTATAAAAATGCTCCGTCTTCATTTTGTTCAAACCGAAATCAGAGTCGAACAAACCTTTGAAGATGCGGACACTCTGATCGTAACCATCGCACTCGCAGAAGCATCAAAGGACGATTCGGTTGAAATCATGGGCGAAGTCATCGATCTCTTGATTTTGCTCGCTGGACTAGCGAAAGACAAAAGAAATTTATATTTTCGATAAGTATTAAGGAAAAAGAGAAAACCCCGAAAAACCAGATCGAATCTTTGAATTTTTATCTATGTTGTTATATATCTCAACAAGTAATAATGATAGGTGAAAAGTTTATAGGACTTGTAGATCGTCGGAAGAGAAATAAAAAATTACAAAACAACAAATCTATCTCGACGGAGAACCGAGTTATCGCGAAAACCATAATTTACCGCAAAACTTCGCACGGACTTGCCGACTTCGCGGCGCGATAAAACACGCAATTATCACCTTAGAGAAAAAATAAAAACACCCACTTGCTCGTACAAACATCCCCTACAAGTTTTATAATAGACATGTTTTCGATAAGTATTAAGGAAAAAGAGAAAAACCCGAAAAACCAGATCAAATCTTTGAATTTTTATCTATTTTGTTCGATATTTCAACAACTAACAACAATAGTTGCAAAGTTTATAAGACCTAAATTGTAGGTCGTCGAAAGAGGAACAAAAAAACAATAAAACAACAATTCTTTATCTCGACGGGGAACTGAGTTATAGCAAAAACAAAAATTCACCACTGTTTAAAAGATGGCGGAAAAGGCACATAGGAAATCTTGGTCTCGAATCTCAAGTTAAGCTTTTTGAAGCACCCCCCCACAACATATAAAAAATTTGGCTTTCCCAGTTCACTTTCTTTTCTTCGCCTAATTTTTTACAGAAGTGGACAGGAGTATCAGTGATACTGAATTCTGAGAGCATTTTCTAGTATCTGCCCCATCGGTACAAGTTTTTATAATTCAGAGATATGTATTTTAGAAAAAAGGATTATTTTTAGTTTCAACAACCCTGTATCTGGAAAGCTATTGACTTGTGGACCGTCAAAATCACTTCCCTAGATCTGTTATTATGATGAAAATTTTACTTTAATAAATATGTTCCTGTTTTTCAAAAAAAGAAATCTAATTTAATCAGAAATTCCTCAACCATGTTCTTTTGAGGTAAGTAACGTGCTTTTGACAACTGTGATAAAATTATACCACTGCTCTTGGGTAAAAATTCACTCACCCTGTATATTTACAAAAAACCAAGGTTGCCCCTATTACGACATACAAACACCCTGTATACTTTTAAATTAAAGAAATAAAACTGTTAGATATGACTACAGAAAATTGAATGATTTTATAATATTTTTATTGTTTATGTCAATGTAGACTGCAGTTAAGGATTTGTCATAGTACTTACCGAACTCCATAGCGGTTATTTTTCCGAAACCATGTACATCCAGCGTTTCACTTATTCCTGTATTTAAATTGGTGCTTATAATTGTTTTAGTGTCCAGATCACTAATCAGTAAAGAATTGGTAATGCTGTCAAATGCCAAACAACCGATATTTTTTGCACTTGAGGTGAGGGTTGTAACGTCGTGCTTCCCTAACAACTGGTGTTCCACTTGAATTAACACATCCTTGTACCCAAGGATCAACATTTGTCTCTTTTTCACTTCTGCAATAATACAGATTTTTATTTTAGAAAAGACGTCTTCGACGCTTTTGAAAGTTTTGTGTGGAAAAATATTTACCTCTGCATAAATGTCTGTCAAAAGCCAAAATTTTGTTTTGGGGACAGGCACAAGTGTACTCTTTCCCTTTTAATAGACATATATCGCTACAGAATGCCCTATCACATGGATTATCATTTCTAGCGTGTAGGGCAGAATGGAAAATACTTATTCCATATATATATTCTTTGGAATCTTTTATGATGGTGTGATGGCGTTTTCCAAAGAACTTATCGCACGACTGTATGGAATGTGTCGCCCAGTCCGACCAATACAAGTTGTTTTCAAATACTGCGATTGCATAAGGATGTTTGACTATGCCCTCCAATACAATCTATTAAAATAAATTAAAATGTGATGTGAAAAAAAATACATTTAAATTTTTTATTTGAACAAACGTTATATTTACCCTTCTGTCAGTGCCGTCTAATCGAATGCTTTCTAATGACATTTTTCTTGCATCTGTCCAGTACAGTCTCTCGTTGGGATAATCCAGAGCCAAACCATTTGGCCAATGTATATCTTCCGACACAAATGGGCGATCGTTTGTTCCGTCCATCAAAGCATATGCTATTTCGGCAGGTTTGCCCCAATCTGTCCAATACATGTCCCTAAGGAAGGAAAGTTTATTTATAGTCCAGTAAATTTAGCTTTGGAAAAACCTACAGGGTGTTTCTATTTGGAGGTGAAAACAGATGAAGATTCAATATTTTTTATAAAATTGATTCTACAAATGGAAACTATATATTTCTATTAAAAATCTAATAACATGACGTTATCCACTCTATTAGCCTTAGCTTACTGTGATTTTTTTTATCAATTATTAAACATTGTGTACGAAAAGGTGAATTAATCATGTAGAAAAAAATAAATTAACAAAAATTAAAGATAATAGGAATCCTGCTTGATATAACATCGGAAATAGTAGTGTTTTCTTAATATTTCTTACATTCAGAATAACTCGACAAAATATCCATAATCAAAAAACAGAACAAGAAAATACAATAAAATTGAAACACTTTTAATGGAATGCTCAAATTAATCAAATTAATCCAATCTTTTAACCCAAATATTTTGCGAAAATGAAGTTAACATATATCACTGAATTCAGAAGATCAGGTAATAAAACATATATTATTCTTTTGAAAAACAATTGACAATCCCTTTTCGTTGAGGCATGTTATTAAATTTAAAAAATTAGTATCAGTTTTCGACTACAAGCCCATCGGAAATTTTCAAGGGGTCATTTTGACATTCACTACCACATATAACAATAACTTTAGAAATAAATTATGTTGTCAATACTTGTTGGTACAGGTGAGTAGACAAGTAAGCTAAACCTCTCCACCTAGGGGGGGGGGGGGCTGGTGTAGCTATGAAAATGTAGACCCGGTTTTTGATAATTTATTACAATAGGGCACTTATACTGCAAGTTTCGGATTGATAGATATATAACTTTTTTTAGTGATGCCATACGTATCTGCTGATAAAGGGCTTCTAAATGCAGGTCGCCCTATCTATCTATTTTAGCCCCATTGTTTCAAGTCATTGAAAAATGTACGGCATTGATTCCACATGATTATTTAACTCTCTAAATAATTCTTAGCAACTATGTCGTCTAAAAATTATAGTTAAAGCAAAAGTTTATAAACAATTACTTGTATTTTAGAATTGAGTTTTATTTTTTTTTTTCGATAAGATCATTAATTCCTGTACGGCAACCACTCTTTTGATAAACCAAAAACTATCGCACTAAATCATGGCCGGTTATAATTAATGGCACAAATTAAAAATTCTAATTAAAAACAATTAAATAAATTGGAAAATTTACAATATTTTTAAAATTCCTTTTTATAAACTAAAAATGTTATATTCAAAATATTATGGCTGTAATTGACTTTTCATAAGTAAAAAAAATAAAAAAAAACAATGCTGTACATTTTTAACTAGTGGATTTTACATAGCTGATAATATTTTTCATTAAGTTTTTACTACATTTTTAGGTCATTAATAACTATACGGCATTTACAAATTTTCATCAGACATATAACATAAAGAATGAAAATAGCAATGCCGTACATATTTGTTGGAACAATTCTCCAAAACTGTATTAAGTCCAAAATGAGTTTTATCCTAATTTCAAGAGAAATTTAATTTATACCATAGAAATTATGATGGCATTGTCTTTAAGATTAAAAAAATTGTCTATAGAGAATTGAGAAAATATTTTGAGAAATTTAGAAATTGAATGACGTGCAAGAAAATATTATTTTTAAATAAATATAATAATAAACAATTAATATTAATTCAATATTCGTGAGAATTCCTATATAAATACTTACATTTAAAACAGTGATATAATATACGTTTTGAAGAAACAGTACCCTCGCATTTGCATATTTGCAACTTCTGTTACAATTGTTTGAACAATTTATTTATGCAAAAATTGTGATGAAGCCATTGGTATACAATATATGTTTAAAATTAATAAAAATAATTTAAAAGTGCATCTGTTACAAAAACAACTGAGATTGTCGGTTATAAACATGAATAAAACCACATCCAAATTTACAAGACAAAAAGAAAAAAGAGAGAGAAAGAAGATGTTTCGATGGCCAGCTAGAATCTCGAAGCAGTAATTTTAATTTTAAAGTAAAAATAATTCCAAATTTTTAAAAAAATATTCGAATGCAGATTTTTTATTGATTTTTTTAATAATTTTTTGGATTTTGAAAAAATTTTATTTTTTTATGNAACTGTATATTTTTGATCTTTTTATTTTATCGTACGCTTGTTTAAAATCTATGAATACCATATAAAGAGGCAGATTCTGATCTATACTATTATCTATTATTTGTTTTAAAACAAATACCTGATCCATGGTTGATCTATTTTCTCTGAATCCACATTGATACTGCCCAATTTTTTGTTCCGCCGCTAAATTTAATCTTTTTTTAATTGCTATCGCCATTACCTTATACACCGTATCCATCAAAGCAATGCCTCTATAATTATTGCAGTCCATCCGATCTCCTTTTTGTATGTATGGGGCATATTAACGATTGTTTCCATCTATTAGGCATCACTTCTTTTTCCCATACTTCTTTTATTATGTCATATACTTTTTCTTCCATTTCCTGTTCCCCCGCTTTCAACATTTCTGCCACTATGCCATTTTCATCAGGTGCCTTATGATTTTTTAACGATCTAATAATTTCTCCTATTTCTTCTTTGCTTGGCACCTCTTCGTAATCATTCAGTCCTAGGTAATGTTCTTCATCACTTTCTTCTTCTTCTTCTACGCCAAATACATCTTGAAAATACTCCGCCCATCTCTCCACACTTCCTTGACTTCCTCCCACAAGTTGCCCCTGTTTATCTTTACAAAACAATTGTTTGCTTTGCTGATCTCTTCCTCTTTCGTTCTTTACACCCCTGTAAAACTCCCTTATTCTCTTTTTTCCATATTTGTCCTCCAGGTTCTGCATTTGTTTTTCTATGTATTCCCTTTTCTTTTTTCTACATACCACTTTGGCCTCTTTTTTACATTTGTCATAGTGTTCCCTGTTATTCGTCGTGTTATTTTTTATCAATACCATTCTCGCTTTCTCCCTCTTAAGTATTGCCTCTTTACATTCCTCATTGAACCAGGACTTACTCTTCACATTATTTTCATCGTTCTTCAAAATTTGTGCACCATCCGCCATAATTTTTTCAAATTCTTGCCATTTTTCTTCTACATCACTTCCAGTTATTTCCCTCTTAATCCTCCTTTGGAACTCATTTACAATTTCTTTCTCCTTTAATTTTTCAACATCATACTTACTATTTACTTTTCCTTTCTTCTGCCCTATAGTCGGCTTTCTATATTTTAACGTTGCCTTCACTAGCATGTGATCTGTATCCAAATCTGCCCCTCGATAACTTCTTGCATCTAATACGTAGTTAATATGTTTACTTTCTATCGTTACATGGTCTATTTGGTTTACTGTCTTTCCATTGGGTGAAGTCCATGTACCCTTATGTATATTCTTATGTTGGAAAAATGTTGTTACTATCCNGTTTCAAGTCATTGAAAAATGTACGGCATTGATTCCACATGATTATTTAACTCTCTAAATAATTCTTAGCAACTATGTCGTCTAAAAATTATAGTTAAAGCAAAAGTTTATAAACAATTACTTGTATTTTAGAATTGAGTTTTATTTTTTTTTTTCGATAAGATCATTAATTCCTGTACGGCAACCACTCTTTTGATAAACCAAAAACTATCGCACTAAATCATGGCCGGTTATAATTAATGGCACAAATTAAAAATTCTAATTAAAAACAATTAAATAAATTGGAAAATTTACAATATTTTTAAAATTCCTTTTTATAAACTAAAAATGTTATATTCAAAATATTATGGCTGTAATTGACTTTTCATAAGTAAAAAAAATAAAAAAAAACAATGCTGTACATTTTTAACTAGTGGATTTTACATAGCTGATAATATTTTTCATTAAGTTTTTACTACATTTTTAGGTCATTAATAACTATACGGCATTTACAAATTTTCATCAGACATATAACATAAAGAATGAAAATAGCAATGCCGTACATATTTGTTGGAACAATTCTCCAAAACTGTATTAAGTCCAAAATGAGTTTTATCCTAATTTCAAGAGAAATTTAATTTATACCATAGAAATTATGATGGCATTGTCTTTAAGATTAAAAAAATTGTCTATAGAGAATTGAGAAAATATTTTGAGAAATTTAGAAATTGAATGACGTGCAAGAAAATATTATTTTTAAATAAATATAATAATAAACAATTAATATTAATTCAATATTCGTGAGAATTCCTATATAAATACTTACATTTAAAACAGTGATATAATATACGTTTTGAAGAAACAGTACCCTCGCATTTGCATATTTGCAACTTCTGTTACAATTGTTTGAACAATTTATTTATGCAAAAATTGTGATGAAGCCATTGGTATACAATATATGTTTAAAATTAATAAAAATAATTTAAAAGTGCATCTGTTACAAAAACAACTGAGATTGTCGGTTATAAACATGAATAAAACCACATCCAAATTTACAAGACAAAAAGAAAAAAGAGAGAGAAAGAAGATGTTTCGATGGCCAGCTAGAATCTCGAAGCAGTAATTTTAATTTTAAAGTAAAAATAATTCCAAATTTTTAAAAAAATATTCGAATGCAGATTTTTTATTGATTTTTTTAATAATTTTTTGGATTTTGAAAAAATTTTATTTTTTTATGTACTGAAAAAAAAAATTAATATAAGCTTTTCAAATTTATAAAATTAATAATTTTTATATCGTCCTATGGTTTTTTAACATTTATGACAGTACATTGTTTTAATTAAGCGAAAAAGGCTCAGTCATTGTGGAAAATACAGGATGTGCCCTTCTTGTTCCTTGGGAATCCAATTGGGAATCTAATTGGAACCCCTATTGGAAATCCAATTAGAGATCCAATTGGGAATCCAATTGGTAAACGGGCTGTTCGCCAATTTTAAAAGTCACGTAACTTCCTAACAAAGCCCCTCCATATCTTTTTAACCGTTGAAAATATCGAAAAACTCCGCCCTAGCATTTCATCCGAAGATTCCAACAAACCAAACCGCACCCTTCTAAGTCGAGAAATAAAAAAGTTACGGGCTGTTCGCAAATGTAAAAAGTCATGTGACTTAAAACGTGCCCTAACAAATCCCTTCCATATCTTTTTAACCGTTGAAAAAATAGTAAAACTAACTCTGACGCCGATCTAGCATTTCGTCCGAAGATTCCAACACACCAAACCGCACCCTTCTAAGTCGAGAAATAAAAAAGTTACGGGCTGTTCGCAAATGTAAAAGTCATGTGACTTAAAACGTGCCCCAACAAATCCCTTCCATATCTTATTAACCATTGAAAATATCGAAAAACTAACTCTGGTACCACTCTAGCATTTCGTCCTAAGATTCCAACAAACCAAACCGCACCCTTCTAAGTTGTGAAATAAAAACGTTACGGGCTGTTCGCAAATGTAAAAAGTCATGTGACTTAAAACGTACCCTAACAAATCCTTTCCATATCTTTTTAACCGTTGAAAATATCAAAAAACTAACTCTGGTGCCGCTCTAGCATTTAGTCCAAAGATTCCAACAAACCAAACCGCACCCTTCTAAGTCGAGAAATAAAAAAGTTACGGGCTGTTCGCATATGTAAAAAGTCATGTGACTTAAAACGTGCCCTAACAAATCCCTCCCGTATCTTGTTAACCATTGAAAATATCGAAAAACTATCTCTGGCGCCGCTCTAGCGTATAATTTTAAAATTAATATATAGATCCTTACAGAAATTGCTGCGGGAGTATTTTAAGGGATGAAGAATGTCTGCTATTAGATTTCAGATGAAAAATTTCCTAATACAATTTTTAAAAAATTAACACTTAAAAAATATCATAGCGAGCTTAGCATTTGCAGTTTTGAGAAAGTTATATTTTCCAAATATGCATACCCTTAAAGTATATTTATATTATATAAAAGAAGTTTATTTGTTTGTTACTTTTTAAGGTAAATTATCTCTATAAATCGAGACATCCTATATATCAGTCTCTTAAAATTATATGGTCATTGATGTACCTAAATTTTATCAAATTAACTGGAATTAAAATTAGTTTAATTTTTAAGAATTGCTTACCCAAGTTCTACATTCAAAACGATTCCTCTTGGTTTACGAATATCCTTGTTCAATAAAACAGTGCAATGGTCTCCCGTGCTCGTACAAACACCAATGTGTTGTTTCTCTACATCTGTGAAATATATGTTGCCAGTCAACCAATCCACTGCTAAATCTTCTGGTAAACCTAACCCCGACGTTACTAGAAGCTAACAAAAGCAAAAGATATTTGAAATTCTACAGAAATTTGTCAAAGATATTACCTCTTTGTCAGATCCGTCTTCAATCGATCTTACTATGCTTTCATGTTCAGCAAAAATATCTGTCCAATAAATATGGTGGCCATCGTAATCTACGCCGACTACTTGCTTCAATCGTTTGGCAACAGAGTAGTACAATTCAGATTGCAAAGTGTATCCTCGAATCTCGGTTTTTGAACTGAATATCATCAAGGCTTCTCCACCCTCTGCCTTGCACGTCCTTTTATCTGGTTGCAATGTGTACATTGAATCACAGTAACACTCGTACGATCCTGGCGTGTTTTTACATTTCTGATCACAAACCCCTAAAAATTACTCTCATATGTATTTATTTTTATTTTTTTATTTAGGACAGCTCCTTTTTAACTTTGGTAATATTTCAATTTATTCATATTTTAATAAAAATTTCAATTATACAGGGTGTTCTCAGTGCTACACAACATAATTTTTTACAATGGGACACTGTATATATTACTCAATTATGATTTTTTGTTAAATTTAAGACTTCTTTAATAAACAAATATTATGTTAGTCATAATGTTTCAGTATCAGACTGTTTTAAACAAATAAAAAATATTTGTTACAATGCATGCAAAATGTATTCCAAGAATTATTGTAAATTTTTAGTGTTTTTCTAATAAATTTTGTGTATTTCCTTATTAATAATAAATATGTTTCTTTATATTCTGTACCGACTTCATATATCATCATATTTTCATAATAATTGCTTTGGCAAGAAGTTTATTTGCATAAACTTATATATTTTTTTTATATTTAGGCAACATTTATATTACACAATATTCAAATATCAATTTCACATTTAATTTGACGGAAAATTTTATTATGCGGGATTTATTTTTTAAAGCGGAAATACCAACAAAAAATATGAAAACTGCACACATCTCCCAAACTGTAAGTAATTAGACCTAAATAACCATTACAAATTGAAAAAAAATAAAATTTTGATCTATATGTGTCAAATTTAACATAATGTTCTATTTATAAAGATAACCCTGATTGAAAACTTTAAACTTCATAATTATATATTTTTTATTTGAAATGTATTAATTGATACAGGGGACATATTTTTTATGCTTGAAGCAACGATAAAATCTGTATCTTGTTACCATGTACAAGATATTTGATATTTCCGATTATGCAAAAAATTATGAATACGTTCATATCCTCCTTACATAGATTTAATATTTCATCAAAGTAGGTATTAAATTCAACGAGAAATTGAAAAATGCAATAATATTCAGGATGTTCCAAGTTAAGTAGTACTCAGAAGAAATGGGACACCCTGTATAATTGAAGATAATTTAAAAAATTGAATTCATTAATATTACCAGAGCTACCGAAGAATTATCTTAAGAGTGAATAGTTCAAAAAGTTTTTGTCACAATTTCAAGCACTTACCATACCGTTCGCATTCATTGATGTCCTTACAATTTTTTTCATCGATATTATGGTAACCTGTGGGACAACGGCACGTTGGACCTGACGGAAGTTGTACACATTCATGTGAGCAGTTATGTTCTGCACAGGATGTCTTCAAAGAACACATAGGTCCTTCATCGGATTTGTCAAGACAGTCGTTATGACCGTTACAAGTCATGTGTAAATCGATGCATGTTTTATTGTCGGAGCAAAGGAATTTGTGCTCATCCATGTTACACTTTTGGATATCGAAATGGTGTTCTGTAAATAAAAATGTGTTCGTTAGGATACAGTGGAAATCCTACAAAATATTTTATGTTGTTATGAACCTTAAAGACTGGTTAACAGTAACATATAGTTTGATAAAAATTATCATAAAATGCTAGAACGGTAAACATTTTTAACGATAACTCTCGCTGACATTAACAGCGCTTGTCCCCGTAACTACGAAAATACAGTTTTCCAAAAACGGACTTATGTTTTCACCTTTACTAATGATCGTAATAAGGATTAACAAATTTTACTAGTTTATTCTCTCTCTTTTGAATGAAAAGAGCTTCACAATAATGTAAAACGTTGTACAGTACTCAACTGTTAAAGTGTTTAACATTTTCACATGAATAATTGAACCCGCTATCGATCGATTTAACTTCCCTGCTCTCATGTTAAACCCTATATGGAGGTATTATAAATGTAATATACTATATGCTATCTATATACTCTTTTTATAAAAATTGCTATTTCATTTATTAATATGGCTATTATCAATTATTATTAAATAATATTCCACCACTGAAAGGGTCCCAGGTACTTTTATAAAAAAAAAATTATAGACTTCTGACAAAATATAACAATAATTTTTTCAAAATTTATATTCAGGTTACAACAAAATAGAATTTTTTTTTCATATGTATGCCCATTCCTAAGAAAACTATATTTATTAAGAATGTTTCATAATTAATAACTGAATTAAAAAATACATTCAGGATGACCAATTTTAATTTTTTAATTTAAAAAAATATGTTTTAAAGAAAATCTAGTCCAAATCGATTAATAAATACCTACAACTTTTATTAGGCTGTTCAGATTTGAAAGGGGATACAGGTGTCCTGCTAAAAAAATAAATGTCTTACCACAATCCTGCTCATCGCTTTTATCATTGCAATCATTGTGCCCATCACATATCCACTCCTTCGGTATACAATGACCATTATTGCACTTGAAACCATCACAAACAATTTTAGAAGTACATCCTATTCCTTCATCGGAATGATCTGCACAATCTACTTCTCCATTGCAGACAAAATCCTTTGGTATGCATAACTTTTTATCCGTGCACTGCCACTGACTTTTTTCACACGTCACCGGTTTGGAAATCTAAAAAAATTGATCATGAATAATTAACCGAAGGAAGGGAATAAGGGCTTATACCTGGCCGGAACATTTTAATTCATCAGAAAAATCGCCACAATCGTCTTCTCCATCACAGACAAAAGATTTGCTAATACATCGTTTATTCTTACAACGGAAGAAGACCGGTTCTTTACAAAGTATCAGATCTGCAAAAAAAATGCCAATGATTTATTTCAGACTAAAGATTTATATACGACAATGGTGAAAAATATGGATCTATTTAAAAAATACTAAATAAAAGATAGATAAAACTATGTTTGAAAATTAACAGGGTGTCATATATATGTAAAGGAATTTTGAAGAATCTATTCCTCAATCGATATTTACATTAATACAGTCACAGAAGCTAAAAAATGTTGCAAAACGCTAAATTAAAAATAAAGGTATCTGTTTAAATAATTTAAACTTTTAGGGAATTTTAGATTTACATTTTTGATTAAAGGCGTATGTCCCGATTTTTTCTGTTTACTGGATCCACTTCACTATCCACTATGTCATATTTTTCTTATTTTTAAAAATATTCGGAACATACCCATAAGTGACACATTTATTTTATTCATCTTCGCTAACATGCACAACAAATCCATAGTCGATTTTAAGAACTCCTAAAATATCTGCCCCCTCCTTCAGACCTTTCAGATAAAGAATTAGCCAATTAACCGAAATGCGAATCCCCTGAGACGTAATATTTGGCAAATATTATCTATTCGATGTTAACGTATATGGAGACCTAAATATCTGTACCCTGACAGACCAAATCAGCGGGTCTTTTCTGACAGATCTGGATGGTGGAATAAATATCTTAAAAATCCTCTTCATCTGTGGGCTCATAATTGTTTCTGAACAATAAAGCATTCGTGTATGTTATATTTTTATAAAACATATTCCACTTTTAAATTATACAATATACATATAATATGCTCTTTGACACAAAGCTCCGTGTAACATTGAATTACACTCACAATATCTAGCAACATCCGCAGTAAATTATAATTATATAGAAAAATAAAAATTATCCATCGAAATACATATTATAATTGAAATTAAAAATAAAACATACCTGTGGTATTGAATTAATTGAAATGTACAGGGTGATTCGCTATATTTTGACCTCTATTTAACTTTTTTGTTTGAAGAGTTATAAAAAAATGTAAAATACAAAAGTTGCACGATTTTTTATGAATTTTTCGAAAATCACATTTGAAAAACAAATAAAGTCCAAACAAAATTTCCGCAGATGTTAACTTTGTAATTTAAATGGAACATCCTGTAAATTTTTACATATTTGGATAGAACGTTCCCTGTCGAGCATAGTCATATAGAGTTTTTTGGGTCCATCTCTAACAATAAGCGAGATACTATTAAAAAAAGGAAATAATGTTTTTTATTAAAAAAATAAACACTTCTGCATAACATTGTCCATGAGTAATTAGGCCTCTCACGGCCTAATTAGTGAGATTTAGTTAAAATACCTGTACACATTTAGGACTATATCAATGTGCAATATGTTAAAATATATTACAAAAATCTGTAAATCCTTACGTAATTGGAAAAAAGACATTAATGCCTGAAAGAGGTCTAACAATTACAAGATATCTTATTTTCTTAATAAAAAAACCTTCTTTCCTTTTTTAATAGTATCTCGCTTATTGTTAGAGATAGACCCAACAAACCCTATATGACTATGCTCGACAGAGAACGTTCTATCAAAATATGTAAAAATATACAGGGTGTTCCATTTAAATTAACAAAGTTAACATCCGCGGCCATTTTGTTTGGACTTCATTTGTTTTTCAAATGTCATTTTCAAAAATTCATAAAAAATCGTGCAACTTTCGTATTTTACATTTTTTTATACCTCTTAAAACAAAAAAGTTAATGGGGGGGTCAAAAAATAGTGAATCACCCTGTACAATTTCAAAGAAATCTTCTCTTTTTTAGTTTCTAAAATCATCTTTGACAAAAATAAACTAGTGTAATGAACCACAATAGATAAGTTGACCTATTTCGGCATTTCAAGGACTGCTTTTTCAAATGACTTCCTTTTTAAAATGGGAATTGATATCTGAATATTTATGATATTAAATTACATTTAAAATTCAAGACTTACAAAACGAAAAGTCAAATTTTTTAACGGTAATGCCAAAAATGTGACAGCCTGTTGAGATTGATATAAATTATTGCTGTTATTGCAGCCTATTCAATTCTAAAGTACTGATTTACCCTTTTAAATAATTTACTTTTTAAATATAAATTATTTGTATTAGCTTTTGTAATTATACTTTATTTTAAAAGGTTATAATTTTTTAAATAATTATTAATTAATATGGGTAAGATAACATGTTTGCTAGATATCATAGGTATAATTCATTGCTGGACAGGACTTTAGTCCGTAGAGTAGTAGTACAATATCTTTAATTTTTTATGAAAAGCTTGACATCAGTAACTTTATAGCTTACCAATTTGTGAAATTAGAATTGTTGGAAAATTTTTAGACTTTATTTGGATTTAGTGAATATCATTTGAAGTAAAAGTATACAATTTTGAAAAAAAAATAAATGGGAATTATAAAGAAATTTTGAGAATAGAACAGAATAGCATAATAAATTTTCACTAGTAAAGGACAAAGTATAGTGAAAATTAAGTAAATCTGAAAATTAATTACAACTTAAAAAATTAATTACAGAATTTTCAGTAAAATATTTTCAATACTTTTTTATTTGTTTATAAAGAAATTTGTTGTTATACGTTCTAACATTAATGCAAAGTTAAAGTGATTTCCTGTATCGAAACGTGGTTTTGGTATTTGCAAATACAGACACGTACGATTCAAATAAGCTGTCTGTGATATAACTAATTTTTGGGAAAATTTTTTGGATAGAGTAAGTAGACCAAATTCCAACAAAAAATATACTTAGTAATGTAGATCTCATTGAGTACTGCATGGAAAAAAAAATTAATTAACCCATAGGTACTATCTAAAATATAAGAATGGCGCTGTTAAAAATGTAACACTCCATAGAGGCAAAAAGAAAAAAATGTCGCAAGAATTATCAATAAAAAAATGTTGTACTTACATACATACTTATTTTAAAATTTCATTTCATTTAATATTTTCATTCTAAACGATCTCATATACGGTATCAAAGGTTTAATGTTGGTTACAACTGAATGAAGATAACTTATATTAAGAAAAAAAATTAAATAAAAGTAAAAAAAGCTTAAAATGCTTACCACATGAGTCCTCATCGGATCCATCCCCACAATCATTATTTTCATTGCACCTTAAAGAAGTGGGAACACAATTACCATTTCTACAAGCAAACTGATTTGCCGTGCAGTTATTTTTTGAAAATTCCCAAAGGGAATCCAAAAATGCAGAGGTAGTTGCAACTACCACAAGCAGGAGTATAACTGTTACCATTCTACAATAATAATTTCTGTAAGTTTTATTCTTGCATTTATAAAATACTTTGCATGTAAAAAACTTACCTTTTGTACATTTAAAACTATGAAAAATTGAGAGTGTAGTGAACACTATAAGGTTTAAGGTGGAAAAGAATCAAAGTATCTTTCAACTTGGAATTTGGTTTTTCAGTAACCATTTATCAGACACTTTTTGTGGTGGACATATTTTTTGTTGGACTTGAAAACAAAGCAGATACTGGTTGACCCAAATTGAAACCATCAGAATATTTATTTATACATATATGTATTTAATTTTAACATCAATTTTTATGTTGTTTTCAGTTATGCAATTTTTTTATAAAATTAAATTACTTAAACACAAATATTGTCGAAAAAATATATACTTTTTGGGGGAGCCTCAACAAATTGCCAGGAGAAATTATAAATGCTAGGGGGAGTTTTTAGAGGTATTAGTCAAAGAGCTGACGACGAATTTAGGGAATGTATTTTAGGCAAGTTGAAATAGTAAAAAAATAGTATTTCATCAATGGGTGAATCTGGAATCGTGAGTCAGGCAGAGCGTTTGTGGTTATTTTGCTACTGCGCAACATGTGACATTTGCAAAAAAATATCTGTTAGGCAATTTTTTTAATCTTTCATTTTATATAACCCAGAAACAAAAATCCCAGACTATTTTGTCCGTTTGAAAGTACGACCTGACCCCCCAAATATGTTTAATTAATATACGCAAAAAATATACTTTAGGCATTCTAAAATTTTTATAGCATGTTTATTAACTAATATTGAAAATACGTGTAAATTGCCAGACAAATTGAATGGTTTTTAATAACACCCTGATGCAAATAAAGATTTTAAATGAATGCGACAAAAAGTGTTGTGCGTAGCCACAGGTACGAGAGATTTGTTTATCGAGACATGCCGGCAGCTGACGGGGCCCTGGCTACTCGGGCTGTGATTGGTTGTTGAAAGACCACGTGATTCGAGTTTACCACATGGCTCGGGCTCTATATACACAACAGAATATTTTGGAGTAGTTTATTTTTTTGATAAATTAACAGATAAATAATAAATTAGTAAATAATAATGTTTGCAACAACTCTAATGAAATAGTAAAATTCAATAAATTAATAAATTTTATTATTTTAAAAAAAAATTAAAATGTGATGAAAATCCATTGAAAAATTAGATATTCTAAACAAAGCATTTTGTAATTATTCAATAATTTTTTTTATATCCAACTTTTATTAAAATATTATTAATTTCTACAATTGAAGTAAATTTTTAACGTCAATTGACGTCAGGTTAATAGAAAATATCGATACAAATATATTAGTTTCATAATAAGGATATTGTCGATAAAATTGTTTTAGCAAATAATTATAAAAATACTCACTAATTGATTAATTTAACTCTTAACGGTGATGAATTTATAATTTTGTTTCATTCTTCCTCTTCATTGCTCTCCGATGATTCGCTGCCTGGCAGATCGTCTTCAACGTCTGACAGACTGTCTTCACTGTCTAACAGACTGTCTTCACTCTTTCTTTTTTGTAGCGTTCATTTAAAATCTTTATATGCATTATTAAAATTTTTTTTATATTTTCAATATTAATTAATAAATATAGTACAAAAATTTTAGAATGGCTAAAGTATATTTTTTTGCATATATTAATTAAATATATTCGGGAGGTCGGGTCATACTTTCAAACGAACAAAATAGTCTGGGATTTTTATTTCTGGGTTATATGAATGCTAAAATAAAAGATTAAAAAAAATCCAAGTCATTGGATATTTTTTTTGGTTTATTTTTTTGCAAATGTCACATACTGCATAGTAGCGAAATAACCGCAAACGCTCTGCCTGACATGATTCACCCCTTGATAAAATACTGTTTTTTATTATTTCAACAAACCTAAAATACATTCCCTAAATTCGTCGTCAGCTTTCTCCGACTGTATGAAAGACTAGAACTAGACTAGACCAGGAGACTAGATGGGAGACTAGAATGAAATAAAGGCAAAGTTAGTTGTCTAAATCTATTTTTAATAACTAAAGAGGATATTTACATATATCTACTAAAGATCATTATCTTAAATAAAAACTCATTCCAGCATAACTTTTCTCAAACCACTTTATTTATAATAGAATTTAAAAATTAATAACCATCTCGTGATAGAAATAATGGATTTTCAAAAAATAAGTTCTAATTTTTTTTCTACATTAAAATTAAAAATATTGAATGTTTTTATTAATTTTCTAGGTTCAAGAAAATTGCTCTAGGAATTAATAGTACGTTTATACATTTGGCATAGTTACATTTAATTTCTAAAAAAATATTAAGTAAATTTTACTTACACATCATAATCCAAAATTGTGAATGAATACTATACAGGGTGTCTCATAATTAGCTGCCAACCCTGAACAGGCCGATTCTATGATCAAAACTAAGTAAAAAAGTTCATATGAACATGGGTCCTGAAATGTTTCCTAAAGGCACAGGGACCCATTGAAGAGGGAGGAATGGAAATCATTTTTTTGCAATATCTCTCAATCGCGTTGTGATAAATGAATGAAATTTGGTATACACAGCTAAATTTTGATGAGCAATTTGATGGACTAATCCATTTATTTCCACAAGGTCCATTGGGGTGGGTACGGGGGGGCCCTTGGTACTTTGCGTGTGTAACTTTTTCATCTTTGACTTTTTAACAAATTGGACAGCAAATTCCGTTTTCCCGAACTGTTTTACGTTAAAAAGGTACTCTTGTTTCAAATCGTTATCTTTAACGGTTTCTGAGAAAATCGCTCTTGAATTAATCCCACTTTGGTCAATTTCATAGTAATTTAAACAAAAAAAAATATTTTGTTTCAATTTAATCTAGTTTTAATAAAAAAATAATAATAAAAAATTAAATTAAATAAAAATTAATCCTTTAAATGGAAAAGAGAGGAAAGGAAAATTATTATTATTATTTTTTGTTTAAATTACTATGAAATTGACCAAAGTGGGATTAATTCAAGAGCGATTTTCTCAGAAACCGTTAAAGATAACGATTTGAAACAAGAGTACCTTTTTAACGTAAAACAGTTCGGGAAAACGGAATTTGCTGTCCAATTTGTTAAAAAGTCAAAGATGAAAAAGTTACACACGCAAAGTACCAAGGGCCCCCCCGTACCCACCCCAATGGACCTTGTGGAAATAAATGGATTAGTTCATCAAATTGCTCATCAAAATTTAGCTGTGTATACCAAATTTCATTCATTTATCACAACGCGATTGAGAGATATTGCAAAAAAATTGATTTCCATTCCTCCCTCTTCAATGGGTCCCTGTGCCCTTAGGAAGCATTTCTGGACCCATGTTCATATGAACTTTTTTACTTAGTTTTGATCATAGAATCGGCCTGTTCAGGGTTGGCAGCTAATTATGAGACACCCTGTATATTGTATGTGCTTTTACACGAATTCTAGTCTATTTGCCACTATAGTATATCCCAGATCTATGTTTTCATCATAATTCATTTTTGAAAATGTAATAATCCCTAAATGAATATACTCGTCTTTGGCCGTTTCTTTTTTTATTTAATTCAGATGATTATATTTCTTACTTCGAATTTTGTTTTTAACAATTTATGAACAAACATTGCAATTAACATTTTCAATAAAGTATTATGAAAAGTAAGTGAGTTAGCGTTTAACATATGTTGTAATGTAGACATAAAAATGTGCATGTTTTTATGAGTGGTGCTTTAAAAAAACAAACCATTCCTTCATTATTTTTATACAGGTCCGCATTACTCCGATTATGTTCATAATAAACAAAATTAACAAAGCAAACCTTAAAAATACAAGGTGCTGTGCTGTCCACAGACAAAATAGTAGAATTTTCAGACATTCTAACATTCACCGACCAAAAATAAGATAAAAAAGTTCATATGAAGGTAGGAAGTCTGTAATTGCTCCCTTTTCAATATATACGATGTAATAATTTTTACAATTTTTTAGTTTTCGCTATTTGCCGACTGGTTAAACTACGAGTCTCGCAACAGTACTACTACGGTTTGACCAAAAGCTATTCAACATATCACATAAAAAAGTGATCACGCTTTGACGTCACATTTTGGTTAATACCATCCAAACAGTTAAGGCAAAAAAAATCACGAGATCAAAATGTTAACACATAAAACAAAGGAGTGTCTTTCCTTGAGAGTTGAAAAAATAAACGAACATCGCCCTGTATGCCGAAAACGAACATTCACAATTTTCTCGGTGAAGCACCTTGTATCGTATCATATATTTATAGATATCACCAAATAACGTAATCTAATTTTAACTATTTTGAAAATACCTTACCTGTCCTTCCTAAATATATCTATCATTATATACATCATTTTTAACAACTAAGAATAATCGAACAAATATCAACATGCCATATCACACAGATAAAATAAATGACTGAGAACTAAACAGGGAAAAATTCAATTGCACTTTCTGCCATTTCTTTACTGCCACATTTATCATAGACACTTTTAATGTCTTATTTATTAGTACATGGAATAAAGACGAGTCAGAGGAGATTGAGAAGTGCTAGAACCGAACTGTTTTAATTTTTCTACTTGCAGGAAACGTACGTTTTCGATAAGCATTAAATTTTTGTCACTTCCCTACATCTATTACATTCAGTAATGCTCTAGAGCCTAGATATATACCTTAAAGGAATTAGTTACATTAATACATGAATTATCACATTATTTTAGGTAAATTCTATTCTTAATCGCGACTCTTCTAATTTTTATAGTGCGGTTTGAGTGGGCTGAGCGTCACTAGTTGAGGGAGAGTTAACGTTTCCGCTGATCGTGGTCACATGGCTGCCAATACTCAATGCGGCCACCTTGGCACGTTGATAGGCACTGAGAGTGTTTTGCCCCAGACACCTTAAAAAAACGTCAAGAGGTAACAAAACCCAATGTGATGACAAAATAAAACGCAAAATATGGTTAAAGAAATACTCGACAACAAAATTAATTAGGAAGAAAACTTTTTTTAATATAATTAAGAGAAATTTGTATATAGTAGATCTTAGTTTCGATATACAGCCTGTTACAAATTCACTTCTCACTACAGGGATCTCGAAAACGGTAAGAGATACAAACTAGCTTAAATAGTGGCAAAGTTGCGTAATCAGGCGACCAACATTATGTCTCTAAAAAATCAAGGCTAACATGATTAATTTTTTCGAAATATTTGAAAAAAACCAAAATTTTGTTTTGTTTCATTTCAGCCTTGTTTAAGCTGATATTGAAAAAAGAAGAACACTTTCTCATGGCCACTTTTTGCCTTCTATCAAATGGAATAATGAATTTTTATATGTAACGTTTCGTCTCTCCTGGAACATCATCAACTCTATTTTTTTAAATACGACCCTAGAAATTTTATTACAATTTTTGCAAGTCTTCATGGCTCCCAATACTGTACTGCCTCAGCCCGAACCAGATTGAGACATTTCGTCTCGAAAAATTCATCTTCAGTGTATTCATTTCAAATTTATCTTAATTTTTTATTTAGATTTCTTTGTTTATTGAATTATGGTACACTGTAAGTATCGTTAGACCTTGTGAAATCGATCTAGTTATTTAAACTATTACCACCACGCATTAAAATAAAAAATTATTAGGGTTTTATTCCCGTGTCCATAGTTATTTGTAGGCTTCTCGAGTGCTCAAAATTCAAACAAATTCCGATCTATTTTTTTCAGGATATTCATACAAATACATCTGACATGTTCTTTTACAGTTGCGGTTACAGATATAATAAATTTTGGTAATATTACGCTGATCTTCATTTTCAACCTTTGCCAAAACGAAAATGTTTTTGAACATTTACTGAAATTTTTTAAAGAATAATATTCAGTTGGCATTTTGGTTGTTTATATGCATTTTTAAGAATTAATTTGTCATAATAAAATTAAAATTATAATGTTTTAATTTTGACGCAACAACTTATCGAGTTATGTAAGACTAAGTGATCGTAATAGTTAACAATAATAAATGTTTTATTGTAACGTGTGGTGGTAATAATTTAAATAACTAGATGGATTTCACAAGGTCTAACGACACTTACAGTGTATGATAATTCAATAAATAAAGAAATCGAAATAAAAAATTTAGATAAATTTGGAACGAATACACTGAAGATGAATTTTTCGAGACGAAACGTCTGAATCTGATTCGGGCAGTACAGTATTGGGGATCATGAAGGCTTGCAAAAAATGTAATAAAATTTCTAGGGTCGTATTTAAAAAATTGAAGTTGATGATGGTCCTGGTGAGACGAAACGTTACATATAAAAATTGATTATGCCATTCGATAGAGGGCAAAAAGTGGCCATGAGAAAGTGTTCTTCTTTTTTCAATATCACCTCAAACAAGGCTGAAACGAAACAAAAAGGGATTTCTAAAATTTCGTTTTTTTCCAATATTTCGAAAACTAATCATGTTAGCCTCGATTTTTTAGAGGCATAATGTTGGTCCCCTGATTACTCAACTTTGCCCCCATTTAAGCTACTTCGTACCGCTTAGTTTCCAAGATCCCTGTAGTGAGAAATGAATTTGTAACAGCCTGTATATAGGGCCGAATTTAAAAATTTGTTTTTGATTATATTTTTACAGCAAAATTCCAACACAAACATTCTTCAAATGGAACTCAATAAATCTATTGTGAGGAAATAGCTCTATCATACAGGGTGTTGCTAAAATAGCATCAACTTCAGTCGCAATTTTTTAATAGTACACCCCGTATATTGCACAACTATAAAGATACAAAATCTTTCAATTTATGTGTCATAGTGTATGAATATTTTTATAAAAAATTTAAATAATATACTATACTCAAGTCGTCATATTTTTTTTATGTCAATACAGATAAAGTGCCGAACATACACAAAATTTCAGTGTTAAAAAATTTATAGTTTTTGCATGATTTATTAATATTAACTAATATTGTAGTAGGTACTACTATTTGTAAGTAAAACTAATTATTTTCAATGTTTTATTAAATGTGCATAATAAAAAATAAATAAATATACTTATATCAACTGACAGATTTGAAATATTTCTTAAAATCATTTCAAGGTTTTAATAAAAAGCACTATGTTTTTAAAGCACTGTGTTTAGTTTGTATAAATTTTAATAGATTACACAAAAATATACAGTGGGCCATTTAAAAACATATTTTTGGCCAGCATTTTGATATAAAACTTTTAAATTAAATTAAATTTTTAAATATCACTAACAAAATCTTCAACTTACCTAATACATATGTAGACCACAAGAAGAGCAACGCTGGCACTGAGCATACGGATGTAAGAATTGTTGAACAGCTGGATCACGATCCATGCCCCAGCCACTGTTACACACATACACGTTACTATAACCGCCGTACTTCCCCAGTGATGAGCCGTGAATCCCCTGTCCCATTTCACTTCGCTACTCCTGCAGATGTCGTACTCGTATTTGCAAACCTTGCATCTCAAGGGTTCGCTGCTTGCCGACGAGCTTTCAATTAGCCACCTGCGAGAACAGATAAATCCAATTAATTATAAAATACTTATGGGTAAAAGCTGAATTGATTTGTTGTTTACTTGTGTTTAAGTTATTCTGTAGCAAATAAATACAAATAGTTGTAAACAGCTAAAATCAATTTGCAAAAAATAAAAATACATAAAATTTATAACATTGGAAAATTAATCAAATGATAAATAGTAATTAGTTAGTAAAAATACATATATAATAATTTTAAATGAAATATAAAAATGGAAGAATACAAAATTATGTACAGGGTAGGAAAGTACCGATGGTCTATCTGAAGTTACGTGAGAGCGATAAAGTAAGACATAGAAATCCATGCGATAGAGAAGGATGGCTATAATGAAGGCCTCTCATAGTCATCGCCCGTTTCGCCCTTCCACAAATAAGATCCACTTCTTATTTGTGGAAGGGCGAAATGGGCGTTGACTATTAAACGCCTTCATTATAGCCATCCTTGTTTATCACATGGATTTCTATGGCTTACTTTATCGCTCTCACGTAACTTCTGATAGACCATCGGTACTTTCCTACACTGTATGCTTTCTAATGAGTATTGGCATATTTTACAAATCCAAAGAGAAATGAAAAATCATAAAATATCAATATATTCAGCAGGATTAAAAATAAAAATAGTGAAAAAGACACCCGTACTCCACAATTATTAATTAACATCTAAATCTAGGGCGGATCTCCAGATCCGGACAGCGGAAGGTAAAATACTGGACCACCAAAAATTTTTTGAAAGTATAAATTACTCATATAAATTATTTAAAAAATATTTTTTTACGTTTGAGTGCCACACTTATCATTTTTTCTAGTATTTTACAATTGTGCGACTGATTTGAATTCTTAATGGTTAGTAAGCAGATTAAATTTGAGTGCAAATTAAAATAAAAACTTTGTAAGAAATATGATTTTCTTTTCTGGACCTCATGAAAAACTTTCAAAAGTATCTGGACCCCACCTAATATTACTTGCCAACCCCTGATCTACGGACCCTAAAATCTAAGTACACAAGGTTAAAAAATTTATAACACAGTAAATTCAGGGTTGGGGGCTTTTCATTACTGCTTTTTATAACTACATGAAGACCAAAATCTGTTAAATCTGAATACTTTGATCATGAAAACCTAGCACCTAGGTACAGTGCATGTTAAATAAATTGGGGACTTTCTGTGACAGATCTTGATGACATCAGGAGGACCATGCATTGAAATCTTCTCTATGTCTTACTCGTGTCAGCACATTTTTTGTCGTACTGTGAGACTAGGTTGTAGGCTCATTGGTTAAAATTTTCTAAGTTCAATATTATTCGATAATTCTGAACTACTAGAATAACATTAACCACTTTGAATCAAAACAAACCTAAGATTGTTTTGTAGTGCCATATACACCAGATTTTTAAAAACTTGCAGTTTAGGTTTCAGGTTCTTGTGATCAAGGTATTCAGGTTTCATGGTTTACTGTTTCCCAATGGTCGCCAAAAATTAATTAATAATTGTGGAATACCAGTGCATTTTTGACTATTTTTGGGTCTTATCTTCATGAATACATTGATATTTCGAAAATTCAAAAAGATTTTTCACTCCTCTTCTGCCAATATGGTACCATACATGGCCGCCGTATTGGATTTCAAAAATATGCCGCTGCGCATTAGAAAGTGTATGAAATAAGGAAGATTAAGATCAAACATCTTTGTATGTTGCTTCAACTTTTTGACAGGGAGGGGTAAATATGACGTGGAACTTCTCATACACATCACTTTCGACAGTCACTTAGAATTTATTACTTGAGACGAGATATATTTTGTATAATTAAATTAAATTCGTTGCTGTTTCTCTATAAAGCTATGAGAATAGGGTGACATATAGTGATATTATCGTACAAAGCGATTCTATACACAATACATTTGTGATGATTCGATAACCACTTACCTTCTAAGACATTCATGATGTACGCTAGACACATCTCCGGTGCAGTCACATGGCTGAATAAGAGGCTCCGTTTTGTCTCCATCGTAGCAAATCCAGCATTCCCTCTTGTCCAAGAACGCCTCATTGTCACCGCAGACAGGAATTTGCTGTTCCCCGGGAGAACTATCCACGCTCTTGGACTGATCTAATTTGGCCAACAGTTTCCGGGGGTTCAAAATCCACAATTCAGAAGGCTGCATGCAGTTCCAGAGAACGGCAGGGAACCATATGGCGACACCGATCTCGACCACGCGGAATATTATATCGTGAAGATTGCGCGAATTAATTGGCACTTTAGCCTTCCAGAATTCGGAAAGGGTTTCGGAGAAAAGAAAGCCGGCGATGATGATCAACATCAACGCCTGGCTCAACAGGCCGATGCGAGACTGGTGCAACTGGGATATGTTTATTTGAGGTCTTAAGTCTGCTTCATTTTGCAGTGGTTCTGTTTCGTAAGTATTACTCGCAAGCTGGAAAGGTTTGGCTACAAAGCCTCCACGAACCTAAAATTATTTTTGGAGATGCTTTAAAAACTATCAAAACTCTGTACAAATATCTCGTTTAGTAATAATGACAAAATATTTTAATAGTAATGACGTATATAGAAACGAAACTGTGCTACTTCAAACGGGTATAACTTTAAAACCACATCCACATTTTTTAGTAGGACTGGAATCGATAAAGTAGTCGCCTCAAAAATTTCATAAATTAACATTAATAAACGGTCACATTCATTTGTCAGCCCATACGGGGGGATGAAATGAGGTGAACTTCGTCAAAACTTACTTAATTATAAAGTGCCTTTGAGTTTTTATTTTACCATTAACAGGAAATAGGTAATTACATTAAAAAACAGTCACACATTTATTCGTCAACTTGTATGAGGGATGAAATGTGAAATTCATAAAAAAATTCGTTGAATAGTTTTAATGAGTTTTTATTTTGCCCCAATTGACAGCAAATAAGTAATTATCACGCATTAATTTGTCAGCCCATATAGTCGCGTCAATGAAGTCTTTTCCCCAGAAGACCTCAAGAACAGCTCCAATTTTAATGATTTTTTTTAAATTTTTGTTTTTTAATATTATTTAAGATCATAAGTTAATATTTACATAATAAAAATTGTTTTTTATGGATATGATAATGATGGAACTAAAGTGTCTGAGAGAAATCGTAGATATATAAGTAACACTTCAATTAATTATTTATTTGAAGAAGGCATGCCTCTAAATACAACTAAAGAGAAATTCTTGGGAAACGGCAAAAATAAAAATAGGTTTATTAATCTTCTCTGCAAAAAAAATGGCCTAAAATAATATTCAGTGGAGTCGAGCAGAAAGTGATGCGGATCGTTTAATTGTACAATCAGCTTTAAATTGTTCCTTTTATGATGTAGTTGTTGAAGCACAGGACATTAATGTGTAAGTGTTATTGATGGCTTTAGCACCTGATGATAAAGAAATGTTTTTCTAAAACCACTCAAAAATAATGTCTTGCAACAAGTATATTAGACAAAAACTATATTAATGAAATATTCAAATATTACAAAAAATCATTTCTTCTTCATTCATGCATTCACTGGACGTTATACTACATCCGCTTTTCACAATAAAGGGAAAAATAGTTTTATTAAAATTATTAATAATGATCAGCAGCTGAAACTTTCCTGCTTGAAGAACAAAGTGAAGAATACTTTTTAATGAAGGTATTAATTGTATTCTCAAAATGTATGGTGCCAAAGCTGCCAAAAGCTTGAATTAACTTCGGTACAAACATTTCATAGCATTAGCTTCAAAGGACAAAAGCATACAACTCAGTTTGTTACCTCCGACAGTGGATGAAACAAAACAACATATTAAAAGAGTTTACTTCCAAGTTCAACAATGGAAAAATAATGCTCTAATACCTCCTGAAGAATAAGGTTGGAAAATAGAAAACTACTTAAAACCAATAAAAATGACACAACCAGCAGCACCTATTAACGTTTTGAAAATCATATTTTGTTCTTGCAAAACAGGATGCGGGTCAGCGTGTGGCTGCAGAAAAAGTGGCCTTCATTGCTCACCTGCCTGTGTGATTTGCAGTGAAAGTGACTGCGACAATCACCCACCACTTGAAGAAGATGAAGCCTTCAATATGCAAAATAAAGATATATTAGATATAAATAAACCAGAAAATTTACATATTTAACGTATTATTTGTCATTTTGATGTACATAATAATTGTTTTCATCTGTTATTCCCTACAAGCATTTATAAAAAGTTTTTAATTTTATTAAGTTTTTTTAAGTTTATTTTTTTTATATAATAAAAATTTTCTAATTTACTTTCATATATTAATTATAGAATAAATATGTATGAAACTAGTATATTACACCACAAGGGCCGAAATTTGAATTTTCGGCCCTGCGCATCATGACGAGCAGGACCGAGATTTCAACTTTTGGCCAGTGTAGTGTATACGATTTTTCTTCATACCTCGGTCGAAAGTACATACTTTCGTCCCTAATAGCAGGGAGTATATGTTAAACTTTCGTCCCTGCTATTAGGGACGAAAGTACGTACTTTCGACCGAGGTATGAAGAAAACTGTTTTTTTTTATTTAAATATCTTACATGTTGTTTAAACAATATAAATAATTATGTCCCCACTTCAAAAGGTTTCTGATTTTAAATAATATAAAAAAAAACAAAAATTTAAAAAGAAAATCATCAAAATCGAAGCTGTTCTTGAGGACTTCCAAAGATTGCCTGTTTTAGGTATTCATTGAAGCGACTAATATGGGGGTATGGAATGATGTGAAATCTACAGGAAAGTAAATTTATAAAAAAACTCGTTACTGCATTATTTTGAGCCTTGAAACTATAATTTTGTGATGTGCAGATTTTGTAATATGTAGAAATTTATTAGTTACATTTAAGACTAATGACACTTTCATTATATATTTTTGTTAGTGGTTTGCCTTTTTTATATAACTTTGATTTAAACTGTATGGTAAATTTAATGAAAAAAAAAAAATGGTAGGAGAACGTGAAACGAAATGAAATAATCTTCTACATATTGAGCAAGCTTTGGAGAAACTGTCTCCGGTATTGATGGGTACATAATAGGCATATTGATTCTATCAGCAAAGATTTAATTTCTTTCCTATATACCAAAATATCTATTCTAGCAGTGAGTGGTTTTTGGTCAATTAATTGGGAAATAAAACAGATTACGTACACCCCACAGTTATATGTATCTGTTTGATTTATATGTACATAGTAGGTACATATGATTTAAATTTGGCATAACCAAAATGAAAAAAATTTCTTTTAAGGCTCAACTATTTAAGAAGGGAAAATAATTATTGTACTAATATAATTAAATAAATTATAGTACATACTTATCTTCATATGGTTCAAATTAATTTTAAAATTCAAATTTAAGTTTAAAATTAAAGGTAAAAAAACTGTATACCTAGTACTTCAAAATATTCGTGGATCTAAAATTGATAAAGAACACCTTTAACAGTATTGACATATCACCTTAATAGAAATCAAATTTTCAGTTAAAATGCTAGCAACACTGCTTAAGCATACTGATAAAAAATTTGCACATACCTTGAAGTACACTTCAACTCCATAGATAAGGAAAAAAACAACGATGATAAACATCAGAACAGCATAGCATCCGTTAAATAAGTGATGGTAAAAGCTAGGATCGTCTGGTGGGGGTTCTGCCAGTTGTGTAGTTATGAATTCCGCAAATAGTAAACTGTAACTTATTATGTTGAAAGTTATGAAGCCAAGGAACGATTTTGAGAGAAACTGTGGTTTTTCCCAACGAATCCCTTGTAAATGAAAAACCTAGCAAAAAAATAATATTAATAAATTAAATAGTTTCAATATATATTCAGTATATACTTCTGCCCAAAAACAAACAATAAGTGAGGCACTGGACATCAATAGTGGATAATAGGAGGATAACAAGCTCCGTGACCAGCCATATTCAAATGACTCCTGAAACAAACAATTCTTATTTCAACATAAGTGGAGACACTAAATGAGATGAAATTAAACAATAATTCTGAAATAGTGAGATATTTATTGTGTTATTACAATCGTTATATGAAAAATTGAAAAACAGTTCATAGTTCTTTGTTGAATTTCCCTCCTTATATCAGGTTTCCTATAAATTTTATAAGCAACATGCAGCAGTTATTCCAGGGTAACTAGAACATTGCATTTTATCACCTTTCTTGAAAAGTGGTACGAGAATAACTTAATTCCAATTCTTTGTCATTTTGTCCTCTGTATCCAAATTTATTGCAATTTATAAATCCATTCAATCCATTCATAATCCATTCATAAATTCAATTGGGTCAACTCTTCTCCACCATTTTTAAACTATTTTATCTTTTAGCTTTTTTGGCTGAATTATACCTATATTTTTCCATGTCAATACGATATTGTTTTTCCTTTTTTCTCTTTCTGTCTGCTCCAATTTGTATTCAATTTCTGATCATTCCCCACCAAATTTCCTCATTTTCCTTCTTCAGCTCGTTCAATATATCCTTTTTGATCTTCTTTAATTAGTTCTATTTCCACCTTTAGATCCTGTTTCATGACCTGAATTATATTTAATATTCTGTTTAGTTTATCTTCATTTCTTTTCTTTGTAGGCGTTCTTTGTATTCTTTTGCTTTTCCCAAACACCTCTGTTTCATCCTTACTGTCCAATCTTCTCCTTTTCATTTATCCATCCGTATAATACTCTTCGCTATCTGTTTGACTAGTTTCCATTTTCCGTGTGATATTTTTCTCTAAACCGGCCCTGTCTTTTCAGTCACAAACCAAACCTTATCTCTGTTGATAACGACGGATACCACGTAAAAAGCCAGAATCCGATAAACCCGTCGAAAATTTTACCCTTAACGATGTCCCGCTATTATCGACTATTTTACAATTATAATTTACCTTAATTTACATATCATTACCACTCTCTTATCTTAGATATATGCCTCGCTCACTTTTCTACACCAGTTCGGATTTTCCCAAATATTTCAATTTAATTAAGGAATTCTAAAATGCAAATCTATACTCCGAAGCAATATTTGTATGTAATGTATATTTATTGTAATTAGATGCAAATAGAAAATCAAAATATGTATGGATTCCTTAAAATAATATCTTTTAATAATCATAATACATAAGATGACATCCCGATCTTTAATAGTCATTCCAAACACATCAATAACGTTCAAGGTCATTACAGATTTATACGTTTCTGAATATTTATTTATCATTACTTTTTGAAAATATTTATTTAATATCTTCTCTTCATTAGTTATCAACTTTTGAAGAATTTTTTAATCAACCGAACAGAGATGCATTTCTAATAAAATTCCCATGACATCTAGAGAATTCCATGAACACAAAGCAATTTTTGTATATCATGCATACAGCGTTTTTGTTTAGAAATAAATGACAGAAGTATATGTTAGAAGATCTAATGTCAGATATATTTAAAAAAAACCTCACGACAATCTTTATCTCCGTATTCACATAATAGTTATTTACAAACACAAAGTAAACTTTAAATTTCAAAGTAAACAGTTATTTAGTTAATTTATGATTGTATGAATTAAAAATAAGCTAACAATTTAAAGAAGGCAAACTTGAATAAAAATGTTAATAAATGCTGGAAAATAAGATGACATTAAATGGTACGGTTTTTAGTATTAAAATTTATACTTACCGGAAAAATAAAATATGCCCCTCTGATTAAACTGGCAAGACAAATAACAAAGTAAATAACTTTCTGTGTGGTTATTTTGCAAGCTTTCAGAAATGTAGGGGCCTTGAGTTTTGTGTATTCCGCAATAATGCACATTATTAGTTGGATTGCACAAACTATACCAATGAAGAAAAATACTCCTCCTATGCCTGCATGGTATGGTAAGTTGGGTCCATCGCATAGTTCGCCAGTGAATCGAATATCGCACATACATGTACCATTGTAACACTCTCCTCTTCCAGAACAATCCCTAGTACAACTGGAGCTTAGTCCTGACATTATAAGCAGTTGTCGAATCATTCCTTTAGACTTTGTAGACCTGTATATAAAATTATTTTCAATATTTACATTGCTCAGAACAAAGGATGACCTACATAATGTATGCATTAAATAATTTACCTTAATAGGTCCTCAGTACTTTAGAATGTTTTAAATTTAGGTTCTCTGTCCAAAAGAAAAACAGAGGTATTTAAGAGATTGATAGGAGAAAAACATTGTATAACGTTATAACAAACATAAACATCTTATTGACTGACAAATAGAATGATCAATTCACCATACTCATACTCATTTTACTCATTGTCATTTTTGTGTTTGTGTGAATCGCAACACTATTCCTCATAATTCTCACTGCACTGTTCACTTCCTGAGCCTGAAGCCACTGATGTAGTAAACCTGAGACCACCGATTGGAGTGATTAGAGCTTTGCTTTGTTTCGCACTTTTTAACGAGTTTTATAACAATTTATTCATGCGCACTCTGCAAATACTTTTCGGTTTTTTCAAAACCACTTTTAATAGTTTTAATAAGATAAATCGATAAATCCTGTTTTCGTTTTTTTCAAAATCAGTTCTGGCCTGAGTTTGGAATTCTCAACATTTGTCCTGACAGATCGCCAGTTTTAAAATTAGGGAGTTATAATTTCATAATAATATTAATATGGATTCTGTTTTAAAGATAACAGATCGAAAAAATTAATACAATTTTACATTCCCTTTAAGAAATATTTTAATAATTTAGGAACCTACGTCAAACAGTTTATTAGGTGCTGAAGAAGTCCTTACAATCGATTTTAATATTAGAAATAAGCTGAAAACATTGTTGAAGCTAACGAATGGCGTTTTCGTTTTTGAGGAGTTCTGATTTAGTTCAGAATACATTTTAGTGCGCATACAGATCTGCGTCGATTGTGAAATATACCAGTAAAATAGCAATAGGTAAGAGGTAAGTAACTTGTATGCAGAAATGACATTAGTCCAGACGGTATATGTTTCAAACAGGAGATTTTTGGCTTTTTGGCTTTCAAATATCATTAGAAATGAAAATTTTTCTATGCGCATAAAAAAAACGTGGGCTGAACTTTTGGCAGCACAATATTTTGATAAAAAAATTTGAAAAATGTCATTTTTCTTCCTATTTAATTATGTATCTTTTCAAGAGTTAATTTTAGGCGAAAATGGAAAAGGAAAAAATGTTTGCAATTAAATTTTTTACAAAACACGTCTAGTTACAAATCGAATGAATCATGTTTATTATGGTAAAAATCGAAAAAATCGCATAAAATGGGGTTAAAAAACAATACTTTGTAGGGATTTTTTTTGGGGTATTTCAAATGGGTATAGGACCTTTATACTTGCTAAAAAAAACTTCATATTATGTAGAATTATCACACCAAATTTCATCAAAATCTGTTCGATAGATTTTGCATAATAATCTTGCAATAAAATCTAGATTTTGAAAAAAAAATTGCAAATTTTCAAAATTTTGCACAGCAAAAACCAAGGCCCGTAAATACTTGGAAGATTTAATCACATGTGAATCACATATAGAAGGGATCTCAAGCTTTCAAACTTCTTTTGAAAAATTCGAATTCGTCAATTAGGAGAGCTGTGGCGCTTGTTTAAACATTTGTCGAATTTTTGTACTTATAAACAATTAGAACTTTGTGAATACCTATTCAATCAAATCAAATTTTTTAAAGCAGGTTTTAAAAGTTCTTGGAAATACGCTTCTTAAAAAAAAACAGAACGATTGATCAATTGGTTACATAGTTATAGCCATGCACAGACCACCTAGACTGGCCGTATCTAATTCCAATGCAAGGGTACTATATATACTATATATATAGTAGTTATCTATTGTCTCTGGGTACTAGTGAATGTAAAATCCGGGGTAGTGGAGTGCGGAAGGCAATCTGATCGCGCGTGATCTGGGTTGGATATCGGAATACCGTAACGATAAACGCCAACGGTAACTGTCGCACATGCGCAATGCCCTCTCACGTGACTTTATCGTTTACGGTATTCTTAAAACCGATATGCAAAAACTCCCTA